AAATGCCTATTAATAGCTACAATTTATAAATATCAATATTTTTAAAATTGCATCACGTGTACAAAATGCAAATATAAGTTCTAAACAAATGTTTTAAAATCAGTCTCAATAAAAAAACAAAATAAAAAAATAATAAAAACGTTATTTTCGTAAATTTTCCGGTCTTCCCAATTATAATGAAAAAAATCGGAAAATCAAATGAATTCTTAAAAGTACCAAGTAGACAAAATTTCCTTTCGGAAAAGGCGCTATGCTTGAAAATTGCAACAATATTGTTTAGTGTGGATCTGGTTAGTAAAATTGACACACGCTTCGAGCTTATGGACTATTTTCGTTACCCTCTTGCATGAACTCACATGCAAGTCTATATATTTAGTCAACGAAATCTCATTAAAATTTAAATGGTAATACTTTTTGTTATAATAATTTTCGATAAACACAGCCTCATAGATACAACGAAACCCGATTATATTATAGTCATTTTTAAATACATATGTGTATATTCTAGTGCAGTGATAAAATAAAAATTTCCCAAATAAACTGAATCGAGTACCCATGTTATGCGTTTTTTTTTAACCTTGTTAATATAAAATTATTTTGGGACCAGACTATTTTGCCCATATTACGTGGCTGCCCATATTAGCCAGTGCTCACATTAGGCGAAATTCACTTTACTGTTTGTTTTTTATATATGATTATGTGTATTTGTTGTTTAGTATTTTGTTTAATATATAGGTAATGTTAAAATGTACGCCTCAGATAAAACGAGGATAAAACTGTATTTGTGTAGAAACACCAAATAATCAATTACAATCAACAATGATGATATTAGGGGGCCCGGTGCCGATTTTTCAAATTATCACCTTAGATTTTTCACTGATCTATACTACCCACTAACCATTTAGGGGGAATGGGAGTGGCCGTTTTTACTAACAAAAATCACTTGGCGGAAATAGAGATAAATCATTGTTAACATAGTCATAATCATAATTGTTAACATATATCATTGTTAATATATTTATATATCAAAAATGTATTACGTATTTAATAAGGGGTGGTAACTGAGTTTTTAATTTAGACAATTTGTACGCTACAGATCATATTATTTTCATTTAAATGGGAATTTTGCCCGTTTAAATAAATAAATAAATATTTCCCTACCATTTTTATTCTACATTTCGTATTGAACTTTGATTTTTCATTTGATTTAAAATAATAGTACAAAAAAGTTAATAAAACAAAGTTAAAAACTAACCCTTTATTTAAAAAAAAAAAAAAACGCTTATAATGAAAACATTGAAAAACGGAATTAAATGCGAATTCTAGGACATCTTCACCTTTCCAACAAAAAAGTAATCATCAAAATCATATCATTCTATAAGGCATGAAAGTTTTTCCTGTACAATATGTTTTTGAACTAAAAACGCACTTGCGGCAAGACCCTTTAATTTAATTCATTCAAAATGTCACCGTATTTTACTCGAATGCTTGGTACCTATACGTATATTATATTATACTCTTTAGTAATTTCATTTTATACGTCATCAAAATATGCGACGCGGCTTCATACAGTATATTTAAGACGAAATATATTCGTGAGCCCATACATCATCATTGAGCCGTCTATCAAAACTAATTTTATACCTCCTGTGTTGATTAAATTCCGAGTGAATTTCGAAAACGACACCAATTATAAATTACTTGATGGTTTCCGAAACGCAGAGTGATTAAATGAATACCGTTTCACCGTCACGACGAGATGATTAGTGTTATAATATCTTTTAACCCAGTTTCATTCATTATTGTTAAAAAAAAAAAAAAAATAGACAATTAGCATTCAAAATACGAACCGTGAACAAAATAATTAAAAAAATGTTCTGAACATAAGAATACTACGAACAAAAGCAATACTAATGTAAGAAATGACCGATTTGACGTCACATTATGTACAACGTCCGCCTACCAAACGAAGTATCAAATGCAAAAAAAAAAAAAAACCATTTACTAAACCATAATAGTTTTGAAAAGTCGGACATAAATACTTCGCACTGCGGGTAGGCCACTAATGTAAGTGGAATAGTGAGTAGGATATTGGGTAGTTGTATATAAGTTAAAAAAGCAACGATCAATCGTTGACATCTAAAGTCGACTCTGAGTGGAGCCCAGTAAATTGGTAACGTTACCAGATTGGTAGATATGATATAATATATTAGTCATGTTTTTTCGCTTGTAACCACAAAGAATTATAGAAATCAACAAACATAAAATTTATATATACCTATCGTTTTCAGTTATTTAAATTTATCGTTAAGAATCTAAAAAAAATGTTCGAAAAAAATACCATTGAGACAAAATCCGCATCTTTTATGGTACGATGTGAATGATTTAGAGCATTTTTATCTCTATGTTTATCTATCCGAAAAAGTTTTAAAAAAAAAAAAAAACAAAAAGCAATTTTTCAAGATATACGTGTTTTAATTTTAATTACTAACTATTAATAATTGTTACGAAATGAAAATATTAAAAAAAAATTCGAAAAAAACTCATTATTTGTCTTAACCGCAGATTGAACTATACAGTATATTTTGTTGTCTATTCATATAACTTTATATATTATGTATACAATTGTACTTAATTTTGTTTTTTTTTTTTTTTTTAAGTTAATAGAATACCTAATGCATAGTAGTATTACAGTAACGAAAATAAAATATATATATATATCTAACTAGCTATACTATTCATACAATCCGTGACCCAATTATAGAATATGCTAAGTACTGGTTCATACAATTTATAAAATCAATTGTTTTCATAAAGATGCGTACCGATCTGTGTGTGCTTTGTTATATTTAATCGATTTTTCACAGGAAAAAATGTATCGGACTAGGTATATTTACTAAAAACGTTTTACTTCGATAAAGATAATTAAATCAGTAAAACAATTATTTTAATAACAAAGAAAACAGTTTACACGCGTATTATGTGTTTGTTTTTCAATTTGTCCAGAATCAAATAAATGCTTATTGGTTCGCGTGTATATTTTATAAAGTTTATTTGACTTTTGTGTAACCTATATTTTATCAACTTTTTTCATTAATATATATTTTCAATTTAATTTGATACAGTGTGAATTATTATTAGTATATTTATGGAATCTAGCTATATACTTACAATATTAGTATAGTTTTATTAGTTTTAATTGTAGGTAAGTGTCTAATTTCCCTACGTTTTTCCGTGCGTAGAGGGAAATAATAATTTTTAAAAAAGACAAAAATATACACACACACATGTCATGGTAAAACTGAAAGATAAAACGAATTCTCATATACGCAAAGGATAAAACCCTACGCGCGCACACGAAAACGCTTGGCAATCGTTTACCGAAAAATACTTGCCTAAGTGTTGCGTGCGTGGTGACTATACTCTGTCCAGCGAGAGAACGCGCCGGTCCTGCGCATGACGTGCCGCCGTCGGTCGTTTAGCTGTTTAGGTGAGAAACACTGGGCTGGGTACGCTGGTATATGGGAACATTAGGCTGGGTACGCTGGTAGACTGGGCATGCGCGAAACCGGACTGATTTTGATCGGCGCGTTGTCTCGCTGGAGCATAGCGTGTGTACGTAATGGCCGCGGATCACCGGTGCCCGTTGGCGATTTTTCCACGGAAGCGATTCTCGTCCCTCTGTCAACACAAGGAGGTTCAGAAAATGTCTGTAATTCACGGTTATTGTTAATTCGTAGTCCGTACCGAAATTATAGTTATCGTTACCCGGGCCCGCCGCGGTTGCCGATTTATTAAACGCGTTTATAAAAATCTGCAGTAACTGCAACATTTTAACGTTTCCCTTCTTGCGCCAAGCTACACATATATATAAACGGTCAACGGGGGACTTCAGGCGCTTAGCCCTCCCCCCCTGCGTACGCCGCTGCGGCCCTCAACATTACGTATTATCGTCGTTATTGTCGGATTTATAAACCGTGTTATTTCGCGACCCGTCTCGTGAACAAATCCGACAACAATTTTCCAAAATGTATTATTGCTTATGTATAGACAGGATATTTTTTTTTTTTTTAAATTATATCCCGTCTTAAATTAATAAATACCTACTTTCATATCTCTTCAGAACAATCATGTCGATTAACACAATTCTATGGGAACTTTTTCTACATCAGTTAACATTTTTCTAATTCTTCTTAATCTGCAGCTCACCCCTTCTTCCTACTGAAAGTTTTCATTCCTCCACCGTTAATTTCTTTTAGTCATCGGTAGTATTCAAACGTTAAAACAATAAATTTTCTCTCGCTATTTAAATATATAGGTACTTGCAATTAATCATGTTATGTTTGGCAATTATCTGAAGACAAAAAAACAATTATTTAACGACCATTAAGTACAGTTGTGTTTGTCAGTTTGACACTTAATTTACGAAAGTATTATTTTTCAATACATAACATCAGATTAATATTATAAAAAATGCCATAGTTCATGATAGTAATAACTGTTTATTTTGTTATAACATATTCATCGTTTAAAAAATAAATTGTAATACTCGTATATTAATGAACAAATTACTCAAGCGAGTTAATAATTAATTTAATATCAAACTTGCGATACACTATTTGAATATTTGATATAAATTATTAATTTCCTAAAATAGTTCATAATTGACGAATTCACTTTTAATATAAATTTTTATATAATAATAATAATTGATTGGGTGGTTTTAAAGATTTTTGTTTTGTTTAAACTGTGAAAAATGTTCAGCATGCCACTGATTTAAACAATGTATTATTCTAATAGTTTAAAAAAAAAAAGCCGGGCGTATATTTCACACCATGAATAAACCACACTTTTAAGTGCGAAGTTTCAAATATATTTTGTAACACATAAGAATAAGATAACTTAATGTATATACTGTATCAATGATAAAACATTTTAATCAAAATAATGATTCTGAGTGAAAAAGCTCTGTAAACTCATAATAAAGTTATCGTATTAGTCGTGATTTTTCCCTTGTAGTTAAGGTAGCTCTCGTAGTAATCAACAAAAAATACTAAGGTATCATTATTTTTTGTAGAGTTTTTTTAATTTTTACTAAGACAAATGGGTTTAAAGGCATTGCGTATTTTCTTCACCAAAAATGTGTTTTTGAATACAAAAAACATAAAAGTAATTTTTGGAAAAATTGTTGGGATTTGGAAAAAATGTTCAAATAAAAGACCATCAGGCGGAAAATCTGTATTTTTACTAACTTAAAAAAAGGTTTCCGTGTAAAAAAAAATGTCTGTAAACCTATAATGTAATTTCTCGACTACAATCAAAGTCTAAAATAAAAAAGAGCTCATTCTGGGGATGGTAGCGGCCACTGTTGTAAGTGAGAATTGGTAGAATACATAAGGTTATTTCATTTATATCTGTAAGCAACGATAAACCATTGCTTGACGAAGCAGTTCCGAGCGCAGTTCGATAATACATAATTTAAAGTGCCGAAATTTTTTTTTGCGATTTTCGTTTAAATTTTATTTCAAAACGTTTTTTTAAAAAAAAAAATCTATCCAATGATTTTGGAAATTTCATCGCATCTAGGTAAATCTAATATTAGTATTTTTACCAAGTTTCAAACCTCTACGTGTATTTTTTACTGAATTAGTTTTTTGCTGTAGCAAAAAACTTCCAAAAATTCCTTCAAAGCTCAAAAATGGCTCAAAAGTTTTAGCAACGATACCGTAGAAAAGGAAATTAAAAAAAGCAACAAAAAATATATGGTGTAATTTTTCGATTAAATAATTTTTTCTGGTAGAAAACGTCATTCGTTGTTTTATAAAATAATGAAATCATGAAATTGTACGTTTTCCTACGTTTTTTTCCCACTTAAGTGCTTTTATTTAGAAAACGGCGTCGAAAATCAAAAATGACCCATTGAAGTAACATCTAGACAACTTAAGCTTTCAGAAAATTTGCTACACGTAAAAATCGGAACAAGGAAAAAACGTGTCCGCAGACTAGAAAACAAAAAAATAAAAAAAAAACACCGTTGTAAAACCAATAGCTACACTACGCTCGGAATCTAAAATAACGTTTAATATACTTATAACATCCAAACTACTACACAATTTTGTATTAGTGGATACCCAACAATAACGCATTACTTAAATTGATTAAAATACACGTATTACATATTGCCTATACGGAAGCTCCGGAGGTTCCAATAGCCGTATACTTCCTCTTTTTTTTCATTATGAGTACTAATTTTCGAGATGATTATTTTACGTCCAAATTGTTTTATTTTGTGATTCAAGTATATACTACGTAAAACAATGTTAGGCATTATTATTATTACTTAAACTGGCATGCGTATACTATACAATATACGCTTCACGTACCTACTTGACAAAAATACCTACAGAAATTAAATAATCGATAAATTTAGATAATAACAGATAATAATTATAGGCACTTGCCATCACACTCGACATTTTCATGTTTTAATTGAAAAATAATATTATATTCCATTAAAATACGAACCTTTGTGATTGAGGCACACTGGAATACTTACCTGGAGATTACTAGGAAATGTAGTTGATAGCAGTATTACGTTTCGTTTTAAGAAATTATTTCTTTTTCTCATTTACACTTTTAGCTATTTTCATATGCCCATACACGAGAGTTAAAAAGCTTATTACGGGTTTTTTTCAATTGAAAATTGTTCATAATAATAACTGAAATTCAATTTTTTTTTTTCTAAAGCCATTAATAAATATTATAATATATTACTAAAAATGCACAACAGATGATTAACCGAAAATATGAGTAAGATATTTAGATAGGTTTTTAAATAATATGTAAGTAATCTATTTTATTGGTATTCGGGAAATGGAAAGTCGAATTACAATAATTGCTCGAAGACCGAAAAAAAAAACATAACAAAATACGCTATTTAACATACCGAACAAAGAAAAATGTATATTTTAATATATTAATTGCATAATATTATTATTATAATATTGATTAAACATATTTTATAGTCGATTAATAATTTGTAAAAGCCTATCGACGTCTACGACGTCCCCATCTGAGTGGTTGTCCTACTGGCCTGCTTATGCCCTTTTCCGGTGCATTCGCGGCCGGGAAAAACGAACTGAACGGTGATCGGATTACGTGTCTGCCATTGCCACTCAGCTGATTCCATGGTCTCCAGTGTGTCAAAAATGAAAGTGCTCGTTTCCTGTTCTCTGTAACACGTCGTAATCAGCTTATTTAATTATAATATCAACAATAACAAAAAAATATTTCGATCATTTCCTTCGGTATTTATACAATTTATTACGTACCTACGTAACTCTACACGCTGTCTAAAAACGAACTATTTTCATTTATTGTAATATTATGAGAGACTATAAATTACTACATATAATTTATTGTGAAATTTAAATTAATACATTGCATTTAATGTGTTAGCGAATGAAAACATATTTAATATATTTTTCGAGTTCCCCCATTCTAGAGAAAAAATCCCTATCACTAACCATTCCGGCTTACCATCTTCGCCATCACATCGAAAATTTTAATTTTATCACAAATTGTAACACTATATAAATTGAAACTTTTGGAAGATATCGTTGACTTAAGAAATAGTTTCTCAAATAAAATGGTCGACTAATGAAACTTTGGGACTAACACAATAGTTTCCTAAGATATAGTTAATACCTGATATCTTAAAGTTGCCATTGAGTCACCTAGAATTACTGTAAGTAAGGTATATGACCTGTTAAACTAGACAACATTGGTCGAAAAAAAATATATAATAATGAACAAAATATTTCCAATAACATACTTATTTGTATATAACATTTTATTATATAAGTATAATGAACAGACCTTTCAAACGTTGACACGTTGAAAGAGAACGAATAAGAATTCATTAAAAATAGTTGTACCTATATAGTTACTTTAAAAAGTTTATATTGAAAAAAAAATAATAATAATGATAAAACCTTGTGATTGATGTGAACGGTCACAAAGATTATTTGATAAATGAATTCTAAGTGTTTTTTTTAATACAATTTATAGGTACCTGCTTATAAATATAAAAACTATAATTTTATAAGAAAATATGAAGTTATAAACCTAATATATTTGAGATAATTAATATTTAGATGAACGAACAATATAGGTGAATTTCCATTAAAAATCACTATTATTTATAAATAAATTCAGTAAAAAATATTCCGTATGTTTAATATTTTTATGAGTTAACTACGTAACAAATTTTAATGGCATTTGAATATTTTTTGTAAACCCAAAATACATAGATATTTTTAATTGCATTCGTTTATTCCTATTTTAACATTTTATTGTAATAGTGTCCAAAATGTGTAATAATCTAATACATGTTATGCATTTATAATGTTACACATTACACATTACGCGAATTAAAAATAGAAACAAATTGACAAACTATAATATTTTTGCTCGGTAAAAAAATGAAATATTTTACTTTCTAAACCCAAGCACTTAAAATTGAAAAATTTTACAATACATCGTACATTTATTAGAAATCTTTTTATACATGGTATGTTCGTTATACACACCATCTCATTTTTTCAACGTAACAATTAGACTTATTAAACTTATTATACAACTAATTTATTTTAAACCAATTACAAATATTATAAAATTAATAATCACTGTTATGTATATCATTTACTGAAATTTTAATATAATACCGAGTTATTTCAAAATGATCGTTACAATACTAGTGTTTAAATCCAAATTAAAATTATTACCTATCACGAACAACGTGGAATATCGGGCAAATTGTACTGGACGATTAATGTGAATTGTAAATAAAACAATTTATTTTAACATGAAAAGTGTTAATATGTTTAATATTTTATTGATATGGGTTTTTATTATTACATTAGATATTTCAAAGGGAACAAAAATCGTATTATAATTATCAATCACGTTTATAATTTAATTAAAACAAATTCTGTATGATTTTTTCGCTTCATTATTTTTATCGGTTTCATTTATAAAAATAATAATAATTAAATATCTATAAAATATAAAACAAATAGCGTTTTATAGATACTACACGTATGATACATATAACATAACAATATTGGGAAATTATGTAACGAAAAACATGTGAACTCAATAAGACGACACACAATTCACAATCGATCGGATAGATCATTTTTATTAACAATTTATTAAGTTATAAATTTGATATCGGAAAATAATAATAGGTACTACAATTTTAATAAAATACATTAATCTAGGGTGTTTATACAGTGCGTTTAACAGAACAAAACACAAATGTAATTAGTATATAATATATTTATATTTCTCCTCTCTTTTAAGTAATATATTAATATTTAAATCTATTAATTCATACATAATAAAAGCCAGACAAAACTATGTGGAATAATACTTTACTGACAATTATGAAAACGGATTATGCTTCTTTAGGATCTTTGCTAGGAAATTTTGAAATAGAAATTGAATTTGTTTTAATGGAAATCATAAATATATTTGATAGTATATTTTTTATTTTTTTTTTTATTTCATATGGCAAAAAGTATTTTTGAAAAATGTTGACAAATATATATAAAGTATTTTACCTTAAATTAACAATAAAACAATTTAAAAAAAATAATAATTCCAACAGTAAACCTTAATCATTTTTTAGTCACACATTTTACATTAAAATAAATTGTTCTGTTTACAGTTCACATCACCCGAGAAAAATACACTATGTCCGATATTCCACATTGCCTGTAATAATGTGTCCTACCTAATTGTATTAATTGCATACACATTCTTTAAAGCCACAGTTTCACAGTTTTTACCTATTTTAAAATTCACGAAACTTTATTCCTTTGTATATTTGTATGTATTATTGAATATATGCACCAGAAAATAGAATAATAAAATATACGAACAGTTCGCTATAAATATTATGAAAAACGTACATCGAAACAACTCAATTTAGTTTAATCTATATCTGACGATCAATAGAACATATTTATATTGAGTACTTATTTACTTTAACAAGTCCACGTTGAAAAATGTACTTACCGTGTTTAAATATGTTTCCTGGGTATTCAAGTTCTTCGTCTTCATCTTCTGGAGGTGATCTCCATGTACCAAATCCCCTTCCACTATTGTCCAACCATCTACTAAGCAGATCATTTTCAGTTTCATCGTCATCACTCTTTTCGGCTGCAATTAAAGTCGTAACTAATGCCAATAATAAAACCCACTGTAGTGACATAGTGGCAGATGCCTTAAGGCCACACCACTTCATTAATTCTGAAAAAGGAAAAAAATTTGTTTTATATTTAACGATTATTAGGTAGTTGAGTTCACAAATATATTTTTTTATGCATTATAAGACTTCCCAAAAGGGATGTTCAAAGAAAGAAAAACGACTTATTTTATACCTTTGGCAGCTTAAATATATTAAATTGAACCCCTTATCCACCAACGTACTTACTTAAAACAAGAGTCTGTATTAACTTAATCTACAAGTAGCAACTTTGAAATTTGCAAATAACTTGGAAAAAAATATGAAAGAGTTGTCAAATGCTACTTTAAGCTTTACATACACCACTGTATAATATACTCTGTATAGTAAATAATACCATTAAATTTCAATTCGATAATGGCATCTGTGTGTGCGTGTGTATGTATGCATTCTATATTATAAAAAAGTATAATATCTCAGTCAACTCTAACTACTCGAAATTCTATTCAAGCATGATCACCGCCATTGTACCGTATTTAAATCATAGACATTATTGGGATAAAAAGTAAAATGGCATTTCACTGTCGCCGCAAGAACGTCTGCAGTTTCAGAAAAGCTAGGCGAAATATTATAATAATGGCAATATAATGATTTTACATAGTTCAATATTCATCAATCATCGAAAATCCTTGAACGAAATCTTAGGGTGTAAATCGTTTATCGAGAATCTATAATAAAGGGCAAAATATGTTTGAATCTATTACCTACGCACAATTTTTTTTTTAACGTTAATTTACAATAAGTGCCTACATCATTTAATAGTACCTATACATTTATTAATTTTATTGTACTTAGTTCCGTTAGTATAATGCAAATATAAAAATATTGTTTTCCTAATGAGATTATTTTATGAATAGTAATAGTTCCCAATGATGCATAATTCATATTATTATTTTTGTATTTTAATGTGATCAATGGGCGGTGAACTGAAACCTCTTAGCCTCCCATAGGAAATCACTGGTTCTAATTGTTAAAACATATGGCAATATCATAATCTGAATTCTTAACTATTATGGAAACAGTAAAGTGGATTCTTAGGCGATTGAAATTTCCATAAATGTAGACCAATAAGCTGCACGATAAAAAGTATTGCCAGCAATTCAACTATTATTTGTTTTTTTTTAAATAATTTAATTTCTTTAGTCTTTTTTCTGTGTATTATTTAAGAAAATCATTTTAATATTTTTTTTTTTTTTTTTGTCTCACTGACTATAAAGTACAAGTTCATTATTATTATATCACTAATTTATATTATCCAAATTATCGAACATCTATTTCTCACAAAACATAGAAAAAGACTAAAGAATTTGATTTATTCGTTTGATTGTTTTTTTTTTTTTTTGTTATTAAGATTTTGATCCATTTTTGGAATTATTATGATTTCATATTGTACCGGCATAATAGGTATCTACATAATAAATTATTTAAATACCTACATATTCATGACTTTTTTTTATAGCACGTGTATTATATTCACAAGTAGTACCTTTTCGTTTTATTATAACTATTCACACGTGTAAATTTATTGTTACGGTTAACTCACGTGTGAACTCGAATTTCTCGGATTCTTTTAGCAGCACGTCCGCATTGTTAATACATGTTTTAAAAATTTACGAGATAAAACTCACGAAAAACATATTTTGTTAATTTTAGGTTAAATTGCGTGTAAATAAAAAAAAAAATGCTGTTTGTCTACAGAAGTTTGTTTGTTTGTTTGGTTTTTTTTTTTTTTTTGTTTATGATACAGCGTGTTTGAATTGGAGCAGGAATAGAGTTCCTTTCTTTTTTTTTTTAGTGTTCCCTTAGTAATTATTTCTATTATGGCAAATAAAGACGGTACGCATCTTTTTTACAAATAATAATATTTTCAACAATTATGTAAGTATTATCAGCTCGGATACATTCAATATTATAAATGTAAATTTTGTTTTTCATACTTTGATATTTAAATATCATTAACGGTGTTATACACGAAATAAATAAATGCCAATGTACACAAACACGTAACCTGCGGGCGTATTATTATTGGTTAGGTTAGGCACGGGTCAGAGTCAATTCAATAACTACAAAGGACGATCATTTTTTCAAGTCTCGCAGTCCTTATTTTAATTTTCCAATTTGAATATATAACTAGGTACATCGTACAGTTTTATCGGACGATTTGAAATGCAAGTGCCTACCAATAAGTGAATATTCAATCTGTAATGATACATCAAATATTATAATCTTTTAGGAAGAAAAAAATCCGCCCCAAGTAAGGTTTATTATGTTTTTACGTATTGATTGATTCGTTACGAAAAAGCAAATACGGATGAGACATCAATATTCCTTCCGTGTAACTCAGCGCGGTTTATTGAAGTTTATATTATTGTGACTGAAAATAAACACATCGATATTATAATATATATTATTTAAGCTATTGAAATCTCACCAAGAAAAGAATTCAAAATGAAATCGTCTGTTTTACTATTCTACACCGACACTGTGGTTTCATTATTAAACTACTTACTTTTTTATATTATTATTATTATTTTTTTTTTTTTTTTGTTTTTGGTTTTAATAATAATGAACAAAATATATATGTTTTGTAAGCATTCCGAATACATAAAACCATAACGAAAAAATAAATAAATTTGTTTTTATCAAATTGCATTATTATTTTTTTTAAACCGTACTCATTGCAGTCCGTTATAATAAATTATTATTACATACGTTTTGTTTTTTTTTTTCACGGAAAACAGAAAAGCAATAATATCGACTTCTTTATTTTCAAATTATTTTTTACTCTTTATCCATCCGAACGAAAATTTAAATAATAATACAATTTGTTCGTCATTTGATTTACATAAACATAAATGGTTGGGATTTTGTACATTATTATTATAGTTTTAATACTATAGGTACTAAAAAATATAAAATAACTAACATAATTGATTATTGTATATTTAATAGAACGAATTTCTTATATTTAGATGATTTCATAATATAAGTAGGTACAATTAAAATATTTTATACTTTGATAATATTTTGTAAAAATTGTTTTGACTACAGTTCACTGAACTTATCGTTGTTATTAAAATGTATTGTTTAATTTGTTTTCCTATTATTACTTAAGCCTTTAAAAAATATGCTTAATTGCTCTTTTGTATACACATTATACATATTATGCACTACTTAGGTACTTAATTTTAATGATATTATCACCTTCATGCGAATACTATTTAATCGGTATAAATACGACTAAAACATACAAAAAGCTTTAATACAAAAACACAAATAGCAAATGTGTAAACAGAATATAAATGGTCCATAGCGGAGATGAATTATTCATGAGGAAATCATTGAAAAAGGATAAACCGTATAAGTATATTTTAATACCAGTTTACATGCCTATGTAGTATGATTCGTTTTACATAAGATACCTACTCGATATTTCATAATGTTTATAAAATAAAAAAAAATATTTGTTATTTGTTTAATGGTTATATAATTGTATAAAAATAAGTTCAAAAAAATGTTTGTATGGCAATTTTATGTATATACACAAAATAATAACTGATACAGCTGATGCTGCTACTGCTGTGTGCCACTGTTTTAGGTGGAATGCTGGAATCTAGGATACATATAGCTGTTTAATTATTATCTGTATACGCAACGATAAATCATTGTTGTCGAAATACGATTAAACATGTTTCGAAATGCCGTCATTTTTACGATTTTCATCAAATTGTGAACTTAAAACGCTTATAAATAAAATTATTACATTACGATCAACTTTTCTTTTAACCACTAAGTGTAACTAAATAATGAATATCGTGTTTGAATTTTCAAACATTTGTGTTCAGTCAAACAATTTTATCCACATAAAACCAAATAAAAACTAAAAAACAAAAGTCAAATGCCTATGAATATTTTATGAATATATGATAATTTGAAATGAAAATTTGACGCGTTACGACTGAACCAATAATTCTTGGTTTACATAATAATAGACACCGTTTGAATTATTTCTAAAAGAAAAAATAATACAGAGCAGGTGATGTAGATGTACATTGCCTTATAACCATTTCCACGGTAGATTTAAAATAAATGATAATAAATGATCAATATTATAATATAGTATTATGAGGTAGTAAATTTAAAAAAAAAAAAAAACAACATTATCGCGAATGAAGCTCGATTCTTTAAAGTTTTTACAAGAGATTTTTTGGAATTTTTAAGTGCTCTCGATAAAATGCGATTCGGTGAGCACCCACGGATATTTATATTGAACGAGTATAATAATCTCGCATTAAAATTCCATGTAATGTAATACCAATAAACTATACTATAAATTTCATTAAAATAATAATAATTCTAGACAAAAATATTATATTGTTGTTAGCCTTATTAATACTTATTAATATTCACCCTGGTACGTACATAATAATTGAAACGTTTGATATTTATATTTTTAAAAACACGATGGTTATTACGTTTAAAAAAAAAATAATAATAATAATGATAATAATTTGAGTAGAGCTGAAAATAATAATATTAAAAGACTAGGTCGGTATAATGGTCGATTTTTCGGTTTTTCTTCATTTTCACGGCTCATATAACTGGGGAAATATTTGACCTTTTCTCAAGTGACGTATCCGTATTTAATTACTTATCCAAACGGTCACATACTCATGTGTTATGTTAGCATATATTATTAATTAATATGTAAGCACTCAAAAATGTTTATTGTCCCGAAAAGGGCATCCCGAGTAAAAAAAAAAAAATACATCGTTGTAAAAATAATAGCTCACCGAAAAGAATCCACTAGGAATTTAATTAAACTTCCCATGTCTTCATGAAACTAATACACTTCACCGTAACTCGAATAATATAAAGTATTTCGATACAGAGGATATTTGTGTTAAATTAATAATTTACACACGATTATTTCTAGTAAAAAATTATGTTCGTGTTATTATTGAAACTAACTTTACTTCGTAGAGCTATACGTTATGTATTATTTAGACGTTATACTGTTATTTAGTAAAATATATTATAAAATGTCTGCAGTTTTTTTTAGTTTCTGAGCGTAACGAGGAATGTATTTAGATATAAGTTTGTTTAATGTTTCGAAAGATAAAGCGATTAAAAAGTAAGTTACACGAAAAAATTAAAAAAAAAAAAAGGATTTCATTGAATTATTTATTAAGGCCAACTGAACTTACATGAGGAATTTTTACCGGAAGGTCAGTAAAATAAACTAATTTAATTTTCATCGAACGTAACAACATTAAAAACATTTTTATTTCGTTTACTTTAAACACATTTTAAAATATAAGGACTATACTGATTAGTACAATATATGAATCTAACCCTTTCACTGTCCACTGTCCAGACACTTTTTGCAACGGTACGTCCATAGGCCCGGGTTTTGTTTTTTTATTCTATATCCTATTTCTCTCCACCCCTCTCCATCACCTCTCTGCCCATCTTAATTAATTGAATTTATTAACTAACCGGTGCGTTAGTGGCCTGTGAACTGTGTTTCTCTATGATACGTCCAATGCGTTAGCTGCACTGAAAGGATATCTGTTACGGAATTATAATAAAATTATTTTATTCTACATGATATTATTATTACTACTGCAATACAAATCAATTTATGTGATTTTAAAAATACTGTTTTTATTTTAAATTTCCGTCAAAATCTATAGTGCCATACATTGCTGGTACAATAAAAGTAATACTAAACATTATATTTATATAAAAAATCGAACATTAAAATTTTGCGCGAAATTGTGACCATAACATAAAATAACACAGTCACATGTGACGTATATATATAAGTTTTCAACAAGTGGTTTAATTGTACCTACATCATATTATTTTTATCTTTTCGGTGCGTTCAATTTACTTATACTATATAAACTATACAAAAAAATTCGCATCAACTTTTTTATGTTGTGTGCGCCGCAATTTTGATGTCCAAACTGCTGTGGTGGAAACGCATTACACAAAATTCACACAAATTTTACACGAACTTTCAGTGTCCTTTTAAGTTAAAAATTACATTTTCAAATGTACCTACATTAATTATAATACACTTTTATAATTTTTGTCGGTACATAGTCAGGATTTTTTTTTAGGCCGGTGGAGGAGGTCCAAACAAAAAATTGATCACCAACTAACAATTTACTAGAGAAAAAATAATAATAACAAAATGGGTAAAAATCAAAGTACCGACTAATTTTATTATGAAAAGCTTAAATTTTCGGGGGAGATCAAAAACTCCTTTTTTTAAAAAAAACTTTCATTAAAAAAACTACGTTAAATATTTTTAATCTAACCTACAGGGAAATAGTAAAACATTTCAAACTTGTGATGGTAAATTAGTAATATTGTTAGCCAATGTGAGTATAACTTTAACGTATTGTAGGTCAGTATTACAGGACATATCGTTATAATCACATGTAAGTATGATATTCTATAATATTACGTTTAACACTATTTAGTATTTTTAGTTTTCAAACCAATCGATTTATGTAATGATAATTATAGTTCTCAAATGATATATTTTATTACAGGTGAGTCGACTTGGAAAAAATACCGTTAATGTCAAGTTTATTGTTACGTCAAAACGGTTGCCAAGTAACGAGGAAGTAATATAATTATTGAATCAACTACAAAATAGCCGATTATCATCGATAAATAGTAAACTATACGAAATTCACAACTATTTTACACGCAGCGTGTTAATAATAATATAGGTATACCTACGAGTGTGTAAAATAAAAAAACTCTATTCAAAATAAGGAATATCGCTATGGTTTTTTGTCAAAAGGAGTGTTAAAATGTACTAAATCGAGTACACAAACTCATTTGTATTTTATTTTATACTTTTCTTTGATGTAAACGATTCGTTTCTTTTACGATTATCGCTAAACAAAAACCTGCATTATAATAAAAATAATAATAATAATAAAACAATTGTACGGTACATTGGTTTTTCTAAACACGATTTTAAACGAAACAAATATATTGGTAACGATGATGAAACAATTTTACCAATAAACGTTCAAAGCGCGCGATTTAAAGAAATATTCAAAGCCCGGAGCATTTTCTTTCCGAATCAATTATTAAAAGTTTTTTTCCATATCTAACTGTTTTATATTATATCTATACTCTTTTAATGTCTCGTGACATTTTTTTTTTTTATTTGATTAACAAATGTAGTTGGGAGGTTGAAATAAAATGATGCCAATAAACCTGTCTGCAATTCAAAAACGCCGCTCGATCACAAACGAAGGATTTAATCTCGGTCCATCGGCTCGGTTATCGGCATTAAGACATCGCATCGGATTAACTGTTGCCGAATAGCAAAGTTATGAAACTTTAAAAAAAAATCTTAATTTAAAAGATACGATTGAAGTAGATTTTAAAATTAGGGTGGCCGGATACAAAGTTCACTGTGATCCTACGTGAATATGACCGTTCCTACCTCTGAACATATATTTTGTTTTAATCCTTGTTTACAAATTAGGTACCTATGGTTAGCAGTTTAGAACGCATTTAATTTTGACGTTTTAAAACTCTTGAGTATCTTTTCATTTTCTTTTTTTTCTACACCTAGTATTACTTTTGTTTTACATTTAATTCTTTCTCGGGTTCCGACAGTAAACACTAAACAGATCCCAAAAGATGTCAACGTAATATTGATAACCGATTGTACTTCTACAAAGAGGTTATAATAAATAAGTAATACCCAAACTCCTCAAAATACAATGATTGAACACAAATCAAACATTAAAAAACTACACTACGAATTTGTACTCCTCGAATCCATAAATACTTAAGATTTCAGATATTACATAGATATATGTGATCACACGGTTTTTTACAAGAACAATTACATTTTTTAAAGTAATTATTACATATTATGTTTTCAGAATAAATTTTTAATTAATACTCTCAATCTTCAAATATTTATTAGTACAATTAGTTCATAATCGTTTATTGTTTTTATAGCGTGTACTTATCGAACTTCTAAAATATTTTCGCATTTACGTTATTCGAAAACATATTTTAAGAATTAAATGTTTTACCATTAAAAAAATTGCCAATATCACCGAAAATCATCACAGTAGATACAAAAAAGTCAGCGATGGTTATAATTTAAGTTCAAGAGGAAGGGGACAAAATTATTTAGAATATCAAAATTTCACTCCCCCCTTCAAAAAATAAAAATATTATAAAAGTTGAAAAGGCGATTTTTTGGATTTGGAGTTATTTTATACCTAAGATTATACCTATTCTTCTTTATTCATATTTCTCTAAAATTGTAAGCGTTACAATATGATAATGTATTGTAAAGGGCACGTTATGATAGGGCGCACCGTGCATCTGCTCCTGGTTGACATAAACCAACCGAATGAGTTTTTGTGTCATTTTATCGATACGACACACTTAAGTACACCGTACGTAGGTATAATAATATCATGTGCTTATAATGGATTATTATATTTGACATTCGTTTACGAAAAAAAAAACTTTACGGTCATAAAATAAAATTAAATTCTACTTAGATAGATAGCTGAGCTATAGTAACAAAATTGAAAACAAACATACGTTACAAACGTCAAACATATAATTACGTAGGTACGACACATATATACAAAATTGCGATATAACTTATCGAAACAAATATGTTAGGTATTTATTAAAAATGTTCCGAATTAGATGTTTTAACGTTGTAACGAATTTCCCTGAAAATATGTAAAACAGTAAAAAAAAAAATGATCGTTTGAAAATATTTGTATTTTATAGTGCCATCAATGATTTGAATGGCAAAACTACAAGTGTATGGTTTTGAAATTAGTGTTATCATATTTAAAGCTAATCAAAATCAAAATTTATATTTTTGAGACACAAAGTTGTAAATTTGAAATTACCACGATAAATGTCAAACAACTTTCAATTGAGCAACGAAAATATATAAAATTTAAATAAAACTAATAATTTTACCTTTTGATTTAAGACAAAACATTGGGCAACAAAAATAATATATATATATATATAGATACTTACGAATAGTTATATAGAACCAAAAGTTTTACGAACAAAGATACAAAATCTTATTTATTTTTTTATTATATTTCTAACTTTTTGTGTAACGTGAAAATTCCCAAACGAAACCATAGCGAATTGGCAAATAAATTATTCCACAATTATAGTAAAAATGGGTATAGGTACTAAGTTGGATCTCAAATTTTACATCACACAGTGCTAATAAAAGTCGACAAATAATTGAAAATATATTATAATATTATAAAGATAATCCAGTGGCATAAGTGTCAGGAAAAGATAAAACAATAATATATTAATATTAGACCAGAACAATCTAATCATATTAGGACAACGATGTAACAATTCTTCTCTTCTTCTTCAGCTCCTTCGCCCTCATCCCGAAAATTTGGGGTTGACCACTCTCATTCTAAACGTCTACATGGTCTGATCGTCCACTTCGCATACATCGGCTGTCCTCATATCATTGTCAATGGCATGCGATCACCTCTTGTTCGGTCTTCCTCTCTCTCCCTCTTTCCTCCTACGATTTCTTTTTCATTGTAATTCTTACTGATTTAGTGCTTTAGATTTCTCTTTCCTCACGAAATGCCCTCACAACGATGTCACAAATAATCACACATATTTTGACACCCCAGGCCTGAATTATAGTTTGTAAATTGAATTTCACGCCTTATATTTATGTAATACAAAGTACCTATACCTACACACAAAAGCACACCACACAAATAATATGCTTACTATATAAATTTGATAAACCAGATAAACCGATTTAAGAATCGTATACAATCAAACACAATATAATAATAATATACCGTTTTGAGCTCTTTAAACAACATTAAAATCGTGTGGAAAATATGCACAAACGCAGCCACGTATATACAATAATGTAATATATTATAATATTATTTAACAATGTAAATGTTTGGAACACAAGTTTTGTTTGAAAACAAACTGCAACAACTGAATTACAATTTTGCAAACTTATGGACGTTCATCGTCGCCTATACATTATAGTATGACAGTGCACACCAGCCGCTATTTTATGACATCTAATCCACCATACATACAAATTCGAACGGCTGTTGAATAGTAGTGGTGCTATGGAAGGTTCTTGAAAAACCTCAGTAGAGGTGGGGGGCAAAAATATTTTGCATATTATGTATACACATATCAATTTTCTTTTTTTTAGAGAGATGAAAATCAGTTTGATTAATTACCACCAACTATAAAGCGTATAGGTAAAAGTTTTATCGATAAAAAAAAACATAGATTATCTTTCATAATTTATTTAATAGTAAAACATATTTATTAATAGAAAAAAAAAGTAGCTAGTCACTCGACTATTGTGCCTTTTTTTCTTATCATCACGGGAGAAGCAAGTATAAATATTTTCAAGGCAATGCCATGATAATACATTGCTAAAGAAGTGATAATAATATGGTATCCACCAAGGGACGTATAAAAGTGCACCGCTTACTTATTAGGATGTTTATACATATAAACAAAGGCCACGGGAGAGCGGCGATCCCCCTATCTCGCCACCCGTCTAAAACCACCAATAATAGGCACTTGAATATAATGCAAGGAGACAAAAAACAATCTTTCTTTTAATTTGTTATATAATTAATTAATATGTGTAAAAGTAGTTTGTTGATACCTATATTATCCTCGATAATTTTGTGGGAAAATTTAAATTTCACTGTAATAATTTCAACAGCAAACAGTATAACAATAAATATTATGATTTATGAATTTCAGGTACCTATATACGTTTATTGTACTCATATTTTTACTCTAAGAGGTGAGTGCATTGATATAATTACCATATAGTATTAATCTGTGAATTAATTAATTGCCTTCTTTTGTCAAATGCCATTCGACATAGTGAAATGAACGCATTTTCGAGTACGTTTTCAATTCAAATTCATTTGAATAATCAAATTAGGTAGGTTAATCGAATAATGTGATAAATGATTATAATTCAAAAATAAAATCAACTTTGTCGGTTTTATTGCAGTTACCGTACTATTTTTTAAAATATCGAAATTAAATATATACCTATGGCCGTAGGGAAGAATGAGTCTGTCGGGAAATCGGGAAATATACCTACTGTATCTATTATTGTATTAAATTAGATCAGTAAACGCACAAATTACCTACCTACTTTAAAATCGTCTACTATGCATTGTATTTATTTGTATAATCAAATCAGTTAAGAGAGGATCATAAAGAGGATTTGTATAAAAAAATTAATTTGCTAAATCTTTAATGTTTTTTTTTTCTGCAGAAAATCGAATGTTTAACTCATTAGTTACACAGTTAGAGCTATACAACTAAAGGAGGGAATACTTAAAAATCCCCATTTTAAAATTGGTACCCAATATTTTCAGAATGCAAAACTTTGCTATATCTTTTAATAATTTATACACAGTTTTCTTCAAATTTCAAATTGTTGAAACCTGAACGTGTATTAAATTTATTATTATTATTTAATGGTTGATAATTGGGGGGGGAGAGTGGGTCTTGCTTTTGTTGCCAACGGTATCACAACCGCCTTAAAATTATATTTGTTTTCGCATGGTACCGTCCAACCCATACGCGTGGGTTTGATTTCCACGTTATTTATCATATGACCAGTGGTTGAGGTGAGAGCATACGGGGGGACGACATCCCACCACTTATTATAATCTACATTTTTCATCCCTTCACTTATTTTGTCCAAAATAATACATCCTCCTTATAATTATATACAAAGATCATCGATTTATATTAGTGCTTTTATAACATAATATGCCATTTTAGTCTATAGACTATAAGTAATGACTAATGTATAAATAGTTTAGTTTTTTTTATTTATTTTTATTCCTGCTATATAATGATGTAATACATACTGTTAGAACCTATTGATACACTGTATATGCATAAATTCAATGTTTATGTCAATATGTTCTACGTTTTAAATAAAAATATAATTACATGACCCAAGAAAATTTTTTAAAATACACTTGATTTTCTACAAAAAGTTTCACCGGAACATTGACAGTAAACTTTTGTTAAATATTTTAAATAAATTATTAGGAAATATTAGGAATTTATAGTAGGAAATGGTCATCAGTTATAACAAGTTGGTGCGGAAATACTTACTATGTTAAATAATAATATATTTATTTAAATTACATTGAACGCACGTCTATCGGCTATTCCAATAAACTGTTTGATATTTAATAATAACGATACCTTTAGACAATTTAATTTTCACCGCCGTATTGGGTGTCATTTCTCATTGCAATTTCTATAGACAATATATACCTAATAATCAATAAACCGACGTTACAAATATGTATTAAACTATATGTACATGTATCCTCCTACGTGATACTGTACTGTATACTGAAGTAGCATTAAAATATACTCACGATTCACGGTTCGGCATAATCATTTGACAATAGATTGAATTTAATGTCAAAACGCGAATTAATCGAATTTATTGAAATTGGATGCATACCTATGTAAACCAATCCCATTATTAACGTGTTCAACTACCTATTCAGTTTTGGAAAATTTATTTTCGAACAAAATATGTTGTCACCTATAGTATAATATCAGTTTCCTAAATTTAATAACTATAACATAATAAATAGATAATAATAATGTAGGTGTAATTCCCGTGTATTAAATTTAATATTAAAATGGGAGCGGTCACTGTTATAGGTGAGAAATTTAGAAAGTAGGATATTTAAGGTAAGGTTATTTCATTTAAGCAACGATAAACCATTTCTAACGAAAGACGATTCCGAGCGCAGTTCAGTAATACATAATTTGAAGTGCCGTAATTTTTTTTAAATTAACCTTTCTGCGTTTCTTCCCGATTATTATGAAAACTAGTTTGAAAAAAAAAATGAACTACATCATTAAAAACAAAATTAATAATTCAACAAAAAAAGTCTCTTGTCGTTTTTCAATTGGAGCCATATTTATGCTAAAAAACGTAGTATGTACTTATTTAAAACGACGAAATTGTGAAAAAAGTCGTATTTGATTCCCGACCTATGTATTTACTAAGTAGATAAAATTGACTTTCAGAAAAGGTACCACATTTATACATCGGAGCAAGTTTTCCAGAATAAGAGTGGTCTATATTATAAAAAAAAAAATAATAAAGTACCATTGCAAAAAAATTAAAAAAAGGAAAAAAGCCGTCTAATGATTTCGGAAATTTTATCGCGTCTAGGTTAGTCTTAGTCTAATATAAGTATTTTTACCAAGTTTCAAACCTCTACGTGTATTTATAACCGAACTACAGAAAAAAACTTCCAAAAATTCCTTCAAAGCTCAAAAATGGCTCAAAAGTTTTAGCAACGATACCATAAGAAAGTAAATCAAAAAGGCAACAAACAATACATCGTGTAATTTTTCGATTAAATCATTTTTTCTGGTAAAAAATGTCATTCGTGTTTTTATAAAATAATGAAATCATGAAATTGTACGTTTTCCTAAGTTTTTTCCACTTAAGTGCTTTTATTTAAAAAATGACGTCGAAAATCAAAAATGACCCATTGAAGTAACATCTAGACAACTTGAGCTTTCAGAATAGTTGCTACACGTAAAAATCGGAGCAAAGAAAAAACGTGTCCACAGACTAGAAGAAAAAAACAATAAAAAATAAACAGCATCATAAAACCAATAGCTTACACGCTACGCTCGGAATCTAAAAGTAGTATTTCTTAATAATTACAAATAGCGCAATACAAACACGAGATCAAAACAATCAGAGAAAAAGAGCTCATATACTGAGGACGGGTGCAACCACTGTTGTAGGTGGGAAGTTGGGTAGGTAGGATACCAAGATACATAAAGTTATTATATATATATATATATGTACGCAAAGATGAACCATCGCTAACTAAAACCGATTTGGATCGGAGTTAGTTAAGGCATATTTTGAAATATCGTAATGTTTAAGATTTTTTGTCAAAATGTTATCTTATTTTTTCGGTATTACTTGAAATCACCTAGCCGAAGAATTATTGTGCACACGATATAATCATAAAACCGAATAATACAATGCAACAAAAAAAAAAAAAAAATGAAAATAGACATTCGAGAAGGTCAATATTTAAAATATGTTTACTAAAAATGAGTTTTCCCGGAAGGTCGTCCCTGAAATAATATCTAGGTCAGTGTTATACTCGTAATAATACAATACTTTATTAGAACGCTGAAATCTTCAAACTAGATGGGTTATGTTAGGTTTATACCTATATAGCCTACAAGGATACAGTTACTTTGTTTAAAATATAATTATTCGTCCGAAATATATTCTTAAGAATATTAAATTTAGATAACCAAAATATTCAAAAACGATTTCAAATAGAAGGATTATTGTTTGAAGGAAATTTAAATTTACCGGTCGTCAGTTATTAATTATTATGATAAATGAACACGCGTTCGTTTTCATTACTGTTATCAGGGGCGGATAGACATGATCTGACCAGCCCAAGAAAAATAAAATCTAGTGGCCCACATGACCATATCCAAGAACCAACAAAAAAATTACCTCAACCTTAAGTGAACCAACCCCCCACCTTTTTTTTTATTAAGAAAAAATAAATATTTAATATTACACTATTCCGATTTCAATAGAAAAGTTTAGGATGCTAAAAAAAAGTTCGCCATTTATTAAGTTCCAGAAATTGAACTTAGTAATTTTCTTTATTATTATTTATTTACAAATTTCGTAAAATAAATATATTTACTTAAATGTATTAACATTTTTCTGCCTTTTGGTACTTATCCTCAGAAGCGTGTACACTTATGCAAGTCTTCTCAAGAAGATTTTTATTATGTATACTTGGTATTTACTTGATGAGGACTTTATTTTAGAAAGCTTCGTTGAGTATTTGGGGATGTCAAAATCCTCTAAAAATCTCTCCCCTATTTTCGCCAATGCACAAAATTAAGAGTACATTAAGGTTTAGTATTTTTTTTTTTTAAATATTTTAAGCGAAAATCGAACAGAAGAGTTAGCCGGCTCTCCTACCTCCCCTATGTGTACGCTTATGCTTATCCCTCCCTTCCTGCCAAATACAGTATTATTTTAATTTTTATTGACTTTTAATATTCGTGTTTATGTACATTATACAATAGCAGTATTTTTCAACAATTTCCGTCAAAATAAGTACCAGTCAACCCGGAAAATCCCGGTGTCCCGAAGGGCCGATCCACCCCTAAGTCTGTTATTGGTATAATAACCTAACCACATCATTTTATACCGTTAAAATAATTTTAAAAAAATGAATGATAAATAAAACAAATATAATGTACTCATATAATAAGTACTTACTAATATTATATAAACTAAATATAATGTTTTAAATATTTTAAATGTTATGGTTGTAACAAAAAATAAATATGTGTATTACATTTAAGATAACACCCGTACAACAAGGTTTAGTTTATATATCGACCAAATAAATATTCTAAATGGATTTCCTTACATATGAATATATCAATAATTATAATGTTTATGATCAGTTCATATTATTCAGATAAATTTAATAAAAAATAAAAATTTGGAAATTATTAAAAAGTGATTTTGAATTTATTTCAACACCATAAATTATTTCGTTCAAATAAACGTATTTTGAGTAAACTATACTATACAACTATTCGTTGTAGCAACAACGATTGATTTCGGATTTTTGGAAAATTCCGTCTCTAAAACAGTCTTCGATATTGTCTATTTGCAAATATAACGGATAAATCATTTTGAGCGTATACTATACTGTTTTATTTTCCAAAAAGGGTTTTTCAAGAAAAAAAAATGCAAATAAGCACACAATGATGAATATTGTGTCACGTTCGAATGTTTCCGAGCAGAGCTATAGTGTCAATAAGATGTTTTAAAAGTTTTAAATGCGCATAAATAAAAATTACGAGTAAAGATTAAAACTGAAAAATATTAATTGAAATACGAAAAATCAACATTGATAATTTTACCTTTAGACTAGTGTTGTTTGGGAAATTTTTCTTTTTGAAAAACATCAATACACATCTATACATTGTACAATTTATTGTAAGTAATAATAATAATCATTTAAGGTATTAAAATGATAAATATTGGATTTTTCAATACCCTATAAATCTGTACTTATAAGTTCACAAAATTATTGTTAACCTGTAAAGTTTAATTTATATTAATCAATATATCTATAAAATTAGCAGTGGTTAAAGTAAAGGGTGGAGGGGGACGGATTCCCCCTTTCTTATTTAAAATAAAATCATTAGACCTCTTTATTGATTTAAATCTTCGAAGTCCGAGAAAATGCTTTAATTATTGCAACTGACACATTTTTAATGCAATTTTAAAAACTAGAATTAACTGCGTTAAAGATAAATTCTTTAATACCTATTAAATTATACGTAATCAGACCCTGTTTACTTTATTTTCACTGAGGCAGGACAGGGCAGCTATACGTAGGTTAATATTTGAGGGGATTGCATTTTATTTTTAAACTGTAGTAGTATAAACATTTTTATAAACAAAATATATGTACGAGGGAAAAACATTTTGGAAGTCTTGTCACTATGATTGTTTCCTGAACACTATTTAAAATTATATAGAGTATTAAAAATGCATAGATTTAAAGGTATTGTTGCATTTTCATTCTATATACAAAACCAAATAATACCTACGTTAGAGAAGAATTTCAAGTAATATGTCAAATTAAAAAAAGACGGACATACTTCGCATGATGAGTGGGTCACTGTTATAGGTGAGAAATTGGAAAGGTTGACTATGAAGGGGAATTTAATTTAAATTTCTCTTATACAATCTCTTAAAGTGCCAAAAAGATAAAATTTCCTTTCAAAAAAAGTGCTACACTCCTGATATATCGAAGCAAAATATTGGGTAAAAAAAAGGCTCACGAAAAAAAAAAATTAACATCATTATAAAACTAATACATTTCTCGTTATGCTCCAAATCTAAAATCATAAATGTTATTTTAGTTAAAAATATATATTTTCGGTGTAGTGTCGGTTATCGAGTGGGTAAGAAATTATTAAATTGAGAATTTAATTTCACTTTTAAAATACAAAGATAACGTATAAGTTATGGAAATTCTATTACAATTAACCACCAGTTACTTGGCTACTTATTGATTTAAATAAATTAATGTCGACATTTTGAAAACAATGAAAACGTACAACGACAATATTTCGATAGGGCGAATAACTTCAATCTGCATGTAATTTCCGATCGGTAAATGAAGTGGTATAGATTTATAGCGTATTCATTCACCAAAAAAGGTTTTCCACCAAACGATACGTAAACACATATTTAACGGCATTCATTACGATAAATTCAATATTGCTGTACGATATTAGCTGCGTTCATTATTGTTCAGAATACGAATAGAGATAAATAACCACAAAGTGATATCTATAATGTTAAGAAAACGCATCACGTACGTGTACGAGACAAAAATAATATATTTGGTCTCCGAGAAAAATCATTTTGTATTCGAGTTAACCGAAACAATATGTTACAACAAATTTGCGTGCACCCAACACGGTGTAATAGCGTATTTAAGATTGAAAAATATTTTAAATTTGACTAGATAGACAAAAAAAAACTAATTTTTTTTTACATTTTTGAAAGTGATTTATTTTATATTATTCAATTTACCCTAAAATTGAAATCGAAATCAAACGAGTATAATATTAGTATTAGGTAGAGTGTTAGTTTGTTTAGGTGTATTTGATTAGTGCATCGTTTTAAACAAGAAAATGTACTTGTATACGTATACAAGGTTTTTGTTGTATAAGCAACACATTTTTATTATTTTTCTACGCGAAATTGAATTTAATGCAATAGGAAGTCTCATATAATATTAATAGAATAATAATAAAAAAAAAAAAAAAAAGGTCAAGGGGATAGATATATCTTCCTAATTTCTCCCTCTCTCTCTATCTATATACATCACCGACTGCTAAAATCGTTTGATAAAGTAATTCATTTTGACTATAAATATTGTAGCCGGGGGAAATAACACGTATGAGAACAATTTGTAAAATATTGTAAACAAGATTAAATAATTAACGAAATTACTAAAAGATTATACGTATAATACAAATATTGTTGAACAACTTTAATAATAAATTAAGATAAAGATAATAACTTGTAGACGTTCATCAGATAACAATATTCTGTTGGTAAACAAACTCGTACAAGTATGGATCGTTAACGAATAAAATACTGGATTGAATATTAATTATTATTGATCAACTATACGTGACTTTTATTAGAAGAATATTGAATTAAATCTGTGAAAATACCTGTATAATAAAATATTGTATATGGTTTAATATTATAATAGTATAATCCATTTCCGGTTACATTTTTATACAACTATTTATGTTCTGATCATTTTTCGTTTTCTTAGAGAAATTAAATTTCAACATTATTATTCCGACCGCGATAAATCGATTAATATAAATATTATAATCAGTGTAGGTATAAAAAAAAAAAACGTCAACATGGGGGTTTTAATCGATACTAAAAAATTATTATAACGAATACTTTCGGTTCTCTGCTTTACACAATATAATGCACACATAGATATACGGGTAATACTCAACGGCATTTCCGGCAGATTTTATTGAAATCGATAAATAACAATAATAATTTAGAGAATTTTATAACCTACCCTAATCGAAAAATTACGACAGTGAAATTATTACGACCGTCAAACAATGAAATTGATCACGGTGAGTCACGACTCCGTGAATCGCAATATTGTCTATACGCACCGACATCGCACAGTACTCGGACATTGAATCCTAGTCGCAATATTATTAATTAATTATTTATTATTTTTTTTTTTTTTAAGTAAAAAATTACGACCTGCTCTACCTGCAATGTGGCGTACGACCCGAGGTAAGCGTTCGTTAATGATGATTGTACAATCGTTCTTAATAAAACTTGATTTTACTCAATTAAAATATAATAATATACCTATACTGTTATATCTTTTTGTGTATAAGCGTAAGTGTACGATTTTTAAACAGTTTTTATGCATATTGTTAAGCCCGTCGTATAGTATGAGAATCAAAAAGTAGGCGAGAAGCAGATTATCCATCTCGTTTAAAACCGAAAATATTGCATTGTTTTTATTTTTATTTTTATAACGCATTTAAATATCGTTATATTATCCGAGGAATACGAAATATTATATTTGTGCAGTGCTTTCTGAGTGTTCGTTGGCGCTTTATTTTGTCAAAAAAATAATTATTACATTTTCTATAAGTACCAATTATCGTGATATAAAACGTCGAATTAAAGGTTAATTAAAAGTTTGATTATACTTTCGTAGGAAAAAAAAATAGATACGCAAAGAAGTACTAAAAACTCCTCTGATTTTGCAAATTGTTTGCATTATTTGTAAGTATAGAGAAGCTATGAAACTATATTTCAGTAAGTAAATAATAATTTCCTGTAAAATATGTAGGGTTCAACGAAAAAAACGAAAATATTTTCGTTAGTTTTATATGTAAGTTTATACGAAATGTGTTGAATGTTCGGGGTCAATTATTTTTTTTTTTTTTAAATTTAAAATTGACAAGTCAGCATTTGATTTATCGGTAATATTTTTTTTAAAATTCGTGTCAAAAATAAAGCAATTATTAATCTAAACAATTGAAATAATGTTTATTGTTTTTAAGCATTTTTTACTGTAATGATTAAATTCAGTAAAAACGCTTCAACTACTAGCGTTCCCAATAATTTATCGATAAACCAAAATTTGCAAGAGTATTACGGGTATTTTTTGCAATTTAATAGTAGTTAAAATATAATAAAGGGACTGTGAACAAAATGGATAATTTGTATAAAATCGTTGCAATTATACTTATTATTATTAAAATCAAAGTGACATGATTTTAAGTTATATTATTTGCATCGATTTCAAAAAGATAAAAATATTCATGTTTAGCAGTGTTTTTTTTTAAATACATTTTTAGAGGTAATTTTTTTTTTTAGTTATCAACCATAATTAATAAATAATACATTATGAATTACTGTAACAATATTTTATCAGAAGAATTAACATAGGAATATATAAGTAAAACAAATCTCGTATAGGCGTACCCGCGCATACATACAATCTCCATTGTGAAAATACAAAACATACGCATTTTGATTTAAATTAATATTATTATTTTTTTTTAAATTGAACTTGATTATAATGTTATATATTCCGTAAAATTTAATTTAAGAATTTTTTTTTAAAACGCAATGACAATGAATATTTCAAACAAACCATTTAGAAAAATATTATACCTATATATTTTTTATTGAATAATACATATTATTCAATTTAATAAATCGTAACTCTACGAGTAAAAACAAAAAACATTTTGAATTATTTAGGTAAAAAAAAAAAATCCCCTATACGCTCTTAGAAATTACATTATAATTTTTTTTCCGCATTTAAATTATTACTAATTTGGAGGACAATTTTTGTAAGAAAAAATAATAAAAATAATAATGTACACTTTAAAATATTACAATGCGCCTTGTAGTTTTAATTCGAACGAAACGCTCGTTAAGTTTCTTTAAAATAATATTTTCCGAGGAAAAAAAAACAGAAGTTCTTTTTCTGCGGTTTTTTAAAGTGCCACAAATAATTTCAGTAAAAGAAGTCGACGGGGATATATAATACTAATAAAAATGTACTTACGTATTTTTCAACAACAACTTTAGATTGTGTGTACGTGCACAACAAAGCTCCGGTCAGTTTGATTCTGACGACTGGCTTCTGTGTGTCTGCGGGAAAGCTCTTAAAGCCCGAATATCCCACCTGTTGAAGACACGCCTCCCATGAAAAAAAAAAAAAACTACACACCCTCTATAACCGTCATTAGCTTTCCACCCTGTCCCCACTCCCCGCGGTACTACCGCCACTACCGCCGCACAAAGCCTATACATGTATGTAATATAAAATATATGTTCAATCGTATGGAATACACGAACGAAAATTACACAAGGCAACTTTATGAAAATTATAGTTCTTCGCGGAGAATAAGAAGATATTATAATATATTTCTGTGTAATAACATAATAACATTAAAGTTACCGAAATAATTTTAGTGTTGGCAGATAACGTTGAAAAAGGAAAAATTGTGTGTATAGGTAAGTAGTTTTGTTTTTTTTTTTTCTTTTTTTTCTTTGATTTCTTTATATTCTGAACGCAATTTTTCCGTCGCAATACGCATAATAATATCGGGGTAAATATTATAGTAGGTACCATCCTACAGCTATTCGAGAATTGTGTATATTATCATTACTGTACCTACGCGTCATTATAACGTGTATTATAACAACATACCAAAAATCATACTTCATTGTAGTTAGGTATTTCAAAAATGATTATTCTCTGATAGTAAATTATATAGAGGGAAATACAATTTCCACTATCATAATATAATATTATGACGTTCGACTTTATACGTTGAAAATAAATAAGACAATGCACGATGAATACGTCTTGTTTACCACAGTAATACGACCTATGCACTGAGTATACTCGTATAATAGTAGTTTGAATTTATACAAATAAAGTATTGCACGGGTATACTTATTTTTAAAAATAACTAAGAAAAATTTGCGTAGCCGAAGAAATACGGTGTCTATACCGCGGTCCGGGTTTTTTTCTTCCCCTCCCCCGTTGAAAAATCCTGGCTACCCCGCTCATAAAACTGTTTTAAAAACAAAAACTATAATTAAACGATCTTATATCTACTGAATTTACAATTTTTTTTTTTTTTTATATATATATTTATTAATTATATTCTTTCAATTTCCAATTGAATATTTCCTGTGAACATAATACACAAATAAACCCTACAGCTATTTATAACAAAATATCTAAATTTACACGTAAAATATTTTACAGAACGATAAAATAGGCGTGGGCTCATAACGATTTGTTACTTATTATTGAAATCATGGCGATTTTCTTCAATTAGGCCCATATCAACAGCGAACAGGCAATAATTATTATAATTTTATGAACAGTGAATATTTTTTCAAAATAAAAAATGTAAAACTTCAAAAATACTACATTATATACACACGCATATATTATTATTTGTTATGTGTAGCATCTGGGTATTTTCTTTTTCAACGACGAAGCGGCCTCACGTTCGACATGATGACAGCAAAAGGAAGGTCCAAAAACAAAAGTGATATTAATTATATTTCTATATCATATTATGTAATTATTATTATGTTTAGATTATGAGCATATATTCTCTGCATTAATGGTTTTCCTATAACGTGTACTTAATTTTAATTGTTTTTATTTCTATTTGTGAACAGTTTTTCTACCAGAAACCTTGCTCCGAAATTCAAGTGTAGCATGTTTTTTTGAAACAAAACTTTATTAAGTTAATGTGTAAGGAAGTTATTAACTTCTCAATAAATGGATGAAACCGGCAAACAACGTAGAAAAAACGGCTTAAATATTTTGAATTTTGTTTTGTTTTTTTTTTTATTATTCTGTTGAATATATTCGTAGAGACCAGTAGAGACAAATCATTCTTCCTATTTTTGAGATATTTGTAGACATTTAACACTTTCCACTATTTTTTTTTAGTTTTTATTTAGTACCTAAGTATTATACGGATGAAATTGTTTGGCCAAACAGAAATGTTTGAAAATTTAACCCGAGATTCATTAGAAGTTGCACATAAAGCGGGCAAAAAAAAATACAGTTGAGTGTAGAGTAGTAGTTTTTTTTTTTTTATACTCGATTACATGATCAAATTTTGACGAAAATTGTGGGAAAAAAAACACGGCATTTCAAAAGACATTCCACCGAACTTGGCTTGAAATCATTTTCCGTCAGCAATAATGCTTCATCGGTATAAATTAAACAATTATTTGTTTATGTATCCTACCCTCCCGACTTCCAGCCTACAACAGTGGCATACCCGTAGTCATGTATCAGCTCTTTTTGTGTGTATATATTATTACGATGAATAACCCCATCTAGAGTTTTAGAATCACAAAATAATAACGTCTCGAAATATAAACGATTATAATAAAAATAATAAAAAAAAATTTTAAATCCCATAAATGAATACAGTATTTTCAGTTTACGATCATAAACATACATTTTTTATAACAGCCGAATGTTCCCTTAACTCCCGTACATCGTTCGGTTATAATATGTTTATTTTATATTCTTTCACGTATTATCGACAGTAACTATTTTTAGCCCTAGAATTCTTAACTTTTTTCCGAGTAACTATTCTTCGGGATGTCAAAAATGAACATCTGCTATTTATATACGCTTTACAAGCGGGTAAAATAGTAATAATTGTTGAACTGTACGTGTGGGGAAATTGATTTCACGTGGTTCACAGAAAAGTTAATGCAATAATGCGGTAGGTATTAATATTATAATATGCAATGCTAGAAATTCGCAAAACGAAAATATAAATAATTTGGTGTCCGGTCGGAATATAGCGTCACCTACTGTTTCAATGGCGAAACTGAAACAATTAGCCAATTTACAATTACAAAAGTATCAAAAATATTGAAATAAACAACAAGTATATGAACTTCAAATTATTAAATTTGAAAACATCCATACGGTATTATGTGAAGGAAACAATTATTTCGAAAAATACTTATTAAAGTTTTTAAATTTTAAAACTGTTTTGAATATAATAATTTATAAAAAAAAAAATTAAACATTAAATGTAATATATGTCTATTTTTATATTAAAAAAAAATAATAATGAACTAAATGTGATAATATAAAAATTAAAAATACTATTTTCGTCAAAACTTGAGCCTAAAACTCTTATAAACAAAAACTACTGCATAACACTCAACTTTTTTTTTTTACCACTAAGTACAACTTATTATGAAACTCATGAATACTTTTCGAGCATTTCTGTTTAGTCAACTAATTTTGTTCACACAACACCTACTAATTAAAAGCAAAAAAAAAAAAATAGAAACTCTATAATGTCTTAAATACGTACTCAATTACTAGACAACATTTTCTTTCAGAAAAGGTGCTACACATAAAATTTGTAAGAAAAAAAATTAAAATAATGAAATTGTTAATTTCATAAATTCGACCGTTTTCATTTTACGTATTTTTGAGGATTTTCCTGAGTATTATTTTGAAAACTGGTTAGAAAATTACAAACACGATTTCTTTCATTTCAACAAAAAGGTCTCTTAGCTTTTTTCTATGGGTGCAAATTTTCCGGTAAAATAGTTAGTTGTTCACAAACTGAAAAAAAAAAATATTAAAAGCCCACAACATAGTAAAACCAGTACCTATACATTTTCTAGCTTCGCATAGAATCTAAATTCTAAAATAAAAGACACATTGAGTAAATGTATTTCCGTTTTCTCGGGTTTTCTCAATTATTAAGAAAGAAATTATACTATCCAAAAATGGCCTTTCCAATGCGATAACTATGGAAAAAATTTGCTACCAAAAAATATAACAATCACTGACGTTTGAAAATAGATTTCTGGTCAAATAAAATGGCATAGTTGCAACTGTTTTCGAAGAGATATAGCGTAAAAATCAAAATCATGTTCAATCATAATAAAGTTTAACTATTGCGTACGTAATTAACGGGTAGCCGTAATTAAGAATTTGCCATTCAGATACCAAAAAAACGTCCAATAATTATTTGGAAAAAAAAATGTTCAATGTATTATATAAAATAAATGATAATAGAAAAATATGTATGCATATGATAAAAAATTTAGCCACCACCTCAAAATTAGTCACACGTGTTTCCCTACTAGGTCAGAGGTGGCTCCAGTGGGACCGTTTTTTTGCTACCCCTAAGCCCGTTATTTTGTTAAAAGCAACTGTACTAAAAAAATAAAATATCTTGTATCGACTATTGCAGACACGTACAAGTGTGTAGTTAGAGTTATCTACCCACTACGAAGTAGTAAATAGACTCATATAATATGTTTTTAATACACTTTTCTACAAAATATGACTTGGACCCCCCCCCCAACAAAGCCTCTGAAGCCGCCCCTGTACTAATTGGATCCGAACGTTTAAAAACAATACAAAACATTGTCCTTCTTATTTTTACAGATTTAAGACTTGGGATCTATTTTACCGTTGATTTTTTCTGTCATATAATCCTTTATGCATTTTCTTTTATGTAAAATATAATTTTGTTTCCTATACTTCTTATTTTAATATAAGTATCTATTCGGGTTATTTTTAAAACTTCTATCAACTAGTAGATATTAAAATGGATATATTGTGTTTTATTTTTCTAAACTTCTAAACTATTATATTAATATTACGTTACTAGACCAAGGCCTAAAATACCTTAAGTTTCAGGGGACACACTTTTTTAGGCCCTCTACTAGACGACTAGTAAACTATCCACATAAACCCGGGACCCAACTAGTCACAAGTGTAGATTTTTGAACGCGGGGCCCAACTCAGATGCGCCAGATCGTTAAATCGCTCGATTTCGAATGTTTAACCATAGATGATAGAATGTATATGAATACTATCTACTATCATTCAACGTTTCCCCGTGTAAACGAAGATGTGATAATGATAAGGAAAGTTAAATATTATTATTATCAAGGTCAACGTGTGCTATCATTATGTGACCGCAGCTTTAAAATTTAATTTTTTTTGTTTTTGTCCGGGTTCTACTGGTTATATGGGTAAAACTCCGTTATTAATTATATACAAAAAAAAAAAATTGTAACGAGACACAATTGTAATTATTTATTTTGAGTTCTGTTGTAAAAAAAACACGAGTATACGAGACGTAAGTACCCATATAAAAGAAAAATACCCTTGTTTGTCCGAGGTCATCTCCAAAACCATATATAGGTACCGAATAGATTTACACGTGGTTTTTTTTTTTTTTGTTACAATCTTTTGTCGGTAATTTTACCGGGAATGTTAAGATAGATTTCGTAATCGTATCATTGTTGTTTTGATATATTTAGTGCTACAATAAATCGTACATTTAATTACTGTCAAATTTTACATTGCACGAGAACTGTAAACAGGCTCTGTTATTATAATATACACTTCCGAACTAGCGTCGACCACCCTGCACCGAACTACATCTCCAAAATGCTACTTCCGATGCCGGTCCGGGAGTCTGACTGACGATTCTACGCTACGCGTTTTATTACCGACCAGTGACGTAGCCAGAATTTTGAAACGGTAGAGGCCAAAATCAAACAAAGAACAAAAATACATAATAATTAACATTGGAAATTTATTTTATTGTTAAATCAATTTTTTAGACTTGCATATAAAATAGTCTTCCAATGGCGTCACTGTAAACACTTATTGCCATGACCGCAACACCCAACCCCGTGGATCCTGTATACTCGAACTACTAGTATAAGGTCTATGGTGTCACCACAGAATGTACAGCTGCTGATACCCACAACCTAAACAATGGCGTATTTGAGAAGAGGGCGATAGAGACGATAATTTGCAAATCACATTTTATGTTTGATGAACTTAGGTATATAAGTGTTTCTAAATTTAACCCGTCGATGGTATCGATGGTATCGTGGTATCGCGATGTTAACGTAAGTAATAAATAAATAATTTTTTTATTCATAAGAAATTCGTTATTGTTTTTTTTTTTTTTCTGAAGATATTCGCGTCGATAACAGATAACATTGCGATCGCTGATTCACGGTCCACGGGTGATAATATCACCTGCGTTTTTTAGATTCTTTACGCTCAGAAGGTTTGAATAATTGAATGCATGTGAAAAGTAAAAACTAGGTACTAATATTTAGATATTTTGTAGTACCTTACTAACGGCCTTGAAACAATAATGTCTGTTTTATTCGAATTGCGGTATATACCTGTGTTTTAAATGCTTGATTACTCATAATTTAGTTTTTATTAATAACAATTAAACTCTCTACTTTTTCTTTTGGTGGTTACTTATTACTCGTCTAACGTCCACTTTTTGACATAACACTGTCTTATTATTTATATCCTCATATTAGTCATACCTGCTACTTTTAATATTTTGTAAATAGGTTAAAAACTTGACCGAGATCAAAAATTTGGCCAGAATCGCTTAACGGGTTGGGCATTTTAAAACGTGTAGACAAATTTCGTATTTCGTTTTCGGAACCGAAAACGTTTTTGATTTTTTCCGCGTCACGCGTTTTCGCGAACGTAATCGCAATCGTATAAACAATAAACCGAATAAATACGTCGAAATGATCATAAACCGGACAGTATTATAACCAGAGTTCGGGACCCTTATGTATAGCATTTATAAGCATTCACACACTTTTGTTATTCATTGTGAAATATAACAACGTGCGAAATAAATTCATTTCTCGGTACCGCGATACCGGATCTGAAATGCGATTATATTTGACTAAATGGGTGTTTAAAATTGAACGGAAACATGCCTACGTACCGACCTGTGCATGGCAGGTATCTAACATCAGTCGGGTAAAATCATTCTTGTGTTCCAACAAAACATCAAATAATAGGTATATCTGCAGTCTGTCAATCATAGGTAGGTTACCTAAATGTACTGTATTCTAAATGTTACCCGTATTTGCATAACATCTGCTATAGACAACGTGTTAAAATTATTGTAACAATATGCCGTAGACATTTTTATACCTTTGTATTTGGTAGCAGGTTCGGCGTACCAGTGCGTACTCATAGGCGCAACTAGGGGGTTGCCAGAGGGTCTTTAGCATCCCCAAGTTTAAAATTAACGCCGCCAAAAAAAACTTAATAAGCTTTTCCACAGTCTCGACTGGACATTTTATCCGTGTATTTCATAATATTAATGTACGAACAGTAACACAACAGAACAAAATACAGATATGTCATACGGACAATGCATGTGTGTGTGTGTGTGAAAAATAAAATAGGCGAGACAATAACAAACCAGTAGCTCATATTATTTATCGAACTTTGAAAATTCATCAGATAGGACGTGGGCACGTCGTACATATTATTGTAAGTTTTTCAGGCTCAATTCTGTCGTATAATGTCGTGTTAGCTGACTACCGTGAGCTCATCGAACTATTCTAGTCTGCGGGGTAGTGATAAAATGAATATAAAGTATACAATGGACGCTGTGTAGCGATGAAATGAGTAAACATTATGCAATTCTACAGTTGTTTTATATCGATGAAATTACAGAATATAGAATAGATGGCACCACGGTCGTTTTCGAATAAACTTTACGACTAAAGATAATATCATGACATGACGTTTTATATTATCATCATACGTCGTCGTCCTGATAAGACGTGTCCACGACGTTATCGTTGATAACATTTCAAAACATTGCAAAAATCAACAATAATAATTTTAAAATTTACTTAATGGCCCATACCCTTAGGTACTCACTTGAATAAAAACCAATGTCGTTCCCATGACCACCGTACACTTCTACGACGACAGTGGCGTATAAAGTGTAGTAGAATAATGCATTGTTTTGTAAGTATCCGCAAGTAACTAATAGAAATCTTAATAGGTATGTCGTTTAGCGTTGACACTCCGTTGTCGGTAATTGCCGACAAATCTTGGAGTGAAGTATGCATGTACGCCAGGGAAGCGGCCGTGTTCCTGGACGATTACGCCGCAGAATCACTACACTGGCACGGAGGGTGCATACTTCTGTATCGGGCGGGCGCAAAGAGCATCAAAGAATTGTCTTCATTCGAGGTGATTCTTTTAAAAATAGATAATCCTTAAATATATATTGCGTAATATTGTATTATATACTTCGACGACTACAGAGTGGCAATCCGAAAGACCGTAGGTGTTTAATAATCGTTGGGAAACCCGTTGACGAGCTGGTCGTAGCAATTGTTCAAGATGTTTTAAACAACAGCAATTTCAAATACTGCAGTTTTGTTGCTGGATGTGGATTAGGTGAATTGTATAATACCGGAACGTTAGAAAGTGAACTTTGCAAAATTATTTCAACCAAGTATGAGGTAATCCATTATATATATATATCTGAACATCGTTTAATCGTGTTCGATTTTTTAGTAAAATATGAATTTGCTTTTTTTTTATATCTGAATGATCAATAATCATTTAAAAAAAATATATATTTATCTGCAAGCGTTGAGAAATAATTAAAAAAGAATACACGAAGAATCGTATTTTATTACATAATTTTACAATTTAAGTGGAGTAAATAATATGATAAACCATAATGTAATATAAATGTGTTTTAGGACGGAACAACAGATGTAATAAACATACCAATTGCATTGACTTGCCTATCTCCTTCACTATTTTTAATGCCCCATCTCCAGAATATTCCTTTATTGATAGAAGTATGTTATATCCTATAATATTTGTTGTACTTTATTACACTCCCAGTTATTAACTACACTTTAAACCTAGATCTTTTGTTATAGAATAATTATGAATTATACGTATCAACAATTGCAACAACTTTAAATAACATATTTGACCATTTAAATGTGAAAAATGAACTTTATTCCGTTGGACCTTTAAGTGAAGCGGTTTCTAATTATTTTTCTAAAATTCAAAAAGTATTATTATTTAAAATTTGATATATATATATTTTTCGAGAATTACATAATTTTGTTTTTTAGCCTAAAAGTACGGAAGCCAGCCGTATCAATGTAATACTTATTGATAGAATAGTCGATATGTATGCAGTTACTGATTTTGCATCTAGTTGTCCATTGGATAAAATGAATATATTATTGAATAGATTTCCAAAAACATGTTCAGATATAGCGGTCATTAATGAACCCTTATTACAAGACTCAAAGTATGTTGTATCGGTTATAATATATTGTGTGGTTTATTTAATTAACTTAAGTTGTTTATGATAAAACCATTAAATAAATGCACTACTGTTAACGAATATTACCTTTAACAATATATAAATACAAAATATTTGTAAACACATATATTGGGTGGCCAGATTAAAAATAAGGGTAAGAGATATTTATTGAATATAATGAAATCTATAGAATACTAAATATTTATATTAGTATTTTTAATAACTACCAGGCGTAATATTATGGGGCTGTTGTAAAACCATCATTGGTTACAGTAAATTCATTAAAAACAAAAATATATTAAATTATTAGGCCAGCAAGTTATTTTTCCTGGTATCCCAATAGCCACTTCTGAAGACCACTTGAATTCCATGCCAAAAAGTTGCAAGTATAAAAATGTCAACAATACAAAAATATATGTAAAAATCCAACCACCAATTTTTTATTTTTTGTTAACTTATTCAGTGTAATTTATTTACAAGTTCTATGTAATTTAAAAAAAATAATAATAATTTCTTAAATTTTGTAGTTTTCATTTATACAGTTTATGTACCTAAACTAATTATATTAGTTAAAGAATAACCCTTTCATTGTCATTGGTTCATAGTTCATTTACATGTTCATTTAAAAAAAATTAAAAAAGTAAATTTTTTTGTGTGGACATTTTTGCGCACGGAATGTTTTTTAGCGTATCATTTTGACAGCATACCCGCCCGCGCTGCACTAATTGACTTTCCTACACATATTATGTAATAATTTACAACCCAAAAGTATATATTTTTTAACATAAATATTATTATTTTTTAGATATAAGTCAGTCAGTGAACAGGTACAAGTACCAATGTGTTTGGCTCCAACATTAAAACCAACACCGGTGGTTGAATGGTTGTTAACAAAAAATGAAAAAAATTTGTTGACAAATATTCGAATTACATTAACTGAAAAATTATCTGGCCCAATCAGAAAAACTGTATCTAAGATTACACCACAACTGTTAGAAACTATTTTATCGAACAAACAGTTCGACAGTAAAGAAACTATGGACTTAAAACAAGTAAATATAATTTAATTACCATAGAATATGTTATATTTTTAATACACTTTGATGACTTACAATCATATAAATTATTTAGTTTATTTATATTATGAATAATTTCACAAATGTGAATCATTTTATTTTAAAAATAGCCCTAATTAGTACGCACAATTATAATTTGAATGCTTGATTTTTTTTTGTGGTTTATTTGATTTTTCAAATTTTCAGGGCAACATTAATTTTAATACTATAATAAATGACTTCATTAAAATAATCTTAGTATATATTTTACATATTTTAATTATGTATCTATAAAGTTCTGTATGAAATTTCAAAGATGCTTAATGTTTATAAAAAAAAAAAACTTGTTATTACAAACCAAATAATTTCCTCTGCAAGTTAAAAATCTAAATAGTTTTCTCAGTTAAAACATAATTATTTAATGTTAAACACTTTAAAAACTATACATGTTTTTTTGATTTTAAATTATTTTTATCATTGTTATAACTAATACATGTAGGAGTATTTATTTCATAGTAATATTCTTTATTTAATAGAGTAATTGTATTTTAGCAAGTGTTATGTATTTGTGCTGCGCTGAAATCTCCAAACCTCTCAAAAATTGAACTTGCTCAAAATATTGGTAAACTATTATTGCAAAATATTTCAACGGAAGGTGACTCTGATATTTTGATACAAGTAAATAGTTTATATTTAAAATAATTTGTGTTAAGTTGTTTATAGTGTAATTTTTATGTTGTATTATATGCATTTACATTTTTCTAGGTTAGTCAATTATTTAAAACAAGAAAAGACAGAAATTTGTCAATAGAAATTTTATTGTGTATTTTAGTTCAATTGTATTCAGTTGTTGATGGCGATTTCAAAATATTTGATGAACATCAAATCGATTTAGAAGCTATAATTGGTGAAGCCTTTTTTGATGACTTAGAATATTTACCAGAATATATAATTAAAGACCTAATAGGTAAGTAACCTAGTAAAAATAGTTTGTAAATAAATTATTTAATTTTTGTAAAATGATTTCCTATTAAAAATATTTAGAAAACAATTCTAGTAAACCGTTAACCAGCACTGTAGCAGCTTGCCAACAAGCTGCTGAAAAATTATTTTATATTTTAAATCAGATAAAATCATCAAGACAACATTTTGTCAAATACAGGTACATTTTTGTTCTTAGATATATATATTAAAAAATATTAAAGAGATCTTACATTTTTGAGATATTTACTTTAATATGAACAGTGTAAGAACAGTGTCAGATAAGATCCAGAAAATTCACCTTTTTTTTCTAAATAAAACGTTTGGATTAAATTAAATGTTAAACTTTGAAATGTAGTACCGCGACACATTAATGCCATATTATATTATTAACCACAACAGTATAGCCGTGTGGTAATCAAACACTAGTCTAGTTATCAATTGACTTACTTGTTTTTTTCCTGTAGGTCTAAACTTCTGGTGCTCATTATTTTTGACTAATCTGGTTTTTACGCTAGTTTGATCGTACAAAAGATACAGTACATCAATGCAAATATTTGATACTAATATCGCCATTTTAAAAAAAAAAGTGATTGGTTTTTTCCTCGGGCCCAGTATATGAAATTATCCCACTAACAATACAGAAATTTCTAAGTTTCTCTGTATTTCTGTCAAAAGCAAAACTGCTGGTATCTTACCAAATTGTACATATTGGATAAATTTACATTAGATAACAATACATTGATTGAATTTAATGTATTAATTTTTGTATGGGTTAAGTGAATTACATCCTACATTTTATTTTTGTTATTTCAAAGTAACCATTTTACCTTTTTACTATTCTTTAAATATTTTAACTATACCAATTAAAAACAATGTTTTAACCTGTCATCCTTCACACGGGGTATATTTTTCCCCGGATTTGTTTTCTTGTATTTATTTTACAAGTAAATAAATTAATACAAGCTTAAATGTAAATAATTTTTTTCCAACTTTTGGTTGATACAAATGTTAGTACATTCAATTATTTGCTTCATCATACCTAATCGAAAAATAAAATCTGTTTTCAAAATAATTGTTTACACTTCTGGTGATTACTCTAACTCTGTTTTTTTTAGTTAAATGGTTTACAGATGCAACTCAGATCCTTTGATTCATGTTGTGTTTACGTGACTATTTAGTTCCATCCTTTCCACATAATATTTTTTTGGCAAGTTCAAAGGCATCATCTAATTCATGATAAGACAAATCTGAATCAAAGTATTCAATAAGACTACCTAAATAATTTTCATCTAAATCTGATTGCTTACTATCTGTATTATGATCACTCATATTTTCAGTAAGTGGTTCTTCAGCATTTTCTTCGTCTGGCACACCATTCCAAATTTCTTCATTGCTAACCATATCGAAAAAGTTTTCTATATACCGTTTTTCAAATTCGTCTATTTTAAATTAAAAAAAAAATTACACAAATTACAACAATTTACTCACACAGAGTTAATTATTTCCAAACACTAATGCCCATCATTTTATAATATTCTATCAAGTGAATAGAACACTGAAATAACACAAGATCGATAACATTTTATTTATAAACATATCATTAAAATCTATAGAAATATAAAAATATTTTTTAATGGTAACACTTATAAAATTATGAATAAAAATAAACTGAGATCATTATTTACCTTGTGCCAGTGACAACGGATTAATTGCACATTGAGTTAGTTTTTTTACTATCTGTTGCCTTTTAAATAATTATAGTAAAATAAGTAAATTAAAAAAAATTGTTTTAATTAATCAGTTTTTCATTATACACTTATAGTATACAAAATATTTTTGTTTTTTTATATTAATAATACATATAGTAACGTAAAATTGATAATACAAAGTTTATATTCAACAGAATAATTTTAATATTCTATATTATAAATATAAATATTTACAGTTACAAAGTCAAAATGTTTCATTATTAAATTAGTATTTTATTTATATTTATATACAATATAAGATTATTGGAAGCAAATATACAATAAAAAAACAATCTAATATATTTAATTATAATGAATAACTAACATTGTGCCAAAAGAAAATGAATTTAAAACTACATGGAATTATTTAGAGCTTCTTGTAATCTATCTTTGTATTTTTCACTGAATGGATTGTTCTCTTGGTTTCGACATTTATCCAATTTTTTACTTATACGTGATAATTCTTTTGTGTGATCATCAGCTACTCTAACATGTAATATTCTTATTCTTCTTACAACTTCAATTAAATCTTTTAAATGCTCAGATCCAGTTTCGCCTAAAAGTAAATCTGTAACGTAAGAATCCAGGTTTTCTTTTATTTGACTAGCAGAATGCAATACTGCAGCTAACGCTAACTGAGATGGTGCAAATAATAAACAAGCATCTGTAAACAATAACTTGTCAATAAAACTATCAATATGCGGACGCATTCGATCCGGATCAGACATTCGTGTTCTTGTTTTAATGTCTAATAGAAAACCTTCAACTGCTTTGAATGGATGGTGTACTTTAAGATTGTATTTTATTTGTTCCATGAGAAATAACTCATTGTTAAGAATTACTGTGGTAGCTCTTGATTGATTGCCCTTGATGTTGGCAACAAATTGGGCGAGTGACACATTGAATTCGTCAACTTTGCACGCCAAAAACAGACATGTGACCATTATTTCTTTTGGATGATAATCCATAACGGAGTTGTACAAATAAAATCGTTTTAAATAATTTAATGCAGTTGCAAACACATACTTTGGCATAGGTGGCTGGAACTTATGACAGAAATCTCTTAACATGTATTCGTGACATTTCTGAATTATGTGTTCTTCAGTGGCATCTAAAAAATACATATTCCGATCGCCAGGACTTAAATGTGCTCCAAATCTGTTGACATACTTTTGATTAGCATCTTCTCGTAATGCATTCAAATCCAGTTCGTCTTTGAACACCCAATTTGTTTTTTGAGTACTCGTTGGAAACATTTTTATATTATCACAGTAAAGTATTCAAAATATTTCTCGTATTACTTAAACTTTAAAACAACTAGAGCTAAATACTTTTTATTTACAAATAAACTTAACTACCTAGATAATGTTAATAACTTAATTCAAATGTTTATTCGGTTATTAACTTAAATATTCCATACCTACCTTCAAGCTGGCATGGTTCGTTGTGCATATGCACATTCAATTTACTGATAATTGATAAACAGTTAAGTTTGATAAGGAAATTATAACAAGTTTGAACAACCACTAACCACGTCATGTTTACTCTTTGAAAAATATTATATATATACCGCGGTAAAAAAATTACCAAATAACCTTGATAATCTGATAACCTGATATTAAAATTAAATCATTTTCAAAATATAAAACAACTACTCAAACTAACTACTTAACTATTACGTAAAAACTAAAAGTATAATGTTACGTTAAACAAACATATTATATCTTTAAACGTGATTATATATTTCGATAGTTCAAAATGGTCATACCAAAAACGAAACTTATAAGTATAACCACTAGGAAAATGTTAGTTTTACCTACAATTATGTGTGCCTTTTTTCCAATTATTATATCTGGTGGGTCTTTTTCCATAAAATTTATTTGCGTTTTCGATTAGGTTGTAGGGCGAGGAATGTATTGGTTTTACAATGATTTTTTTTCCTGTGAATAACTTTTCTACCAGAAGTTTTGTTCCTATTTTCAAGTATAGCCGTTTTTCTGAAAGAAATTAGACCGAGGTAGTACTTTAAGGAGATCGTGTTTTAATTTTCATGATAAAATTTCCCTCTACCTTACCAACTTCTTACCTACAACATCGCGTAAAGGACGTCCGTGTGTCTTTTTAATTTTAAATGTTCGTTATTACGAAAGAAGTCAACGTTCCGATAACATTGACCCCAAAAATATATACAATTTTTAGATAAAGCTCGGTGATTCGTCTAGATTAGTCTTCAAAGAAAAATCAAAAGTAGCTTAAAAGTTTTGACGATGATACCGTAAGAAAGTAAATCAAAAAGGCTACAAAACATATATTGTGTGATTTTTCGATTAAATCATTTTTTCTGGTAGAAAACGTCATTCGTGTTTTAATAAAATAATGAAATCGTGAAACTGTACGTTTTCCTACGTTTCTTCCCACTTAAGTGCTTTTATTTTAAAAATGGCATCAAAAATTAAAAATGAGTAACTTAGATAATATCTAGACAACTTGAGCTTCCAGAAAAATTGCTACACGTAAAAATCGGAACAAGTTTACTAGGAAAAAACGTGTCCACAGACTAGAAGAAAAAAAAAATTGAAAAATAAACAGCATCGTAAAACCAATAGCTCGGTTCATCAGGCTCCTTCTTCTTGGATATTTTAACACTACATCTATCGAAAATTGTTTAGACGTTGAAATAAAGTGTGATTTGAACATTAAACCATATTAACAGTTACAGAGTTGCGTGTTTTCCCTATTATTAAATTTTGATTCACGTCATCGTCAGTAAATTGGTCATTTTTTTATTTTTCAACAGTGCAATTGTATACATTTATCGCATTTATGTATGCGTTCAGAAAGTCTGGGTTTCTACAGAAACGTTTGTTTTGTGGATTTTAATTTCTATCCAATTGTTTAGTTTTTTTGGAGGGAGGGGGAGGGAAGGTCTGTGCAAACAGATCTGTCGTTTACACGCTTGTCGTGTACATGCATCATTGTTCCGACTACAGACGCCTATAACATATTTTATATATCTAATACTTAAACCATATTGTGTAATTATGGCAAAATGTTTAAAATACCGAAGAAAAAAAGTTAACACTTATAAATAAATGTCAAGTTGAAAGGCATGTAGACATTCTCAGATGTTAGTTTGAATAAATTGTACAAGTTTAAAATAAAATTCTTCTAACAAAAAGACGGATATACTTCGCACGCATGAGTGGGCCATTGTTGTAGGTGAACAGTTGGGAAGGTAGGATATAGAAGGGAATTTAATGTATACATTATACTTTTACGCAGCGATTAATCATTGCTAACGAAAAACGATTCTGAGTGGAGTTCGGTTATATATTTTTTGAAAAGCCATTTACGATTTTCGTCAAAATTTGATTGAAATTCTTATAAGAAAAAATTCTACATTACGCTCAATTTTTATCACTAAGTACTATTTATAATGATTATCCAGTAAAATTTTCAAGCATTTCGGTTTGGTTTGACAATTTTATCCACATAGTACCTACCAAATAAAATTTACGAAAAAAACTCGCAAAATTAAAATGTTTATAAATAGTTCAAAAATGGTTAACACATGTTAACCACTTCTAGAAAAAGCAAATACAAATTTTCTTTTCAAATTTCAAATTTCTACAAATATTTATAACTGAGTTACAACAAAAAACAAAATTGAAAATAAGAAAAGCATTATTTTGGTAAATTTGTGAGTTCTTTCATCGGTTTTGTTCATTTATTAAAAAAAACTACACAGAAAATCAAAAATCAACTTACTTATTCACCATCGATATTAAAAGTTTAACAACAGTGAACACTTGTCGTTTTTTTTTCTATTGGAGCAATATTTCTGGTAGAAAACATTAACTGTAAACAATTTAAATAAAAGAATCGTGATGCAGTCAATTTATCATTTTCATTTTTGGTTTTTTATTTTGGTAATTCCCAATTACTATACCAATACATTCCTCGCTTTGCTCAGAATCTAAATTATCCATAAAAATTGTTTAAATTGTATTAACAATATAAACAAGTAAAATCTTTCCTGTCATTTTAAACATGGCTAAATAAGAACTACAGAATTAGATATCTGACCAATGAAGAATGTTTCTATCTTTTTCAGAATATGTGAAAATTAGAGGGAATTTGTGGGTAGGGCTAAAATTAAAATTAAATGTTTTAAAATTATGTACTTTTTATTTCTATAAATAGAAAATTGTTTGTAAAAGAAAACCCTTACGCACCAGCAGTGTACAATTCTTTTGTCAAACAATTGATGGAAGACGTGTGCAGTCCAATGCGACCAAATCTACCAGTTTTAAAAACCAAATCTGATGGAATTACAGATTTTATAAAATTAGGTTTCAAGTGAGTAATGTTCAATGTCATAACATTTCATAGTATTTAATATAATCATTACAAGATAAAAGTTATCATAATTATTATTATTATTATTTTTTTTTTTTTTCAGTAAGATTATTAACACAGTTAACAAACATCCATTAGATTGCGATCATCTAATTGTTTTTGTTATCGGTGGCATAAGTGGACATGAAGTACATTCAATATGTGAAGCAACCAAAAACTGTGGTATCCGAGTGAGTGTAGGCTCTACTAGAATTTTATCTCCCTATGAGTCATTGCAATCAGTATTTAAACAAGTGTAAATTATAAAAAATCACTATATTTATTTAATAACTTAACAATAAGAGGTACATAATAAATAATTATAATTGGTAAATTATTCATGGAATGATTAAATGAGCAATAATTTTATTTATAAATCCCATTCGTTAAATAATAAATAGTGTCAATGTTAATGAGTACCAATAATGGTCAGGTAGGTAGATAAAATATAATCATTTTCTTTAATCAGAAGTCGAATTACTGAACGAATGTAATTTCTCAATGGATAGAGACAGCTGTTCCAGGCTAGCCATTAGGGAATGCATGTTTTCTGTACCTTTGGCAATTCCTTGTTCACTGAGCGGTGTTGATCCATCTTGTCTCACGCCGAGTTCAAAATGTAACCATGCTAAATGTTCCTGTTGTTCACGGATAGCAGTCATTTGTTCCATACTGCAGTCTTTACCTAAATTATGCACATAAATGTACACATAAATTGTTATTATTATTTTTGAAAATTATACAGTTGATTCTTGAATATTTGTAATTATGTATTGTATTTAAATAATTGTATAAATAATAATGGGATATGAGATTAAGGAAACTTGTTAAATTATTTTTAAAAACTTGATAAATAATATAGTTTGCCTAATTATTTGTAAAACTATTCAAAATTAAATATATATTTTACGTACTTAAAATTGTGAACAAATAAAATTATGTAGTATTTGTTTTCCATTCAGAACAATTAAAACAAATTAACTGTAATTTATTAACTTCAATATTTAAATAATATGAAATTATTTTTGAATTATTCAATATTATTTAATATTAATAATTACCAAATGCACGCAATTTTCCAGAGTGGAAATCTTCGAGTAGTTGCTGAAGGGCTTGTTCCATTTGTCTGACGTCGGTCACATCTGACAAAAAACAATGATGTAGGCAACTTCTGTCCATAGTTTGTTCAGAGAATACTATGTGTTTTATATAGGACAGGTTTCAACAACAAAAGCAACCAACACACAAAATATGTATATATAAAAAAAAAAAAAAAATAAATAAGCTGAAATAATAAAATATAAAACTCATATAGGTGTGGAAAGGTTAATGCTATATTAATATTTATTTTTTTGCAAGAACTACAAGCATGCTTGTGAAATGTAATAAAAATAGTTTAGTACCTACATAAGCCATGTAATGCATTTTATGATTGGAATTTTACATCATTACAAATACTTTTTTTTTTTTTTAAATAAACAAGTCATATGATAAGATACAAAAAATATATAATTAAAATCAACAACCAAAATACAAAAAAGGCTATTCAAATGTTTTTATTAAATAAAATACAATTTGGAAAGTAATTAATAGTTGAATTAAGTATTTTATCAATTTATTCAAAAAAATAGACAACTGGATTGTACCTAGTTTATTATTTTTAAACAGGTGTAGTGTGATTAATTATTAGGAGCACCCATTTTGTCATCAAAAATAAAACAAAATTACATTTTAAAAAGCCATTGATGATAATATCGGGATTTCTGTGTAAAACAAAAATCTGCATTTAAGTTTTCCAACAAAAGTAGACAAATTAAATATTAATTTTAACTTATTTGAATTTATTTTAATACCATATGAATTAATATTTTTTTATTTTAATTGCTTACAACACACATTCAAGTTACAGTATAATAAAAATGTAATATATCTATTTTAAATTGAAATAATACATTCCGTCACCTATTTGAATAATGACAATATAAACAACAAATTAAATTACACTTGTATTTGTTACTCAGAAATGATATAAAGTGAATCAAACATTGGAAAAACTATATTACCTACATAAATATACTTGGTGAATGCAAACAAATTTTATTTTATTTTAGTGGTTGTTAAATGGGACATATTTGTAAAATGTATGCTCCAATTATTGAACAAAATATATGTGTATGATAATGAATTAGATTAGTCACATGCAAAAGCACTACAATGTCAGAGGTTTTAAATTTACAATGGTTAATTTATAACAATGGAATTAGACACACATTTTAGACAGATATTTTAACACTACATTTTTGATACATTTTGTTTTATATAGTATCTTTAACTGTTAGCTATATTTTTGAACCTAACAAATATAATTAAAATTGCAAATAATTTAACTTAACGTGCACATAAACACAATAATTATAATAATAAAAGGTAGGTACCTGAAATATTATGTATCTAATAATCATTAACATAATTATTTTTTTTCTTTAAATACCTAGTAGAAATATTTCAAAAGTTTTAAATAATTTTTAAACCAAACTTTAATTTGTTAGTTTTAAACTAAAGAAAATAGCTACTAAGATACACATACATCGGGTAAGTATTACAAGCCAAAATAATAAAGAAAGATGATTTTTCGATTACAATATTTAATACATATCGAGAGCTTTTAAATAAAAATGAAGAGCATATCTATTTTATTGCAATGAATTGCCAATTATTATACAGAATAAAACTCCAGAAAAACTTAATGTTTCAATGTCAAAATAGCAATAGGTGCTTTGATTGATGAATACTGTGGATTAGAAGTTTTTATTAAATACAATGTGTTCAACTGTATCCATATATTATCAATTTATAAAAGATATATTATGAAATATTGTATTATTTATTTTGCCTACTAGCTTTTAGATGTTTAAAAAATAATGATATTATGAAATTTACTAAAGAAATGAACAATACAAATATTTGACAGCTGTAAGTATTTTCCATATAAATTATTTATCATGTTTTATAGATAAGAACATAAATAAGCTATGGTATACTATGTAATATTGTACTGCTTTGTTAAATTACCTAGTTCAATTCAAATTAATCACATTTGTCCTACTTAATGGTAACACACACTGTTGAAATAATAATTTGTTTATAATTATTTAAAGTTTAGATGTATGTAGGTATAACTTTGTGAATTTAGATATAACTATATGTACATATAGTTATGGGTAATGAAATTTGAAGCAGGTAAAAAATAAATACAAAGGTACCTACCAAATAAATTATGAGCATTGATACAGGGACAATTTAACTTATTAAGTATTATTATTTTTGTGTTGTTGTTAGAAGTTATTTTTCATATATAATACAAATAAAATACTTAATTGAACTAACCTTTTTTATTTTGCAACTTATTAAAATTTGGCGGAGGTGGTCGAGGTGGTTTATAATCATGTAAAGAACTTCGTCCTAATCTTTCGTTTACAGACATTAAACGAGCAGTTCCGCTTGTGTCTTCTAGAAAACAAAGTAAACAAAATAATATATTTTTCTAATAGGTAAAGCATTTATATAAAAGTCATACTGGATAATTGTGTTTGCGGTTTATCTTGATGTATAGATGAAGTACTTGACAATTTGGCAGTAGACTTATGGGATTCATTCTTTTGACTTTCAACTGAAGGTGACTAAATTTAAAAATTAACAAAAAATGAGTCACAAAAATTACAAGTTTATTAATATATTATTGCCCAGACACCTTGTTACTTCCACTGCTAGTCTTGGTACGGCTGTCGGTATGGGAATGAGCTCTTGGTGGTGGCTTGGGTGTAATAGGAGGTGTAATGTGTACATCATTTGTTGGTCTGGGTTCTTCATCAGAAGACACTAGTTGTTCCAATTCACATTCTTCTTTTTCTACAGACATGGTCAGGTTATGTGCGAACGATTAATTAAATGAATGGATATAATAATTATATAGTCGTTTGATAGTTAATATTCAATTTCTTTTGACTGAAAAACCTAATTTAACAATAATATAAAATCTAAATAATGCAATCACAGTAGTTTTTTTTTTCAAGCATACAGAAAGGAAGACAGATTTTGAACTTTTTACAGCATAAATGTTAAATGTATAATTAATTATTATTATTAATATTCTCCTTCCTAAATAGTGTCATTTCTAACTAGTTTTTGTCATTGTGATTTTTGTATTTATTCTTAAATAAATATTACGTGATATGTTTTTTTATTGATAATCTTCCTTTTAAGCTGATTACATTCAGTGTGACATCATATTGATGAAGTACATTTAAGTTTTTTAACTGGTCAACATGATACGCAATAAAAGTTGATCTTAAAAATTTAAATTTGTAAAAATAATTATTATTGTCTTGGTATCACTCTTATCATGACGATACAATAAATATTATATAAATAATAGTAACAAGTCAACCTCAGTACCTTCTATATTTCATATACCTTTTATATAAGCAAAGTATAATAGCAATTCAAGTTCAGAAATGACTGGTAATATCATACGAATTGTAAAATTCATCAAAATGAAATCTTCATTATGATTTATAAAATATTGCAAATGATTAATTAATGCTTTAATATCGATTTCATTGACATCAAAAAATAAAATCATAGAGTCAACTTGTTCGGTTGTATTTTACTTAATTTATGTGTTATTTAATATTTTTTCTGAATAATAAGTTATTTTTTTAAATTAGTATTATTGCTTGTCAGTCACATTTTTTACTCTGTATCTAGATAAAGGTTTAAATATCTAGCTATTTAACTTAATACATAAATTAAACACACAAATTTAAATATTTAAATTTACACATAATCTTTATTACCTACATATATTTTATAATGAATGTATTTAACAAGCATGCACGACTATCTATTGGTAAGTTTGGCTCTGCGTTTGATCGAAGCCATCACAGCCTATCGGTAAATATACCTAATACTGAGATAATTTTAATCTTTAGGTGTTCGAAACATATCCAGTTGGATGTTACCTGAAGTCCATTCCAAATTAAAGAAAATATGCCGTGAATTTGCAGAAGCTGAATTAAAGCCTGTCGCTTCTATACTCGACAAACAACAAATATTTCCTTCCGATCAAGTAAATACTTAATTTTGTATCAAATAATATATCTATAATTAAAAACTATAGGTACTGATTTAAAACAGTTAATTACTGTTGTAATCTGCTTGATTTCACTGTTATTAATTACTCTTGTAGAACATAGATTTGTCTTTTTGTATAGACTTTCTAATAATGAAAATCCAATATTCATTCAATAACCTCGAGTATAATTGGTAATGAGTAAGATCTCCAGAAAAGTTATTTGATAACAACTTTCTAAATTAAAACTGTGAAATAATACATAGGTATAGAATAGAGAGCTATAAGGTTTCTAACTACCCCCCTTCCCAAAAAAAATTATTTCCTACATCAATCCACTGAAAAATTACCATCAATGAAGCGGTACAATTTTTATTGTTTTTTGTAAAAATGTATCAAAAACTTATTCTATATCTATTTTCAATAAAAAGAAATGTTAAATTTTATGATGTGCTTCTTTTGATAAGTTCCGTGAAGTATAATAAAATACAATATTATAATATTAAATAGCCTGTTTCAGCTTATGAGTTACCTATATTTTTACAATAAAATAATGAACATGATTGAACTAAAATTATCTTTGTATCGCTGTATTTTGTAAAAGGTGTAGCCTCCCTCCTCACATTGAAAATTGTCACGCCATGCTTATGGAAATAAATCTAATCTAAACTGAATTATATTGTAACAGGTAATACATTGCTTTTGGATTGTAAATTATTTAAATTTTTAAAATAGCAAAATAAATAGTTAAATTACTTTAAATAAAAACATTGTAGAAACACAATCATAATACTTTATTATTTATGTTACAGATAAAAAAATTGGCTGGTCAAGGAATTATGGGAATTTTAGTCGATCAAAATTACAGTGGTTTAGGAGCAAACTCTCTTGCGTTGTCAGTTGCCGTAGAAGAAATATCTAGGTTATTTTAATGCAGTTTTAATGCACTCTAAACAAATTAATATTAATTTACTTAACTTAATCTGAATTTTAAATTTATTTTAAAAATTAGATGTTGTGGGGGAACTGGAACAATTGTAAGTATCCACAATGCTCTATATGCAGGAATAATAAACAAAATTGGCACTCCAGAACAAAAAATGAAATTTCTTCCAGAGTCGAATAACGGTATTGTTGGTTGCTTTGCTCTTAGTGAATCAAGTAATAATTACTTTAAAAAAAATATTAGAAATTCCTTTTGTATTAATATAAATAATAAATATGTTATTTTAAGTTTAGGCAGTGGTAGTGATGCAGTCAATATGCAAACAGTAGCAAAACGTGAAGGTGATCACTGGATATTAAATGGTACAAAGGCTTGGGTAACGAATGGCATTGAAGGTGGTGCAGTTATTGTGATAGCACGAACTGATCTTTCTAAAGGCCATAAGGGTATATCGGCATTTATTGTGCCAACAAGTACGCCAGGTATTTGAAAAACTATTTTTAAAAAATTATATTTTTGTAGATTATAATTTTAAATTAAATTTTAGGTGTAACAAAAGGCAAAAGAGATGATAAATTAGGCATTAGAGCAGCATCTTCATGCAATATAATATTAAATAATGTTATTGTACCAGCGGAAAATATGTTAGGCAACGAAGGTGACGGTTTTAAAATAGCCATGTCAGGAATTGGTCAGTATATTTTAATAATTTTAAATAGAGTAAATAAATAAATGCAATGGCGATGGCCTGGAGTATTAAATACACATTAATTAGTATTTTTTTTTATAAACATTTTTGAATTTATTTATTTATTTACAAGTATTAACCATTTTAATAATTTTACTTTTACTCTATTATTTTATTATTTAATAATTTTATTAAAATATATACACATTGGTTATGTGTATGTTGTAACACACAAAAAAAGTATTAATTTTAACTTTTTTTAAATATTTTATAGATGTTGCAAGGATTGGTATTGCATCTCAAGCATTGGGCATATCACAAGGCGCATTGGAATGTGCTCTTAACTATGCTGGAAAAAGAATTGCTTTTGGTAAAGCTATTATTAAAATGCAAGGTGTTCAGGTATGAATGATATTAAAACTCATTTAATGTATGTTTTATTAGTTAACTTATTTTTTTATATTACCAGCAAAGAATTGCAAAAATGGCTACACGATTGGAGGCTGCTCGGCTCTTAACTTGGAAAGCAGCGTGGTTGAAAGATAATGAAAGACCTTTCACCATGGTAAATGATAGGTTTATAAAACTGTACCATAACATACGATTTATGATTAACAATATTTTTCACCATGTAATTTGTGTATTTTCTCAGGCAGCGTCTATGGCCAAATTAGAAGCATCACAAACAGCTACATATGTTACACACAATTGTATCCAGATTCTCGGTGGAATGGGATATGTTACAGATATGCCGGCTGAACGACATTACAGAGATGCAAGGATAACTGAAATATATGCAGGTCCTACAGATATACAATACCTTGTAATTGCCGAAAATGTAGCAAAAGAATATGGATTTGCTACTAGATAAGACTTATATTATATTGAATAATTCCATTAATTATTTAGGTTATGGTTAATTTGTTTGTATTTACACAATTTTGCTTTTTATATTATTAAAGGTAAATATGAATTGACTCTGTAAAATTGTTACAAAACCATAAAATAAATCAATTGTTTTTTTTTTTATATATATATATATAGATTTTAGGTATTTAATATTGTATCAATTATTGGATAAACAATATACCAACTTTTGTACAAAATTTAGTACAAACCAATTAATATCAATTTTTAAGATTACAAATAACTATAGACTATGATTAACAATATTGTAATTTTATTATTATTCTACTATAATGAATAACTTACAAAATTAATAAAATTACATAGACTTTGGGTAAGAGTAAGAAGCCATCAATTTTTTTCTTCTTTCTTTAGCCTCCAACTTAGCTTGTCTTTTTGCTTGAGCTTTGTTTATTAAATCTTTAATAACAAACTCCGGTAACCGTTTCCCTCTCCATGTATTAGGCAATATTGTCATATTAATGATATTTAATTTGTCTTGAACATAATCAACAGCTTTAAATTGTTCAGCTTCTTTAACCTAAAATTTTTGGATATGTTTTAAATAGATTTAAATAAGCTATTTTGTTAATAAGATTAAATAGTTTATGCTGCAATTTACTATTTAGAAAATTAATTTTTTTTCATTTGGTAATTTAAAGATATTTGTAATTGCAGTATTAACATGAAATTCAATTAGAAGTTATTAAAATATAAATATATTATTTTTTTTTAAATTATAGTTATTCTATTATACTTTATTATACTAACTTGACTCATTAACTCAGCTTGAAAAGCTTTTTCTTTTCTTAGTTCTCTCTTTTGACGTACTTTGGCCCATACATACTTCATGCGCTTTCTTAATTTCTTTAATTTATGTTTTTTCATTTTATTACGCCGAATTACTATCAACCGTGCTGCTTGAATCTCGTTATCATTATTGACTAAAGGATCAACTAGAGGAAAAGATATTGTCGGTCGAGGAATTCTTATAGGAAGACATGGACAAGGTTTGTCTATAATAATTCTTTTGGTTGATAAAGTTGGCAAATTAATAGAAATGGGTAAGACAGGTGAACCCAAAGGTGTCTGATTCAAAGAACAAATAGTTCGTATTGGTAGATGTACATGTTTGTTAGCAGCAATGGTAACTATATAAAACAAAAAAAAAATACAAATTATGAATTAATACCAAAAGCAAAAAAGTTGCAATTTTTTTGCTATATTTTAAACTTTTCATGAATAATTTAATAACACTGAAAAATTTGAATTAATTTTTGTTATTTTTTAAATTAGATAACAAAAAAGTTGAAAACATACTGTATTACTTTATTTTTAGTTTTTTTACAAAAATGTACAATTAACTAATTTGTTTTTTTATCAAGATTCAATAGTATGTACTAGGTAGTTTTTATGATTTAAATAAAAACATATTTTTTATAGATACGTTTATTTTAAGAGGTACAAAATGTTAAATTCTATAGAACTGAAATTAACAAAAGTGTACTTAATAACATCATTGTTGTAATAATAATGGTATATAAGACCAGCAAATTAAAGTATTGATTATTTATAAAATCAATGATGTATATATGTAATAATTGAATTTTAATTTCACTAAATAATATAGGAGAATTAAAAAATGTTTATAAAATTAAAAAAAGATTAAGCAGATTGAATTTTATGTTTTTTAAGTATGTATTTTCATTTAAAATCTTACTATTCGCAAAACTTCGTATGACAAATCTCAGGTTATTTAGCATCGTAAAACATAAATTTTAATTCGTTTTGAAAATTACATGTAAAATTCACAAAACTATACACACACTTACACAAGAGAAAAAAAATTAATTTAATATATTTTATTAATTAATAATTTTTGTACTATCAACCACGGTTTTGGGTTATCCTTATCAATAATTCGGCAGAACTTATTGGTTCATAATAAAACGGTATCAATACCGTGGTCATAGTTGGGTTAAGTTTTTTACATAATCAAAGAGAATATAAAAAACAATTCGAAAATTTAAATATTATAATTTTTACACTATTGTGTTGTTGAAATTTTAGACCATTTTTATGATAAACTATTTTTTTTGTAATAAGTAATAGTTAGTTATACTTTAAATATTGTCATAGATAAAGGAAATATTATTTGTCTGTGAATAGTGCACTGCACATAAATCAACATAATATACCTAACACTATGTTATCGTTTTTTAGGTATGTACCCTCCTAATTATTACTTCAATAAATGCCGAGGTCTTAAATTTCAGCACTCTTCCCAAATCTCAAATAGGTTCTATTTGTGTCCATGTCGAGACGGGTGTTTAAAGAACATTCACATTGTCTCAGCGAAAGTACTGTTGCCAAGCGCTGGTATAATACCTACCTACAGATTACTGCAGCAGTGTATTGGCGCCCCTCAAAAGAGGTAATACCTATTTTTAATGATTACGAGCCTAAGCCTAAAACTGGAATATCTCGTCAACAGATTGACGGAAATCGAAATTTATTCAAACTATACCCCATCTATTTATAGAATTTGTGTTATAGCTGGTTCTCATTTGAAAAAACCGAAGTTGGTATTTACTCCATAAATTTTGTGAAAAATCTAAGTATTCAAAAATATCGGCTTTAAGGTACACTAAAAAATTCCAAAAATCAGAATTTGAATATGTGCAAAATTTAATCAAAAAAATGAAGCGAGCACGTTTTTGTGAATCATTCTGTACACAGTATACTGCAGTAATGGTCCAATGACGTGGTGAAGATAGGTTTTGAGAGGTCATGGTCCTTGAATTTGTTCACATATTTGGAATAGAATTAGACGATATAGAAGCAACTTTCAAATGTGACCACTCATCGTGATCGTCAATCGTGATATCAATATCTCATCAGCCATTTTCACTCATTGACTACAAACAGTTCAAAGTTGATATAAATATTACTCGACAGTGTTTGGTTAGGGGCTAAATTATTGAAATCATTTTTGATAATAATTGTATTAAATAAACTGTGAGCGACTTTAAAAAAAATAGTTGGAGGTAGAGATATAGGCATATAATTGTTTGTGATTGTTATTACACCACTGACTACATGACGACACTGCATATTGTTAGCAGGATATTATTTTACAACAGCTATTCATTCTTCTATTTTATTAAATTTAGCACATATTTGAACACTATGTAATGTAAATTGAACTGCTAGCTAGGTAGATATTTTGATTGTGGATTTTTAGTTGAACATTAACTATTAAGTCAAAGTATATCGTATAATATACCGATGAATTTCCTGACCTTTCTAACTTCCTTGCCGTTTCTGTTTCGGTTTGAACGGACCTTAACGGGGGCAGAGGGGGCACTGCATGAAAAAGCGTTGTCATATGGGGCGTCTTATATTTATTTTGACTGCACACGAACAGGATCGGTGTATCAAAACAAAAGATGGCCCCCTTTATTTGTTTACTGCTTAGTAGATGTGGGCCGCATAGGTAAATAAAGTTCACTTCCGAGTGGTCGACATAAAAAGATAAGCCGCGGAAGTTTCACACGTACAATATTATGTACTTACTCACGGATAATATATTTGTACAAATAAAGGGTGTTTCTTTAAGAATGCCGGATTTAATTTTCCCCGTATTTTTTTTTGTGTGTATTGGCTGACCTATTTCTTTTATCATTGTAATCTATAAACCCTCCGCAATAAAATGCTGTAAAGGTTTTAACGATACAATTTTGTTTTATTCATTTATTTTGATTGTTTCTAACGTTCTGTTTGTAACCATGGTGCGACTGAGTTTACAAGAACGCGTTTTGGTTGTTGAGACTTTTTATTGTCATAATGAAAGTTATTCCGAAACAGTGCGCCATCTTAGACGTATCATGGGTCGAAATGAAGCTCCTAATGACTCAACAGTTCGTCGATTGGTGGTTAAGTTCAAAGAAACTGGCTCAGTGCAAGATATCAAAACTTCTACGCGTCAGCGCAGTCGCAGATCTCTTTTTAATCAAGAAATGGCTTTTGACAGTGTTTTGACCATTCCAACGACATCTCTTCGTCGACGATCACAACAGTTGGCAATACCGCTGAGTTCGTTGAATCATGAAGAAAGATTTGCATTTGCACCCATATAAACTCCAACTTACTCAAGGGCTCAAAGATAATGATCACGGAAAACGCAGACAGTTCCCATACTGCTCGTGCGACAATAATTTTATTTAACGAAAATTTTGAGGGCCGATTTCTTTCACGATGTAGTGATCAGTACTGGTCTCCCAGGTCGTGTGATCTAACTCCAATGGATTTTTTCCTCTGGGGTTACGTCAAAGCTCATGTCTACGAAAACAAACCACGAACAATTACTGAGCTTAAAGAAAAAAATATCAATTAGGTATACAAAACATGTAATGAAAACAAAACACTTGGCAGTTTTAAAAATAAATTACTAGTATATGTATCGTAAGAAAATTGTGACATTTTCAATTACTTATAATAATTATTGAAATATACACAATTTTAATTACTATTTCGGTAATGTAAACCCTGAAAACTTCTAGCCCACCCGATAGCAGTGAGTTTTAATGTTGCTAAAATCATAATTATATCTAAAAGAATTATAAAAGACGGCAGGGGTTTTCAAAGACCTTGAGAAATTGAATAAACATTTTGTATTGTATACGTGAGCATAGACGTGACTTAGATTTCATCGGCAGCGATAGCATAGCTAATGATCGGTGCCACTTAATGAACCAAAAAAATCCCCTTTCAATTGGGGGTATGGTTAGTCTCCCCTACCAATTAAATATATGTATAACTTAAAAGGTCTGTATTATCTATTTCCAATTAGTAATGTAGAATATTTTCAGTGCCTTTAAATTTAACTAAAGAAATATTATTCAGACCTGGATTACACTTCCATATAGTTAAGTAATTAACAAAATATATGATGTGTTAGCATATAGAATAACAAAAATGATAGACTGATAGAGAATAATATTTTGTTATAAATAATGCATAGCACTTTATTTTTAATAAAAGTAGTAGGCTACTAAATGTTGATCCTCCTCGGAAAAAATTCTAACACCACTGGAATAATAATATGCATGTATATACAATATATATGGTTATATGTAATAGGTATATTCTCCAAAACAGTGGTTAAAGTGAGTTAAAAGTACTTAANATTTTTAAGTATAATTATTATAGTATTTATTGTTGATTATAATTTTTTTCTATAATAATGCTTTTCCATAATTTTAACATATCTTATTTTGAATAAAAATAAAGCCCTTTCAAGAATTTAAAACAAATTACAGTTTTAAAAACAAATAATAGGGGAGTTAATAAAAAAATAATTAAATTCAGCATTTTTAAAAAAATTGTAGTTCCGTACTTGTTAAACCACTGCATTTTATTTTCAACAAATCACTGAATCTGGGCTATTTTCCGGATTCTTGGAAAAAATTGTTTGTGACCCCAATTCATAAGACAGGGATAGACATAATATTGCTAATTACAGACCAATTTCCAAATTGTCCATTATTCCCAAAATATTTGAAGCTATAATAACTAAAAAAAACTCTCCATAATTGTCTATCCTCTTATTTGCAAAAACCAACGTGGGTTCAGACCTAAAATGTCAATCTCCACTAACATCTTACTTTATCAATCCAAAATACTTAAAGCCTTAAATAATCGTGTTCAGTTAGATTCAATCTATAATGACTTTCAGAAAGCTTTCGATAAGGTTAATCATCACCTACTTCTTAAAAAAATATCTACATTTGGTATTCATGGACATTTTTTAAATTGGTTATGGTCCTATTTAAACTGTCGAACTCGAGCGGTTAAAGTATCACATAGTATCTCTCCCTACTTCTCAGTTAGTTCTGGTGTACTGGTGTTCAGGTTCCCATTTAGGACCTCTTTTATTCATAATATTCATTAATGATTTACCCTCTATTTTTGATAACTGGGTCGATATACTGCTATTTGCTGATGACGCAAAAATTTTTTCTACAATTTATTTTCCATCAGATGCTTTAAATTTGCAAGCTAACTTGGATAAATTTGTTATATGGACTCACCAAAATAGTTTATCTCTAAATATAAACAAATGTAATGTTATTACTTTTTCACGAATCAATAATCCTATTAGCTTTGATTATAAAATTGATAATTGTTCCGTTACAAGAGCAACTTCTATTAGAGATTTAGGGATTATTATTGATTACGATTTGTCTTTCACTACTCACATTAATACTATTACTAAAAAATCCTTTAAGATGCTTGGCTTTATCAACCGAAAAAACACAGTTAATTTTAAAAATATAAATGCCTTGAAAACATTATTTTTTGCGCTTGTTAGATCTCATCTTGAGTTTCGATCAATAGTCTGGTCACCTAGTTACATCACATTTATTAATTCAATTGAAAATGTACAACTTAAATTCTTAAAATTATTGTGTTACAAATTAAATNTTCCATTTATTTCAAAGAACTCGTACAATATGCGAATAGGCGAGTTGGGCTTTATATCTTGTAAAGTAAGAAGAGAGGTTGCTGATATTATGTTTATATATGATTTGTTAAACGGTTACATTTTTTCCATGGATTTGCTCTCTATGATTGAATTTAATACAACAAATAACCGTTTAAGAAAATCAAACTTTTTTTATGTTCCATTTTATAATAATAACTACAGCTCCTCTTCTTACTTTCCTAGAGCATTAAAACTAGCAAATCTTATTGTTGATAATGTAGATTTTTCCTTTATGTCACGTAATGTTTTCAAAAGAAATGTATATTTAGTCTTAAACGATGTTGTAAATTAAGTAATTTTCTATCATTATATTATTGATTTAGTGTTTGTCTCCTATTGTATTATTATTGTTTTCATTATTTAGATTTGTCTAATTATTATTATTTTGTATTGTTAGCTTCATTATTATTATTGTTTTAAATCGAGATGTTTATTGTTAACTATAAAATACTTAAATATTTAAACCTGTACTGCCTACACAAAAGGGTCTTTACCCGTTTATTATACAAATATATATGGTTATATGTAATAGGTATATTCTCCAAAACAGTGGTTAAAGNTAACTATTATAGTATTTATTGTTGATTATAATTTTTTTCTATAATAATGCTTTTGTATAATTTTAACATATCTTATTTTGAATAAAAATAAAGCCCCTTCAAGAATTTAAAACAAATTACAGTTTTAAAAACAAATAATAGGGGAGTTAATAAAAAAATAATTAAATTCTAATCATTTTTGGCATATAAATTGGAAAGTTGTATTTTCATGGTAAGTCCATTACAAGGGTATTGTGATTTAGATATTCAAAATTGTAGCCGTAGTTTTAATTTTAGTGATATACTTGTCAATCAAAGGATGTACTTCTTCTTTCAAAAAATATGTAACCTGTATAAAATAAATAACAAATATGTTATTAAAAATCGAAATAAAAATGTATGTTTTTTTTATTTTTGATGTACCTGTTCAGAAGCACATCCAATAAATGTAGACGGATCCAAAAGCTGAGGTAGTTGATCTAATATTGGTGCAAAATATGGATCTTTCTTGATTCTTTCTAGAAGATCATTGTCTTTACCTTCTACACGAACTGTACTGGCTGCCTCTAATGACAAAACTCTTATCTTTTCATGGCAAACCTGTATTTAATTTAAATTTTTTTATCAAATCTCACAAAATTAAAAAAGTTATTTTAACAATTTATTTTCTGTGCTATACAAAGAACATGATATTTTACTATTTTTCATATTATAGCTACACAATATGGAAAATTAAGAAAACAGTACGACTTTCTCTATATATGAGTGAAATTTATGTTTTTATATTATTTTACTTATGTTATAATTACTTGTCTATCTCCACCAATTTTGACCATTGCAATAATTATGTTTTCTGTCGCCATAAAGGGTAGTACTTTGTCAATATTTCTTGATATTACTTTTGGGAATACAGTTAATCCTTCAAGAATATTCTGCAATGTTAACATAACACTATCCGCGCACAAAAATGCTTCAGATAAACATAGACGTCTGAAACATAAAAACACATTTGTTAAAAATTGTAAAAGTAATAGCAATAGTGATTAATTTAACACATACCTATTCGCACTGTCATCTAATGTACGCTCTAACCACTGCACAGATGCAGTGGTCAATGCATTGTTAACCAGATTCATTAAGTAACGAGAAATAGAACAAACCCTTTCACTTCTCATCGGATTTTGTTTGTAAGCCATTGCGCTAGAGCCAATTTGAGTAGATTCAAATGGTTCTCCAATCTCATTTAAACCAGCCAATAGTCTCAAATCTGTACAGATCTATACAAATATAAATAAAATTCAATATATTATTAAACTTTATATTAAAAGTTTAAAGCATAACAGGAATAATGATTTTAAAACATTTTTTTTTTTTGTCAAAAATGAGTTATTAATATGCCTATGGCTATACCTATGTGTTAACTTTGAAATTTTCTATTAAGCATGGGTATGCATTTCATAACAATTATTTTTATACATTAATGTTTAAATATTAAGTGTACAGATCATAAACAACTACCACAGATTAAATAAAAAAATTAATTTAATTCTTGCTATGACCAAAGTTGTAAGTAGTATTTGAAGTGCCAAGTTGTTGTACAACAATCCATTGAAGTACAACACTTTCAGAAATTGTTTATAATTAATTTTTGGAACGAGAAAAATAAGCTGCACATTTTGATCTAATATGTGTGCATATCTAATAACTAATAATAGTAATAACAATAAGCACACATGAATACATGTAGTATATGTACATTGAACATGAATATATGCACACACATGCATAATGAATAAATTTAAATATATTTTTAACTTATTAACTTAACTTTTAATTTATTTTATTTAATTTTAACTAAATTTTCTGCTTGTCTATTTGAATGTTTAAATAAAAAAAAAAAGTGTCATCAACATATCTGTAATATAATTTTATATATAGATTGTATATTTTGTTATAAATAATATTATCGGTTTCATAATTTTACATGTAAATTTCAGATAAAAGAACACTTAAAGGGCTACCCATAACTAACCCATCTTTTTGCGAATATAATTTATTATTATATTGAAAATAGTTTTGATTAATAATTACATTTAATGATTGAATAATTTCTTGTAATTCGTTTCTATTAAATTTATTACTATGTATAAGTTTATTTTTTAAAAAATGTACTGTTTCATATTCAGAAATGGATGTATATAAATTATTGACTTCAAGAAGAATCATTTTGTAACCTGGCTCAATATTAATTTTATTAATTTTTTCAATAAACTCATAAGTTTTTTTTTATAAGTATCATTATTCATGTTTAATTTTTCTTTTATGAGAAAGTCTAAATATTTAGCAAGGTTATAAGCTGGAGTAGTTTTAAAGTTAATTAATGAACGAATCGGATTATCTTGTTTATGTAATTTTATTAATGGATGTATGTGTGGAGCTTCTATTTTGTAATACGATTTTAATAATATTTTCTTTTGGACTTAGGTATGTTTTCATTCAAAATTGTTATCAGTTTATTAATTTCTTTAGTGTAAATTATATTTGGGTCAAATGTTAAGTTTTGAATATTATTATTATTTATAAAATCTAAAGTTTTTTTATGAATTTCATTTATGTAAATAATAACAATAACATTGATTTATATACTAGAACTATTTCTGAATTATTTGCTTTCAATTTATTCACTATGTTGTTAATAATTGTATTTTGTTGTTAAACTATGCTATTTTGTTTATAATATTTTATCAAGCTTATTTTTGTAGGTATTATTGGTGTTGTTTATTTAATTATTTTTTTATTTCTTTACATACATTTTTTATTAACTATATTTATTTACAAGTTTTAATCATTTTAATAATTTTGTTTTTACTTTATTATTTTATGATTAATAGGGTTCAGATGTTTATGCACTTTAATTAACTGTAATATGTATGCATTTACACACTAAAAAGTTACCAAATAAGCAACCAAATACACACTGAAAAATATTAAGTATGTATTTTTAATTTAAAAAAAAAAAAATGTATCTTAAGTGTATTTAATTTTTATAATTCAAATTTATTTTAAAAAAGTTCTAAAATTTACTGAAATATACATTTATGTTCTTAAAATCCTAAAATACAAAACTATAAAATATGCAAAATAAAAATACTGTTATTTGATTCAGTAGAACACGAGTCAAATTTGTATCCAGGTCAGCATTGAATTGAATAAACAGAAAAAAAATATTCAATTTCATAAACATCTGAACCCTAATCATTGTTAACAAAAACGATTCTGAACGGAGTTCGGTAATACCTGTTTTGAAAGACCATAATATCTACGGTATAATAATAATACATTTCGATAATTTTCCTGTTTTCTTACATTCATATCAATTTATTATGAAAACCCTGGGGAGAATCAAAACATGACTTCCTTAAAATACCACCCCAGGAAAATGTACTTTCAGAAAAAAAATGCCATAATTAAAAATCAAAGTAAGATTTCTGGTAGAAAAATTGTTCATAGATAAAAAAATAATAAATACAGTTATTAAACTAATACATTCTCAATCCTCCCAGAATCTAAAATATTGTTTATGTTCTTTCGCCTTATAAACATTAATTTGTTTTAATATTGAAATACCTTATGGACAGCAGACCCAAGAACACTGAGGGATGAAACTACTTCGGCATCGACCATTCGAGGATATGTCTGACCAGTAACAGAATATGAAGACTGGAATCCAGCAAGCTGTGTCACTTTCTTGTCTAATTCTCTAACTTTTTCATAGTCCCCTGTAAAACATTAAAAACATAATGTTAATAGATACACATATGATACAAACCTATGTATATTAAACAATAAATAACTTACCATTGAATAATTGCAAGAATGATGCTTGAGTTCCAGTAGTTCCTTTGATACCACGAAACTTCAAATCATCACGAACACGACTAATTGTTTTTTCACACAAAACTAAATCCTGTAGCCATAGGCAGGCTCGTTTACCAACAGTAGTCAGTTGAGCTGGTCTAAAAAATTATGTTAATTATTATGTATTAAAATTAAAACTCATACATAATATATAAAATAATGTCTTTTCAAAAATATTTTTGACCTCCCTTGTAAATAAAAATAACAAATTATATTTGATAATATTCTTAATGCTTTATTTTAGATTTTAAATGAAGTGAGAAAGCTATTGGTGTAAAATTATATACCTGTGTGTATTTTTTGGTTCACTTTTTTTATATTAATAGATAAATATTTTGTAAAGATTTATAAATTTATAAATTGTTAATGTATAGAATATGTTAAATTTAATGTTTTCATTAAAACAAATCTCTATAGGTACATATGTGTAATCCAAAATAGTATTTATGTGCCTTTTATATGTTTAATATATTATAGGGTTTATGATTTTTTGAAAATTGGAGAAGAGGGCACAAGAAGGCACTCCACTAGTCAAATACACACTGTGGCATAGAAAATCTTAAAAAGATTAGTACTTACTGAAAGTGTGTGAAACCCAACGTGGCCAAAGACTTATGTTTTTCGGCGAATTCGGACAAAGTTTTCACGCAACCGGCCAGTTTCGGTAACAACAAATCAAAAGCGTCTCTCAAGATCACTAGGTCCTAAAAAAATTACGACAATTAGCACAATGTAATTTACACTTGCGTATAAAATCATTTGTACTGGGTGTACGCCGTACGGTTCAGACTTACGGCATTGTCTCCGATATCGCACGAAGTGGCGCCCAAGTGAATGATGGGCCCAGCAGTCGGACAACAAGTAGCGTATGTGTGCACGTGAGCCATGATGTCGTGCCGGGTGAGCTTTTCCTCGTTGGCGGCCGCCACAAAGTCCACATTGTCAATGTTGCTGCGAAGTTCATTTAGCTGTTCTTCGGTTATGTCCAGACCCAACTCCTAGACACGTAAATGAGCTTTAGATTAGTCTTGAAATTCATTGTTATCCTTCGAGGGGAACATAAATCGTTTAAAAATTGAGCAATATTATCTTTTTGGTAAAAAGTTCGATTTAAAGACAGACTACTTTTTTTGCACACATTATTATATGCAGGGCCGGCTACGGAAACTTTCAAAGTTGTGCGAAACGGAATATGGATCAAAACAAGTTTTCTTTATCTATCTAACCTAATTTATAAACTTATATCAATATAGGTACAGGTGCACACAATTTATATAAACTTAAACTTAATACAAACCAATATATATACATTTAATTATAGGTAAATTTATGCAGATTAAAAATTAAGAAATGCGATTTTTACTTATTTATACGTTCGTGTTTCAATGTAGTGTGTAAGTAACAGTAGTAATATGATATCATAATTGCGTCTATTTCACGTGCTACAAAGTATTTATATGTACCTAATACCTGCCTATCGTGAACATGATTATCTAGAAAATGTAATGTAACATTATTATATCATATTAAACAATTGTTTTTTACTTTTCTATGTAAAGACATACGATATATTTGCCAAGTATTATCAAATTCTAACGTTGGGGATACATTTTTTTTTTTTGCATTGAATGCCAATACGACTTGAACCAGCTCTGCATATTATAATATATCTTGTAACGAAATACCTATACAACAAACGAGTTTTTGTGTATATTCTTTAAAAAAAAAAAAAAAGAGTGCTAACCTTCGAGGGTTTACAACGTACCTCTCATCGTCATCCGCAATGTTGTGTCATAGTTATTAATTACAGTAAAAAAATATAAAAATAGTTTTTTTAACGATAATGAAAAATACGGATTATCGAAACCGGCGTTACAAAACTTTTTTTGTGGGTGTGTTGGCATGTCGATAGGAGTAATCTTCGAAAAACTCCAGTGCACCTTAATTTGATTACCTACCGAAACGATTTGTTCAGCGCAAACATTGCTATACACTTAACTGCTTATCGTGTGTGTGTGTTTACATAAGTCACATTACACATCAAGCACATGTTAATAGTATACAGTGTGATTTAACGCACCACCCATTAAGTATCAAGGAAAATACCTATGTAGGTATTGACTTCTTTTGGGACGTTTTTCAATTTTGTCCACCCGGGTCCTCGTATTAGAAAAAAAACCAATCGACAACAAATTGGCGAAGTTTCGGCGGAAATAAATGTCTGCGTTTTAAATTGCATACAGTTACGAGTCCAGGACCCGAAATACGCAATCGATTTCGGAGGACACACTTTTTAACTCACTGATAGAAATGATAGATTTCCGTAGACGAGAAAAATAACAACCCGTGTGACTACGTAGCCCTTTTATACACAATACTTACACGTGTATGTTATTTATAAAAAAAGTACACAAATATTATCAACACAATTAAACACGAATTAAAGCGTGGGCACACGATTTTAATTGTAACACAAAACAATTTTAAATGAACTATTAAACGATATTGTGTAGCGGTTAGGTTGATTGTCATCGGCTTTACTGTTATTTCTACAATCAAAAATGCGCGCGCCCGTTACAAAATACTAGGTACACGCATTTGTAGTTATTCAGGGGACACGGTATTTTAGGCAACGGGCACTAGACCATTCTGAGTGGGGTCCTTTTTTCGCGGGTAGTGAAACAGGGAAGCGACCGAACGGTTCGGCGTTATTCGTGCGGCGGGGTCTCGGCGGCGTTCCTGTGCCGCGACGAGCCGAACTTTTAAACGTGCCGGCGCAACGTCCCGACCGAACCGAAACTGCTTCGGTTTACGGGAATTGCATGGCACGCGGGGCGGGGCGGGAAGGTTGGGGGGGGGGCTGCTCATCACCCTGTATATTGAACGCGCGCGGCCGGGTAATCTAATCGGGTTTCCTCGTCGAGTGTCGTCACACAAACGTTATTGATATTAATGTTACGACGTGACTTATCTGAATGTACATACGTAACGCACGCACCTCTACCAGGTTATTATTATCATTATATTGTGTTGTACACGAGACGCCCGTGGCATGCGCGCACATTGCGGACCCGCCGAGTTTATTGCGTTGAACGCGTTCGTACAATAAAAAAAAAAAAAAAATAGATAAGTAGGCACGCGCGCTCGCGAATCGAGAGACCGCGGCGTTCCGTCGCACCGCAATCGACGACGTCACCCGGGGCCGCGCAGACGATCCATCCGGAATCCGGAATCCAGGCAACACGGTTTATTCGCGCGGTCGAACGAGCGTGTTTTGCGCGTACATGCGCGCGCGCGATTTGTCCGCGGACCACGAGACACCGTCGACACCGCGACACGTTACTGCAGATACGGATACGACGACGGATTCGCGATGGTGAACATAGCGAGCGTGGGCACGGTCGTCATTAAAGTCGTGAAATTGGTACCTATATGCGGAACGGGAGATTTCCCGCGCGTTTTCCCCGGGGCTCGCGGACTAACTGTAACCGTGGAAATTTCGATTTTCGCAGGTGCTGAACATCATCATTCTGGTGCTGTACAGGACCGGATATCACGGCGGTTTCCTGGGCGTGGGCGGCACGTGGAACCTGAACGAGGAGAAAAACCCGGACGCGGAAATCATCGCGTCCGGCGTGTTCATCGGCTTCTTCATCTACACCGTCGTGATCCTCATATCGTACGGGTTCGGATCCAATCACCAGAAGAAAACGCTAGTGGTAAGGTGCCGTCGTCGGCGATAATTATAATTACCCGCGGTTACTGCACAGTCCAGGTGCCGCGGTCCAAATTTACTCCCGGTTCGGCCACAAAAATAACCGAATCGTGTACGAATCACGTGTGTTTTGTTTTCAAAAACACCACGGTACAACATTAATTCTCTCCCCGTTGTAACAGACGTCATTACATAGGAAAACTTCAGCGGGTACAAAATACGATCGAAAGAGCGAAAAATACACGCTATAGACCAAATTACTATTTAATTTTTTTTTTTTTACTATACACGTAGTAAACCTATTTTTATCAGAAAAGATTGTAAAACGCGACGCGAGATGACCAAAGCCTTAAGACGTTTTTTTTAACTACCTGAAAAATATTGACATGGAGTATATTTTGTTTTAAAATGTCTCGACGTTTTGAACAGCCAAGACAATGTTTATATTAATTCTGGACTTGGAACGGTCGCACACAGTTGTAAATAAAGTCCATGATAATAATAAGTTTAAAAACAACGCGAATGTACAAAATATCATATACTATACCCAATTTGTTATTTAGACGATCGATAAAACTTCTCAAATCTACGTCGTCGTGTTTCACACAATTTCTTCCAACCAAATCGGTGACTAGTCATATAAAAGAAAAAACAGTGGATAAATTTATATTCGTTTGCGTATTAATGCGTTTTCGCTTCTTCTCGATATTTCAAATCGAAATCGGTCGTATGCATTACACACACACACACACACACACACACACACACACGATCTTTATAATGCTCCGAGCTTTCTTTTCTTTTGTTTTTTCTAAACTCTACACGCGTTAATATTTTTTTCAAAACTTTATTTGTGTCCAATCGTACGTCCATTTATGTATCCATTTTTCGTTTTTGTTTTTAATTACAATAACGACACGACTCAATAACGGCGCGAACCGGCCGTTTGTTCGGTGCAACACTTTTTACACCGCCCCTCCCCCCTACCCCGCGGCACCCGACGAGTTTATTATTAGTTCAACTCGGTTATTTTTCGGTGAATTTTTCAACAGGACATCATCATGAACTTTGTGGGCATGTTCATGTTTATCGCGGTCGGCGGCATAGCTCTGCACTATTGGATCGGCTATCAAAACGAGAACAAATACATCAGCGTGAGTTCCGAACGGGCCATAGGCATCACGGTGGGCGTGTTGTGCGTGCTGTCCGGGGCCGTGTACCTGGTGGACACCGTGCTGTCGTTCATACATTTCGCGAGGGAAATGGAGTTCGAATGACGAAACGGAGCCGCGGACTAAGAAGCGATCGCCCAGCCAGACAGTTATACATAATATTATAATTAATTGTATTAAGTTGATTTGCCTATACACACGTAGTTTCCACGAATCGGTAGTAGAGACTATAAACCCCCCCTCCCCCTACCGCGAATCCGTCGGCCGTCGTTTTCGCACACTGCCGGAAACCGGCCGGATATAAAATACGCACGAATTGAAACGAATAAAAACCATCGGACGCGCCCCATAAACTATACACACATCCGGTTTGACATTTCATGCACAATATTATTACTCATTGTACACGTATCGTAAATACAATATAATCATTACTATTGTTTTCTTATAATTTACTCGTCGTCGATCCCGTCAATGTACAATAATATTAGTGTTTTTTGTAAATAATATTTATAATATTCTAGTCGTTTAAGTTGAAAATAATATACCGCAGCGCATTATTTATATTTTAATACAATTCATTGAGTTTGCTTCTTTTTATCACACATGAATACGTGTGTGATTATCACTGTTCGACTGGATCTCAATGCATATATTATACAAAAAAAAAAAAACTATAGCCGTCCGACCCGGCGACAGCGTTGCCCGTGCTTGCGATTTTAATTGACCGAGGTATCCGCGTGACCAAGACAATCCGGAGAAACACACGGACAAAATTTCGATTTTTGAACTACAATACCAAAAATCAATTGTCAATCGCACTGGGGGTTGAGTTTTTGGAGTTCTCGAGATTAGCGCAACCAAACAATTCATACGAACATATTTGTATACATGGTGATTTTTTTATCTCGTGGATCAGAACTTCTCTCCGATGAGTTTAGATGAATTTCGATTTCTGTTTTTTTTTTTTATTATTTTAACCGTTGTGAAATCGGTTATAAGCTTTATTATTTTAAAATCGCTTTTAATTTTTTACCATTATTTGAAAAGTCAAAGTATAGACCTTATTTATAAGGTACACGGATTAGGGGTAAAAAATTAAAAATGGTTTTAAAATAAAGCCAAACGAATTCCACAATGATTGAAAAAGAAAAAACAGAAATCAAATTCAATAAAAATCCTCCGAGATAACTGCTGGTTCATATTGTTCATACTAAAAAAAAACATCTCTGTATGGTAAACAATATTATCAATTAATACGTATATTATTTTTCGTTTTAATAATTGAAGGGCTTGGTGCAATAACCAGTTAACTAAAAAATAATTTTTATTCATGTTGAACAATTTTAAAAAGTGGATTTATCTGATTGTCACACCAAGCCCTTCAATTTGTCTTTTTGTCGTGATTTTTTTAAGAATAAATAATCTATAGGTATCTTAATGAATAAAATATTTTCAACAATATTATCGTTGGCAAAAAAAAAAAGATAATCTTACAGTTACAAATGCAAATTTGTTTTATATACAAACATAAATAGACTTATAAGGTCACATTTAAACCTTCACGCGATATAAAACATTACATTTGTCAATGCTGTAATAAAATGAACATACTTTGTTCGACATACCATTTTAGTAAAATGTATGTATAGTAGGCAATGTGAAGTTCAATAATAAACTATGAAAGGAAATCTCTAGGTATTTCATGTCACACGCGCGCACACCGGGTATAAAACGCGTACAATACTTACATATTTTAGAATAATTTTTTTTTTTGCACAATGTATTTTAATATGAAACAATAAGTCCAAGTACAGGTGAAAATTGATTTGAAATTAAACTGTTGAAAATTGATTTGAATATTATAGGTAGTGCTTGAGATGACTCTGGGAGACCTCCTAAGCATCATCCTCCCTCCTCTTATTTACGTCTAAGTCCTCCGTGAAACAAATTCTGAACGCATCGAACGGGTTATTACAGATTGTACAACGGTTGTATTGTGTAAATAATATTTTCCAAACGCAGTAAACACATGCAGTATACATATACATACGCTTTGAAGAGGTAATTTATTAAATCAATCACACAGCGGAAATAGTTTAAAATAACCGTAGGTAAACAGGTGGGAAAAAAAAACGGCACATATAAAATGTACACAGAAGAACGTTCAAATGTCAAAATACTAGTATTTCTTTTTTCGAATGAAGCAGATGTGTGATGGTGATGCATTTGTAGGTAAGTATTCGCGTTAAAATAACATTATCCCGCGTCACGCTGAACGTAAGCGAGACATTACCATTAATAGAATCAATGGCCTACATTTTTTTTTTCACTGTTTAAATTGATGTATAAGTAAACGACACAATATATGCTTTTGTAATATTATGGCGGGGGGAAAAAAAAAAAAAAAAAAAAAATACAGGGTGATCCACTTAACGTGACCCGGCGATTTTCTGTTATAGGAAGATTTTAAGTGAATTTCATTTCTGTTGTTTTTTCCACCGTTATGGAATTTGTATTCAAATACTATTTTCAATTTAGAATACCTAAAACAGGTAAATGTATACTTTCGATTTTCAAATAGTAACACCCCTCCCCCCGTCCTTATTAAACACAGATTCAATACAATTATATATTAATAAGGTTAAAAAAAATCGCATAATATGGGCAATTTTTATTTTATCGTAACGCTAGAATGTATACATATGTTAATATGTATTTGAAAACGACTAATATAATCGAGTTTCGTCGTATTTATGATACTGTGTTTATCAAAAATTATTATAATAAAAAGCATTAACACTTAACCTTAATGGAATTTTGTTGATTAAATATAAAGACTTGCGTGTGAGTTCATGCAAGAGGGTATCGAAAATAGCTCGTCTAATAAGCTTGAATCGTATGTCCACTTTTTATTAACCAGATCCACTCTACACAGCTTAGACAACAAGCAATTACAACGTTATGTATACGCCTTCCATATTCAAATAGTAATTTTATTTAGTATGTTATATTTAGTTTTATTTATACAGTAATTTAACATTTTTTTCAATTTAAGTCAAACTACTTTTTTGATATTACAAATGTTTATGCTTTTGAATTAATTTCGATTTTCATAGGCAGCCGCTTAATGTGGGTAAACAGAGCTGGTCCCGACGTGTGCCCACATTAAGCGGAATCCACTGTATATTGTTGACAAAGCATCACTATAAACTGAACTCCATCGTTTTTTCATTAGCAACGGTTTGTCGTTGCTTACAGATATGCATTATTAAATTTCCCCTCCACTACCTTACCAACTTCTCACCTACAACAGTGGCTGCACCCATGTTCGGCTCTTTTTATATACACAATTATTAAAGTTGTTGAATCACATTTATCTTGGATGCCAAGGAAGACGGGCTTAAATCGATTTCGTATAGTTTTCAATATAAACAAATTTTGAAAATTACCAAACAAAATAATTGCAGAATTGCTAAATGCCCGAAACTAAACATGACGTTTTAAATGGCTTAATCATATTAACATGGAAATGTTTTCGGGCTGGGGTTGAATAAAAAATCAGCGAAACAATATCTTATAGTAGGGATATTTTGAAGACTTTACTGTTCGTTAAAACACACTGAATATTCACGCGAGGCGCAATGGATAAAACAATGCCGGCGGGTCTGATCGATTTATTGTGTACGGCGCTAACGTGTACGCGTGGTAGCTGACCTGTTGCACAATTACACTGTCGCAACGAAAACCGTGTTTTCCAACCCACTAAACAATTAAAAACGTTAACCTTCGAGAAATTAATAAGATTTACAGGAACGTTCGACGTTTACCAGGGGGCCGCGCGAAAGGCTTCTGTTAACACCATGCGACGCCGTCGCGAAACGCGTTGCGTATAAATTATAAAAAAAAAAAAAAAATTCGACATCAATTCGCACCTATACGCGTCCGGCGACGCCTTCGATATTAAAACAAACAGTCGGCGGGTCACGGAATCGCGGAGTTTTAAATGCGGTTTTTTTTTTCTCGCGGCCCGTGGTTTTCGCCGCTTTCTGGTTTTCCGCGGACGCGGTACCCAATCCGCGCTCGCCTACACGCACTGCGCGCGCACAGGAAAACTCGGCGCGCGGCGGCCGGCTGGAAATACACGCGCACCGGCGCGAGACGAATCGCGATTCGTTTCGGGAAAACCGCACCGTAATCGTAGCAACAACAACATGAAAAGGAAACCGCCGCCGGACGAAATGCGTTTTCGGGTCGGCGACGTTCACACCGCGCGTCCGGCGCGCGGCGGCGTTGCGTAAAGTACGTCGCGGGTACGCGGACGAAAGACGCGTACGCAACAAATATCGCACAACCGACAATACAATGTTATAGAGTTTAACCGTCCGGAGTTATGGATACGTCCGTCGGAGAGCGTCTATCCGGATTGGAAAAGAAAAAAACAAAAGGAAATTAACTATTGCTAAACGACGAATTTAACGATTCCGAGCGGAGTTCGGTCGACAGTGTGACTTCGTCAACGACATATATATGTAGATTATTTCGTGCCACGTTATGGGAAAATAATTACATATTATACGCGATACATTTTCTTAAATAATATTTGTTTAACATTCTACCTATTTTTCCCTATGTTATTACCATTTACTGGGAACTCTTGAGAAAATCAAAAAACGACCTCCCTAAAGCACCTCCCCGGGCAGATTTCCTTTGGGAAAAAGTGCTAACATTGCAAAACGGAGCAGAATTTCCGAAAGAAAAGTAGTCCACAGAAAACAAAAAACGAATAAACGTTAACGGAAAACCAATACATTCCTCGCTCCGCTCAGAATCTAAAAAGACAATTTCGTTCACAACCTGTCATAACAAAAACGTACCGGGTTCGGCGCACGCGTTTATATGGATTTCGCGTAAAGGTCGGGCGATTGACGTAAATGTGCTATAATCATTGACTTATTAAACCGTAATCTGTTTGAATACAACATTTCTATTATTCCTAATCTAACACACGGTCTGAACAGAACATTTTTCCAGAATTCAGCGGTTTTCAAACTTTTTTTTTTTTGTCCACAGAATCCTTATGTCGCTAAAACAAAATGCACGGAGCACCAAAAACAAGGAATAACAACAATTACGTACAATTCTTAAGTGTCAACTGATAATTGAAACATCCTTTTAACAGACTAGAGGTACTCGAGGTGGTCCCGTCGAGAAACGGACCCGACCCGGCCGGGTATCGGTTATTTCTTTCGCGCCTCGAAAACCTTGCCATTTGGCCTTACGCGCGCCTAAACGGCGTTGAACATCCAGCGCACGCGATCCATTCGTCTGCGGACAAAACGCCGCGCTGACCGCGAAACGGTTCGCGGACCGGGTGTAAACGCCGGGCTGCGCTGTGCGCACAGAAGACTCGCGCAGTAGGTACGACGACGCGTTTCCTCCGTTGCGGACGACCTATATACGAAAACGATAATGATATTATAACAATACGAAATACCGCCGTGGACACAACGCCGTTTACGAGAGAAGATATTATATTATCAGCAGCAGCAGCAGCAGCAGCAGCATTGGTCGCCGGAGGGAGTGGTATACCCCGCGTTACAATATATAACAACGACGAACGAATCGGTAATTTTTTTTTTATCATATAGGTACCTAGGCGTATTACAGAAGTGGCATCGCGGTCGTGTTCCATTAGTTCCAATTAACGGGCATCGCGCCCCTGCAACGCGGGCGCGTCGACGACAATAACCGTCGCTGCGGCGGGCAGTCGCAGTCATCGGCAGTCGGTCCACGGGTACGCGAACGTCATGGCCAACGACAAGTCGCTCAAAGAGTCGCTGCTGGCCGCCTCGCCGTTCCTGATCAAAGTCGTGGAAATCGTGAGTGACATTATCCATTATTATTATTATTATTATTATTATTATTACCGTCTATCGTTTTATCGCCGTGTTCGCAATGCGTACCGTCCAATACGCGGGGCACCGTTTTTTTTAAACATTCTTTTTCTTCACCTGTATCCCACGCACAGCCGGCGTCCGATCTTCCTGCGCGTAAATTGTTCTCTCTGCAGTCCCCGCATATCCGATCAGGCCGATTCGTCTTTACTCAATAACCTGTACACTTTAACCGCTTTTCCTCGTGATTCGCCGTCTCTTATCCGGCTCACTAAATATTATAAAAACATTGTACACGGTATATTCATACATACTCGACTGTCTTAACGGTCGTCTCTCGTCTCATTCCGGCCGTTTTTTTTTTCTCGGTATTTTTAGATACTGGGCTTGACCAGCATCTGTCTGACCATCAGCCCGTACTCGTCGAGGCTGCACACGACCACCGGCAGGGCCGGTTTCGTGTACTCGGCCCTGTCCGGCGCCGTCCTGGTCGATCTGCTCATCGTGGTCAGCCATTTCTTGCAGCAAAAGATCCCGAAAAAACCGGTAAGACCTTGTCATCAACGCACTCGGAATATTTAATAATTATTATTGTTTACACGGCGTAATAATGTCCGCACGTTCGTGTATTATAATTTATTGTAGTGTCTTATCGTGTCGTGTTGGTACGGCGTGATGCTGGCCATAGCAGCCGGCGTCATATTTTCGGACTGGAGAGCCCTGCAATTCGCCCTACAGGTGCGCCCGTCTAAAAACCGAATGGACTTGATGATATCGTCGGCCGTGATGACCACGCTTACGTCCCTCACGTTTTTCACCGACTTCGCGTTGACGTTCAAGTATGGGTAAAACGCGGGGACGTACGTCAGTAACCGGTGCACGCATAACCCGGGGGAGGATGTATTCTTGAATTGGCTTTTAAATGTGTTTACTTCAAACTTAATTTCACGCAGTTAATTTAGGAATAACATACACGCAGGTTACCTATATACTTAACGACACACCGCGATGAGCTGATTGTCGAGATTGTTCTAGCATAATTATTATACAGGGTGCTCAGCCCCTCGGTAAGACACTCATTATCTCGGAAAGTATCATGAGTATTAAGAAAATTTAAGATACAAGCAATTATAAAATATCACATTGCAATATCAATTTGTTCTATTTTATTTTTCGGGTGAAATCACTTTCCACTTTTGATTTCCAAATAGCTACCAATAATAAAAATTCCATAAATAGTAGAAATTTTAGTTTAGAAATGCGATGACATTTTTTCCACTTTTAAGTTTGGATAGCGAGAGAGTATAGTGGAGCAATTTTCAATTACCACGTGCCGCACATCCACACAAACATAAATATAGAAAATCTAATCAACGGTTTGACAGAAATTTAAAATGTCAAAACAAAAATGTATTTAAAGTAAAACTTCATTTATTTATGAAATATTTTAAAAAAGTTCCTAATTTAAAATCAAAAATGGGTTTTACTCCAAAAGATAACAGCGATATAAGCTTTTTAGAGTTGCTTGTTTCATACATTTTCAAAAAAAACCCAACAAGTTAATACTTTTCGAGATAATGAGTGTCTTATGATTAATTACCTTGAATAAATACAAACAAAACAAACTTACAACTTACTGATAACTTACTAGATATACTTATTGGTATCTATAATATTATGAGATAACCATTGTCCATTATTAAATAATAACTGAACCAGTTAACACCAATTTTTCCAAGTATAATCGACAGCAGTAAGGGGTCTGTTTAACACAATACTTCACTCACTGTTGCCATAATTTATTAAACAACTTATGAAATAGCATTTACCATATTATGTACAATTTACGTCTTTACTATGAGGAGAAGGTTAATAAATTCCTAAATTACATAAATGAACCTTAAGGAGATGTGCGGACTGTCGTCCAACAACATCCCCTAACAAGCCTAACCTAAACCCATTAAAACTTATCAACGGTCTGTGTGTTAACTATATTTGTATGTACCTTGTATTTTTTTTTAACTTTACAGGAGCCTATATAATTATTATTTAATTTGTTAACATTAATTTATTATTAATATCAACACGATAACACTTTTTTTTATTTTAAGTGGTAATATAGTTATGTATTTTAATTCAAAAATTAATGCACTTGTTAAATCGACATACATTTCATTATAATTAAAATTAACCAGTAATTTTACATCAATTATTAAACAAACATTAAATAGGTACTATGCATAATGTTAATATATTAATATTATTAAAGTGAAAAAAAAAATACACAACAATAAATTGGTCGAATTAAATATAACAATAAATACAAATAAAACATCTTTACACTTATATTTCAAATGTCCTAGTTGTAATTTGTATTAGTGCAATTAAAACTTAAGGACGGATTTTTAACATATTGATTATTTTAATTCTGTAATTAAAAATATCGAAATTAATGTGCAACATAAAACACAATGGAACATTTAGGGTGGAATCTTTTTTTCTAATAAGATATTTACAACAATTGTCTTAGATTTTTAATAATTTTTTTTTAAATTTATTCAATAATAAAATTGTAAAAAACTATGTTGTTATATTTTTGCACTATGTTTCAATTTTATCCAAATTTAATTTATGGGAGATTGGTGTATAAAATTATATAATTATTAAAAATAAAATAATTTCACAATATTATATTATAATTGCATTAATATTCTAATTTATCAATGAAAAATTATATTAGGTACTATATTTATATTAATATTTTAACGGAATAATTATGTTACAAATCTAATTTGCCACAAATATTTTGTTTAAATCATATCTTAAAGTTAAAAAAAAAATAATAAAAAATGATGTCATCATAAGGTTAAGCGTACCATTTCAACTACAGTGTATCAATATAAACAATTGTAGATCATGTAGAATATAGGATACAATTATGGTAATATAAGAAGGTGTCACATTCTTGGAGGTTGAAACTGATTATTTTTCCAGATATCATCTACGTTAAAAGGTTTGTTTATACAATTAAAAGAATTTGGTTGTTCCAAAGTATTGGTGTCTTGACCAAAAGTACAAGATGATGTATTTTCAGTTTCTGTAGTAAAAAAAGAAGTGTTTTCAGCTATAGGATATAAATTGTGAACCGGAGATGTAAATAAAGAATATGAAGATTTAAAGTATCTTGAATTATTAATTGTGTTCCTCATATTTGGTGGCAATACTTGAGCAATCTTACTCTGAGTTTTAGATTTTACTCCATAATTTGTACTCTGTATAGTTTGGGACACACAACTTAAGCTTGATGAAAATGGTTTACCAAATGAATTTTTTTTTAATAAGTTAGATTCAAAATTGTTTGGGTTTTCATTAGTCCAAATAGTGCGTAGAGGTACACTATGTAAACTATTTTCTATATCACAGTTTTCTACAAAAGAAGTTGATGAACTAAGTTTTTTTACTTCATGCTGAGAAAATTGTAGACTAGAAGATTTGTAATCTTTTACATTGAATCTGGCTGGATAAAAAGGAGTTTCCATTTGAGCATTGGACGTTACATTTTTATTTTCATTATCATTTAGATGTTTTATTAAGTTGACATTTTCTTTACTAGGACAAATGGTTATGTGTTTTGGAATGAATGGTTTAAATAACAAACTACGTGATGGAATCGTAGATGGTAAAACATTCGGACGATTAGCGTTATTAGGAACAATAGGAATGAATCTCACTCGATTACCCTGTGGATTAATTGAAATATTCTTCTTTAAATCTTCCCATCTTTCCTTCAATTTGAAATAAAACGAGGAGTTTATGTTATTAATAAGTACACATTTAAGACTTATACCTACACAATATTTCACACTACACTTCTAAAATTAGTAATGCTTATTTTGTTAATAAAATTATTAGTAAATTAGTAATAATACGCAAAGTTAAAACCACTAAATGAATAGTATAATTATTTTGATTGTATACAAATATCAAAATAGAATCTATACAACAATACTTAAGTCAACTGTTAATTGATTATTCACAATATGTTTATGAAAATAATACAAATCAATAAGTACTTTTTCCTGTTAAATATATTTTAAAATAATTATTAATTATTAGCTATCAATAATTGTTAAATCTTACTAACAATTACCACTAAAATTATTCTACAGTTACCTACCTAAATAGTATACATTATATAATTATTTATTTAAAATGTTAAAAATCATTTGAATTGAATCAAAGTACCTATTCAAAAATAGTAGGTGCCTAATCAATATGAATTACACACTCACTATTAAAAACATTTATCAAATCAAGAATAGTGTTTAGGGTATAACTTTATGACAAAAACCGAACAAAAAAAATTTAAAAAATTAAACATAATATACCTTTTCAGCTTGTGCTAGTAAAGTCCAAAGAGTTCTCCATGTAGTAAATTTTTTCCTGTCACTAAAATTGAATTTCATCTCTGTTGAAGCATATCTTGTCGATAGAGGTGATATATAAGTATCATACGCAGAGTTAGACATTGTAAAAGTAAATGAAATTAACAAGTAAGTTAATAAATGAAAATACACAAAATGAAGCACAATCAGAACACAGAATAGGTTTCTTTATAAAATGGTTATAATAAACTAAATCGATTTCTATAATTCTAGTTACTAGTAGTTATGATTTCAGTAATTTGTACAATGTGTATATATGATTATAATAAACTTAAATGATTTATAAAAACTAAGGTCAATAATAATGATGACTTCAGTGTAAAAAGTAACTTATTAACGCATCACGCATGGTTAAAATGATACATGATAAGAGTTATCGTTTTAAAAAATTACCTATTGATATTTCTTATCATGGTTACCATATATGAAGTGTAATTTATGCACTCTATGTTACCACGATTAGTCGAAAATTGGAAATTTTAGTACAGTTTATTAAAAAATTGTCCTCTCTAATGGATCTAATGGATTAAATATTGGCAGTCGTATAATATGAATAACATGGTCTGTTCCCAATTCAAATGTATACAGCAAGGTGTAAAAAAAATCATAATATGAGCACTTGGTTCGGTTAATGTGGGCAATTTTTTTTTATCATAGGTAGCCTTCAATTTATGTGTTTAAAAAAAAGATGGACATACTTTACACGGTGGGTGGGTCACTGTTGTAAGTGAAAATTTGAGAAGGCAACATATAGAGGAGAATTTAATGTTTATCTGTACGTAACAATTAATCTTTACTAATGAAAAAAGATTCTGAGGGGAGTTCGGTTATACATGTTTATAAGGCCGTAAGATTTTCGTCAAAATTTGATATTTAAAAATTCTTATAAAAAAAATATATATATATTGCATTAAACTTGACTTTCTTGTTGACCATTTAGATTAACTTATAATAGACCTACTGTTAAACTGTCAAGCATTTCTGTTTGGTCTATTTTATCTACAGAGTACCTATATATACCCATTGCAATATCTCCTGAGATTATAAAGTTAATCAAATTCTGTTTTTCTTATATTATTTGCAGGGATAAGGACTACTAATATTTATATTTTAATTAATTTTTATATTTTGGTACAAAAACTTAAACAATTTAAAGATAGTAATTTTATTTAGTTTTTCTTATGAAAATGTTAACATTTCAACTTTTAATTTTCATTAAACTCATGATTTTTAATAATTGTTTAAAGTTCAGAGAAAAGTACCTATAATTACGCAGTAGAGTGTTTTTCGAATTGATTGACTATTTGACTAAACACTTTTTTCTCTGAATTTTAAAAAATTATTAAATTCACAAATTTACTGAAAATAAAAAGTTGAAACCTTAAAATGTTCAGAAGAATAAATTCTATAAAATGATTATGTTCAAATTTGTCAAAAATAATAAAATAGAAAGTTTTTTTTTAAGTTTTTACTAAAACATAAAAAATAAATTAAAAATAAATATTTGTAATCCTTATCCCTATAAACAATATAAAAAAAATAATTTAATTATCTTTATTATCACAATGAGATATTACAATGGGCATATCTTTATGGAACACTCTGAATACATATCTAACTAAGATATCTTAGTTTATGATTTATACCATTTTGTGTTATTAGATACCTATTGCATAGGCGGAAATTGTTCAGAATTTTAGAGGGGATAATATTTTAAAATACTTTATTGTATATTAAAGCTGCTCTCTGCGCTTTCAATAATGTTATTATTTTAAACACCATGAAAAATTTAAGTGTGATTTATTTTAAACATCCTATATAATATGTATACACATTATATTAGCATTTTTTTAAGATAGGTAGACTTGAAAAAAAAACTTGATTAATCACCAAAATAATTTAAGTTACATCAATGAATTCAATTTTAATAACAAGATTCAAACAATTATAAAGAAAATAAAATACTTATCGATAATTGCTTTACAATAATATCCTTGTTACAATAAAATACCTATAATACAAATTTAAAAATATGTCAAATTATAGGTAAACTAGGTAAATTATAGGTAATGTATATAATATAAAATAGGTAACTATCAAACAAATTTAAATCATTTAAAAAAGATATATACATTTATATACACAGATTAATGAAAATAATTACACATTATATATTACCTATACACTTATTATTTATATTAATGATTAGTGATCACTGAACATTTTACAATTAGTATATTGAAAGTGAGTAATTTATTTATTTATACATTATAACCCCCCTTCCCCAATTTCCGCCTATGATCTATAGGTGATCTTAAATAATCTGGTTAGTAGTTAGGTTTTAAAGCAAGCATAATCAACAGTGAAATAATCTCTATGAATATTTTAGTTTAAAAATAACTTACCCAATTTTCTATGTCATTAAAATAGTACATTTTAGCTCCAAACATATTAAATGAATCTTTAAGTTTTTTCTTAAAAATTTGAGCTGCCCTAAATTACACACACAAAAAAATTAATGTAATTGAAACGTTTTACATTTACTTAATTTTCTATACATTACTTTAATGATTTAAAGGACAAAAACATCTTGGTGTCGTCTTCACATTCAAATTTCAACACAAGCGATGGGTGATTTATTACAAAATAATTAATTTCCTTAAACCATAAAAATCATTATTAATTTTTAAAGAAAATTAAATAAAACTGGCAATTCATACATTCCTAATGTAATATTTATTGTTATTTTTTTGAGACAGTCCATAAATCATCATAATAGTATTGCGTAGACTCTTTTGTACAATTAAAGGTTTGTTGGTATCACTTTCTGTCAGAAAAATTCCATTAAACGTTTCTATGGCAATGTCAACTGCAGCTAAATGTCTATACATTATGTAACCAAAACCCTTATTTAAGCCTCCACCTCCTTTTAATAGACGCACACTGTAAATTGAACCAGACTTTCTAAAAAACAAAATATAAATATACATAGTAAATAATTTGAAAAATACCATAGGTGGGCAATTATTTTATTAAATATATTTATTGTACTCTATGTTCTATAATTTTCATAAAATAAACTATACCTATCCTAATTTATAAGGATATCCAACCAAATTTCCTCTAATTAAAACATTATTACATTATACTGAAAGACAGCTTGAACTTGCTTTAGACCGAAACAGTATTTTGATTGGTAGGTTAGTGGGTTTGTCATTTGATTGGTTATTAAAGTTAATAAAAATAAACTACTATTTTAAACTGTTTCAATGTTTATACTCCAGTACTTTGTATAAAAAGTTCATTATCTAATCATACAATTGTGTAGTAAATATATAGTAAAATAAATAATAAACTCACTATTATTTACAAAAAAAAAAGATAACTAAGTAAAATGTTTATATATTTAGGTAAATATATTATTATGTTTTTTATTATAGTACTATTGTTAATGAAAAATGGTTCATTATTTTATATTTAAACCAAAAATTAACTGATATATTCAATTTGCTTATACTTATTCAGAAACTGAATGAAAAATAGTTTTAAATAAACTTATAAATTGTATTATGTTTTAATGTTATTTAAAGCCATAAATACATTAAGTAAGAACAGTAAAATTTAATATTTCTGAGTTAATTAAAAAAAAAATAAAACAAAACACAAAAAGTCAGATAAATTTAAAGGTGTTGGGCACATGTCTTTCTTTCAGAACAATAGGTAGATGCCAACTTGTCTTTTATCAATTATTTACATTGATTACAAATGAAACTATAAATATATTGTATAGATATAAATATATATTATATACATATACAAATGACATAACATCTATCTATCAATTATTAAAAAATGATTTTGATTAAAACTTAGTTTACTCTGATGTATTTCGAATTATTGATTGTCTTGTCTTAGGTAGGTATTTATTTATTTATTTATTAAAGGAAAAGTATTTAAAGGTATGTACCTACAAACGAAACGAGTACTCACCTATTCAGTATGGGAAAATTTGAATCAATAATAAAATAAAATAAACAAACTCAAATTAGAAAATTCCATAAAAAAAAAAATAAATCATCCATTTTTGGTTTTAAAATATTTGTATTCAGTATTTTTATTTTTTAATATCTAATAGTTATTTTACATTCAATTTAAGATTTGTAAACTTTAAAATGGTATATTTCATCCAAATATACATTTAAGAAAAAAAAAAAAACAAATTTAGGTACCTAGTGAAAATCAATTTCATTAAAATGTAAGTTTTTACCTGAACCTGAACACCTATATTCAATTATCAAAACGTGTCTAAAATATGCCTACTTGGGTAGATAAAGAACTTAAAAATAATTGTATAATTTTTATTTTATTTTGGTAGCATAAAAAAATAGTATTCCTATTCATAGTTTCATTAAAAAAAAAAGAGCTGATACTGAGGATGGGATCGACCACTGTTATAAGTGAGAAAATGTGATGTGAAGGTAGGATACATAAGGTTATGTCATTTATATCTGTAAGCAATGATAAACCGTTGCTTGACGAAAGACGATTCCGAGCGCAGTTCGGTAATACATAACTTAAAATTTGATTTCAAAACGTTTATTAAAAAAAAAAAATCATCCGATAATTTTGGAAATTTTACCACGTCTAGGTAAGTCCAATATAAGTATTATTGCCAAGTTTCAAGTCTCTACGTGTATTAATAACCGAATTACAGCAAAAAAAATTCCAAAAATTAAAATTCCTTATAAGCTCAGAAGTATGTAAAGAATGTAAATCAAAAAGGCAACAAAAAAGGTGTCGCGTGATTTTTCGATTAAATCATTTTTTTTTTTGGTAGAAAACGTCATACGTTTTTTTATAAAATAATAAAATCGTGTCACTGCACGTTTTCCTACGTTTTTTTCCCATTTAAGTGATTTTATTTAAAATATGACCTCGAAAAATGACCTTTTTAAAATACAACCTAAACAACTTGAACTTTCAAATGTCCACAGGCTAGAAGACAGGAAGAATGAAAGAAGGAAAATAATAATAAACATCTTAGTAAAATCAAAACTATAAAAAAAGTTAACCGAATGAAAGCGAAATAGCTAGCGATACACAGCTGATCGATCACATATGTTCTTTGAAATTCAATCATATGGACGCCAAGTCAGCTGAGCGAGTGTTGTAATTGTCCGTCGATTTGTAAAAAACATGTAGAAAACTCGAAATGCAATAATTATCGTATTACTGTTACATACAAATCGATTGGAAACAAAATTATTAAATTATTTCGCGTGCGAATTTTCAATTGGGTAATATGGATATTATGAAATAAAATTGGCCGACTGGTCGTCGGTTTGTTGTATTGCGGGTTGGTCAATTTTGTCTTCGCGTAATTATCGGTTTTTCGGAAGCCCATCCCCGCGAACCGTCGGCGCCGGGCTCTTTGCAAGGTTGTCGTGTAGACGCTTACTTCGCGAAGTTTACGAATTTCTCGATGGTGTAGTGAATGGGCAAGTTGCCCACGTACACCTCGTGGTCGTTGTCGGGCTCCGGGTCTTCGCACTGGTTGGTCGGCTTGTACATGATCTGCGAGTTGACCGTCATTATGCCGTAGTTCATGTCCATTTGTAAGTCGGCGGCCATTGTCTCCGTTTGCGGTCGAAAAACAAAAAACAAAAAAAAAAAAAAAAAAAAAAAAGAACGAACGGTATAAGTAATGCGAATATTATTTTCGACCGTGCCGAAGCGAACGCGTAAGGGACGGGTTGTGTGCGAACCGAACGGTCGCGACGAAATGAATCGTGAAGACGGTACCGCAGCAGCTGCTGGACACTGTCTGCAAATCCCTCGGGCGGCGGCGGTGGCGGTCAGTGAACCAACGGAGGAGCGCCGCTGACGGGTGACGAGAGACCGGCGCACGTGACCCGGGCGATCGGAGTGCGGTCGTCGCGATGTCTGGCTAGCAATATTTTTTAATTTCAGCGCAAAACGTCCCCGGGTGAAACCGGCGGTCCCACATATTTTATAAAAAAAAAAATCGGCGTTATCGTGTGAGAAAAAAAAACAACTACGTTAACATCGTCGTATTTGTTATCTGCGAGAAAAAAAAACCCGACCACGGGCCTACAACTACATTGTGTTGTCAACAAAGACCTACACTACTACAATACTATAAAGTGTTATTAATTTTACTATTATTATTACTACTGTCTACTACTATCTACTTACTAGAACTGCTGTTCAAATCGACAATAAAACATTTGGTTTTTTCGGATCTCGGATCTTTATCTTCGCGTTCGTTGATAATGTATTTATACATACTTATGCCCCTTCACCGCCGTGTATTTTTAGTATTCAGATACATTTTGAAATCTTCTGGACACAGTTTTTAAATTCCGAGTAGATATAACTATTAGTTAGATAGATAGATAAACTATAGTAGATAGAACTATTAGTTTTATAAAGGTGCGTTATTTTTTCTTCTTGGAAAACACTTTTTCGGTAGGTACGTGTGTTAAGTTGGTCTCCCCAGTCCCCATAAATTTGATATTCAAATTTGTATAAAAAAAAGACGTCCTAAGATAATGGAGACGGGTTCAGCCACTGTTATAGATAATTTAATGTATACCTGTAAACAACGATAAACAATTGCTTACGAATAAACGATTCTGAGTTCAGTTGATAGTGATGCTTTGTCAACAATATATATGTTGAACAAATATATTTCATACATTTTCCCGTTTTTCCCATATTTTATCCCGGTTTTACTATTTATTAGGAAACCCCTGGGAAAATCAAAAATTGACCTCCTTAAAGTACCACGCTCAGGAAAAAGTGTATTTACTATGTTTATTTACGAGTGTTTATCATTTTAATAATTTTGTTTTTACTTTATTATTTTATTATGTATTTTTGTATTTTTTTCTTGTAAAGGTGAGTTTTTACAGGAAAATTATGTATCCATGGCAGTAAGGTTGATATTTTGATTTTGAGTTTATCCCTCGAGTGATAGAGATATATAATACGTAATATTATAGCTCCAAGATGGTTTTTGTTTTGATTTTACGTTATCACTTTTTGGGAGTCATTTTCCCTAAAAATCTATTTTTGTTTAATTTCAGGGAGTTAAAATCATCCCATAAAATCAATTTTATTAGTTTTTAGAAACAATAACTATACTATTTTATTATTAATCTTTATATTTTAGATTCCGAGCGTAGTGAGGGAACTATTGGTTTTACAATGCTGTTTATTATTTTTTTCTAGGCTGTGGACACGATTTTTCCTAATTAACATGCCCTGATTCGAGGAAACAGATAGCACTGCATTATGTGCATTGATTTCAAAGTCCAAATGTATATATTTTATATTTAATATTTGATCGCTACAAACTTGTAGAAAATAATTTTATAAATCTACGAAAAATCCCTAACTTCTAAATCTATCGGCTAAACATTTCTAAACATGAATAATTAGATCTGATTATATACCAATCTACCAAAAACCTGTTATGTATTTTTCCGTCAAATAAATAACAATAAAATAAATAATCTGTTTATCGCAACCGAAACGTCACAATACTCACAACGGCAACGTTGCATAGAAATTGTGTGCGGAATCGTGAATCTTCGGTTTTACCTGTGTCGTGTTTTGCCCGGGCATTTCTGAGATTTGCACGATTTATCGGCGTTCACTCATAACGTCCGTAACATAATATATGTAATATGTGTACATTATACATTTATATTGAACAATTGTAAACAAAAATATTTACAGCAATTTTAAAGCGATATTAATTTTGTTTTTCTCCTAAAAACCAATCTATGATGACTACTGTTTGGACATCCACATCGATATCCCTAATCCTTATATACCACCTTACAGGTGCGTCCACATTGGAGAAAATTTGTGTGTGTGTGTGTGTTGTATTTTGAATTTTAATTTTGTGGCGGGCGTCAAAAATTAGCAAAGTTTTGACGAGTCGACACATTCTCAGCTTGTGCTTTTGTGTTCGCGGCATACAACGCACACGGTCCGACCGGTTGTCGGTCTCTTGGTCAACAGGAATTTGTGTGTGCGGCGCTCAATCTAGACGTATTTGCATGATTTATTTGTGTACGCACAAACAATTTTTAAAATGTTTCCCTACATAATATATATTATACCTTCGGTACGTGTAAAATATTTAGTAGACGAAAGTTGAAAAAACTGTCTTAGGATAATAGGGACGGGAGCAGCCACTGTTGTTGGTGAGAACTAAGAAATTGGGAATGTAGGATATAGAGGGGAAATTAATTTGTATTTATAAGTAACGATAAACCATTACTTACTAAAAATACGATTCTGAGCGGAGTTCAATTGATAGTGATGCTATGTCAACAATGTTTATTCTCTTTAATAATATTTGTTTAATATTGTAAAGAGTTTTCTATATTTTTCCCGATATTTCATATTTGCTGAGAAAATCTTACAATGGTTAAAAAATAAAAAGTACACTACAAATAATTATAATGTTAAAGAACAAACTATTTATTGGTTGAGACTTGAGTTATAATTTATTATTTATACATTTGTTTTCAAATAAATCATATATTTGAAAAATATTATAACAATAACACAGAATACATTATAATACATTAAAGCTGAATTTAAAAGGCAACTTGTTAACAATACAACAATATGTATTATGAAAATAATAATAATTATATATCATTTATTTGTTATTTCATGGCACAATGTAATCGAAATTGATGAATTATTACCTATATTTATACACAAGAATTTGTAAATTAAATCTGCTTCATTCACAAAATACATAGCAAATATTTTATTAGTTTAAATTGTATACATGTCAACAATTAAGGAAAACATTGATTCTTTACAAAAAACTGAAATTTAGAAATTTTTTAACAATACATTTAATTGATTTGTCTCCAGACTTAATTATATTAACTATAAAAACTAATGCATTTATTCTATCATTTTTTTTGTTTTTCCTATAATTCTATTTAACATTTCCTGTAAAGGCTACACCATTAGATTTTAAAGATTTTTTTATTTCCTGTAGATAGTTTTTATACCTTAAGGTATGAAAATTATCAAGTTGATCTTGTATTAATATTAACATAGATAAATATATCAAACTATGAACATCATAAGAAATTAGATGTTTGCCATATAAAGTACCATAATCAGTGATAATTTTTTTTAAAAAACTCTGAAATTGTATAGTTGAGTGTTTGACAAGTTTCTGCACATGATAAAATACAAATAGCACACACTAAATACATAAAATGTATTTAATTTCACTTTTAAGATAAATGCTCCGGTGTACATGGCAACATATCTTAACTTTGTAGTTTTAAATTATTCAGCATCATCAATTGATCTAAGCAAATAGGAAAATTCAGAAAACATATAATATCTAAAGTTTAATAATTCTTTATTTATTAAGTTTTTATTTTCATCAGTCAACCGAATGGCCTTTTTCCTCTTACCTAAAATTCTAATAATCTTTTCATCACACCAAGTCAAACATTATGCATATAATCAAGACATATAACTTTGGTTAAATTAATTGGCAATTTTAATATTATATTCAATATTTTAAATATCACGACCTCTATTACAGTCATCATTTAATTTTTTTTGAAATGATTCATCAGTTCTTAAAACTGAATTAGTTCTAAAAAAATTAATTTGATTATGTAAATATGTGCCTTCTTCAATGTATGATGCACACCCAAAATAATCGTTATGATTTTATATTTAAAAGAAAAGATTTAGCTGGGGCATCACATACTATATTTGATATCTCTACATTTATTAATATTCTGTTTATACATAGTCCTACATTTAATATTTTTAAAATGTCAAGAATAAATGAATTTAAAAATTCATTGAACAATGGTCATATATTCATGAAGAGAGACAAAAAATCAAAAACACTCCATATAAGAAGCCAACAAGATATCAATAAAGTGTAAGCTACAGTACTCATCATTTATTTTTATTATATAATATATGTATTTGTATTTTAGTCTATATACTATTTAGAATAATTTGTTTAACTACATCATACAAAACATACTTTTTATAGATCTTAAACTTTTCCAACAGAAACTTAATTTTAAAATTATACACAAAATGTATATTCCACTGTAATATACCCCCAATAAAAATATGTCTTTGGTAAATAATCTTTATGAACTTATAGACTCAGATAAAATCCAATTACAATGTATCAATGAAATAAATGATAACTTATCAAAATATAATAATAGCCTAACTATTATACACACAAACATATGAAGTTTAGCTACACATTTTAATGACTTAGAATGTCTAAGCGCTTCTCTAAATGAAAAATGTGATATTATAATCATTTCAGAAGCATGGATAGGTTCAGATATTTATTCTGAATATTCCCCCTTTATAAAGGATTTAATATTGAATAAAATAATACATGTAGGTCTAATTACTGAACTTGAATTACACAAAATAATAACTGATATGAATAATGATTCTACTCCAGGTTCAGATGGAATTTCAATTAATTTTGTTAAAAAATTAAAATACTTTATATCTACCATATTAGAAAAAATGTTTAAAGAAGGGATTCCTTTGAAAATTCATTAATTTCAGTTAATTGGTTAATTGGTTAATCAGTTTATTGAATGTATTTTCTAAAATATTTGAAAAAACAATCAAAACCAGACTAATAAATTATTTAAAAGAAAACAATTTACTACCCAACTCGCAGTATGATTTCAGAAAATATTTAGGTATGGAAGATACTCTAGCAAACCTAACCAAAGATATATATGACAATTTAGATAACCATAATAAAACTATTGAAATATTTCTAGATCTTAGTAAAGCCTTCAATAGCATATCACATGCAACATTACTAGATAGCTTAAACTCTTTTGGTATCACTGGGTTAGCTTTTGTAATTTTTAAATTGTATCTAGAAAATAGGACCTAGGAAATCAGAATAGATAATACCCTAAGTGAAGTAGAAAATATACAGAGGAGTCTCTCAAGAACAGTACTATCCCCAAATTTATATATTATGTATGTATTTGCACTAGGTAGACTTTTATTAAACGGAAAAATCTACTCGTTCGCGGATGACACTTTAATTATAGTATCTAGTTTTAATTGGAAATCAACTTGGCAAAAAATTAAATCTGATATTTTACTACTTGATAATTTGTTTTCATATAATAATCTAAAGATAAATTTTGATAAATCCAAATGTGTTGTTTTTACTAATGATTTAAGAACTTCGCTGAATAAAACTAATTTGAATATACATACAAATAATTGCAATGCTGCGTTCATGATCATGTCCAAAATTATCTATATATTCATCTGTTAAGTACCTGGGAATATTTATTGACCAAAATTTAAAGTGGAATACTTACAAAGAAAATTTAATAATAAAACTGAAAAAACTAATACACATTTTCTTTACTGCTAAAAGAATATTAAATAAAAACTACCTTAGAATAACATACTTTGCAATGGTCCAGTCTCCAATACAATCGGAATAATCGCATGGGGAAACTGTAACTCAACCTTAAAATATAATTTATCAATAGCACAAAAGAACATAATAAAAATTATCTCAAATAAATCAAAATCTTTTTCTTTAAATGCATTATTCAAACTATTACGAGTACTAAATATTAAAAACCTTTATAAAAAAAACAAACAATATGTCATATATATAAATCTAAATCATTTAAATATAAAACTAACCCCTATAATCATAGGATAAAACATATTGATATTCATTTAATCAACACTAAAAAAGTTTCTAATACATACATACAAGTTGGTTTAAGGTCTCTAGAGGTCATCCCAGATGAAATAAGAAAGTACTCTAATTTTCTATATTTTAAATACAAATTAAAAAATTAGTTCGATGATAATTTGTAAAAATATGTAGTATTTTAAAAATTATATATATTTGTTATTACACTATTATTATTCTTGTTGAGTACATTTTATACTCCAAAATAGTTTTTTTTTCAGTTTATTGTTATCATATTCCTTAGATAAATGTTTTTGTTTTTTATAATTATTTAAAATTTTGATAAGTAATCTTGCTCTACAATAAAAGGTTTTACTTAAGTGTCGAGCAAAGCTAGTAATTTCAATATTAATCTATTCTACTTTAATATATTAATAATTTATTGACTTGTGCTTTTCATAGCCATGGAAAATAAGAAAAACACTAGTACGTAATTATTTTAAATTTAAGATAGAAATTAAAATAGGCCATATCTGACTTTTAGAACTTTTAACAAGAGGTAAACCATCTATTTTAATTCTAAGTTTTATATATGTATTTGATAAGGCTACATTTGTATTATAGACTTTTAACACGGGTTTTAACATATTCTCAATGCCTAAATTAATAAAAGTACTATTTGATATTTCACAAATTTCATGGGTTTTAATAGTATTCATAAGTGTACAAACATTTTTGAGTACTTTCATTCTCTCAGATCTCAAAATATTAAGTAAGGCATTACTTCTATTGTAAGAAATTTTATATTCAACTATTTTAACTATGAATTATTGTCTTAAATTGTTAGATAAATTTATGTTCCTATTATCAAATATTATTATTATTTTATTCAATTTTCCCGGCTTCGAATCCACCAACATGCTGACAATTTCCAATAAAATTTTTTCAAAAATCACCATCTTAAACAAAAAAATAGAAAAAAAAAATAATAATAATTAACTTCTGGTATACATTAGTGGGGACACTAGGTATACATTTTAAAAGTTAAGTTAAAAATATGAGAATGAATACAAAAATTATTTCAAATGGCCGGTCAGAAAATTTAAAGGTTTATGCGAATGAAAGGATCACAAAAAAACCCAGCAGAATTTTATTTTTAAAAACTAGAAATGCTTATAAGAAAAAAGATTACAAATATATATAGATTAATGACACCGAAATTTTAGTAAAACAACTGAGTATGACATTAATTACCTAATTATAAGTTAATTATTGTACCTATCTATATATTGTTATAATACATTTTTCTTAGATTAAGGCTTTAAAGTTTTTGAATGATTTTAAAATCTTTAATAATATAAATATTTAGTCATAAACAATACAAAAGAAATTTATCCAAAATATTTGTATACATTTTTTCTATGAATATTAGAAATATCAAACTACACTTTATTACATATTATTATACAGGGTGATTCTTTATCGTTTAACACACATTATTTCACAAAATATTGACTTTTTTAAAAAATTTGATTTGACAATCTAAGTAACAAGCGGTTTTACAATTTTACATTTATGTTTTTTTTTTATCACCCATATTTCTGTGAGTAAAACCACTACTTACTTTTTATTTTCAAATGGCAACCTATAATAAACATGCCATAATTAAATGGAATTTAAAGTAAAATTAATTGTGAAATATCTCGTAAATGGGTAATAATATATTTATGGACATTCTGAATGTAGCGAAGAATATATTGGTTTTACTAAGATGTTTATTTTTATTTTTTTAATATAGTTTCTCATTTAAAAAACTTAAGTTGGTATTTGGTATAGTTGGTAATGGCCTCCCTAAAATACCTTACTAGTCAGATTTCCTTTTAGAAAAAGTGCAATCATTCGAGCAAAATTACTGCTAGAAAAGCTCTTCACAAAAAAAAAACCATCATTGTAAAACCAATTTCTGGCTCTATTTAGAATATAATATGGTTTTTGTGAAACCATAATTAATTTAAAATTTAAAAAAGCTCATCAACCATCACTTGTGAATCCTTCCCCAATTCTATCAGTGATAATATTATAATAAAAATATTAATTTTATTAATTATTTTCACTGGCAAAATTCTTAAAAAAAAAAAAACAAATATATGATAAACCCCATTATCGAAATTCCGAAATTCCGTGACAAACTGTACAGCTTGTTAATTTATAATGTACAAATAAGATATTTTTAGACCGAAATATCAATGTATTATACCTATTACTTATTTGTACAAGCCTTAACAATTTTCGGGTATTAAGGCAGAGATAAATTGTATAGCACATCATGTAGGTACATTATAAATTTATAAACAATATTATGTTCCATTAAAAATTTACATGAACGAATAATTTATACATATTTTTCATGGCTCATCAACTTAACCTTTTTTTATTATAAGTAGGTATTTAAAAATGCACAGGCATGTTGAACCGTAGTGAAAGAGTGAGTGCTCCATTCCCCCTTCTCTAAGGATGGCCCTGCTTGCAGGATTGGCCTGATTCGTACAATTAAAAGAGTCAACTATACAAACTTACATTGGTTATGTTGTTGGAAATTAAATAGTTAGGTTAGTTTTGTATGGAATAAAATTATCACTCATTGATCTTCAATCAAGTCTTCGGTTCCAACGTAGAACAGTCGCATCGTGTTGGTGAAACCCGCATTTTGTTTGGAACAGCTCATATGCAATACTAAATCGCCTTGATTCAGGATGCCCCTTTTCTTGCCCAAGTCCATTGCGAACTTTGTACGGTTTTCAATGTCTTTCTCCCAAATGGTTTCTATTGGTTCTGCAAAAATGTACGAATTGATGTTAAAATATTGCCATCACTAATGCAACTGATAAATATAAAAAAATATGTTAAATGTACATTACTTAACTTAAAACTCAAGCTATTGTATATTTATGTCCCTCAGACGAAAATAAGTCTAGTGACGTATTTAGGTGGGTTATACCTAATATATGTATATACCAGGTAAGAATAGGTTCCTCGTTCCTTTTTTTTGTGTGTATTCGACATAGTAATCCTATGTTGAATATGATCTATTCAATCATATTATACAATGGATAAACGGCAATACCTCATGTAAAACGGGTATGCACTATGTAGCTATACAGGTATACAGGCATACGGCAAACATATCAAGGGAGCTACTGGCACTACTAGTTAGTGATTAATGGCTACTGCGTATACTTTCTTCTTTTCTTTTTCTTTTTTTTAGGCGTTATCCACTGTTCTATAATTTTTATTATTTACTTATACTTGTGAAAACTTTTTATAATTTTATTTATTAAAAGCTGTGGCGGGTTTCGCGCCACATTTTTTTCTTCCCGCTGGCGTCACTCGTGGCGGACGTCGGCCTCTCCCCTCGCCGTCGGCGTTCAATAGTCATCGGCTATAGCTCCGCTCAACTCGACATCTCGACCGCTTCGCTCGCTCTCTTCGCACCGGCGCCTCTCGCGAAACATTGTTTTCCGACTCCGAACCATCATTATGTATAATTGATTTTGACCACTAATGTTGTTTTAATAAATGCGTGCTCGCCTGTTCTCGTACCACAAGCAGTCAACTGGCGAGCACTTGTTTAATGTTGTTATGTCGTAAATAAACGTTTCTTTTTACTTTATCATTAAACTTCGTGTTTTGGTGTAACCCGCCAAAAAGCCATAGATAAACTTTTATTATCATAAAACTTGTGATAAGCCTGATAACAGTACTTTGCGCATGTACAGAATGAAATGTCTTCTTTATATTATGTTTGCGACACGTTGTATTGCTTATATCTCTATCCATTGTCCGTGAGGATTACTAATATAATCATTTGATTTACCTATATAGTGCACCGCCGTAAGATTGCGCCACACGGTGATCTTTCTGGCAGCCTTTCCGTTTTTAATAATGGCCAGTACTGGACACCTGGGCCGGTACCTGGCGACGATTTTGGCGGACAATCCGGACGTGGTGATCACTATGATCGCGGCCGTGTGACACTTTAATGACACTTCCACGCACCCGATGCATATCGCGTGAGTCGGATCGATTTTCGGTTTAGCCTATATTATTATGATCAATACAGGTCGGTAGTATAAGAAAAAAAATTTTGTTCTCTACAATCGCGTCACAAACAATTTTATTCGCGTATACCTTATTTTTCAAGTCGGAAAACACCTGCTGTTCCCATATGGCAGCTTCACCCTGTCGACATACTGTCGACGCGTATTCGATACAGTGGGCTTTGTGGGTGGCCCGTGTCGTCACTTCCAGGTAAATGCAATCGGTCCCGTCCAGTACCGCGGTTATAATATCGTTTATTTCAGAGCTCGACGGCACCGAATTGTATTCCATGGAATTCAAAAATTTACCGTGAGTAACGATTGGCTTTCCGATCTGCGCAAGTAACAAAAAAAATTGAACAAATCCTATATTATTATTTTGATCATTTATTTAATTACCTACATGCAAAAATCCCTGTAAAATTACTTCGTTACAATATAAATTAAAGTTAGGCTTATATAAATTGCAAACAAAAAGCTCAGAAATGACTTAAAAGTTCGTTAAAAAAGTTTTTCTTATTTATTTTGAAGAAAACAATTTTCTTTCATATGTTCAACACTATTTGACGGTATTAAAATATAATGACCTAAATTTGTCAATAAATTCTAAATAAATAAAAAGATTTATCAAATTAGTCGATATCGCACTTAAAACACTTACAGACAGATAACCTAAATACTGGAAATTACATCATATGAAAATCACAGGCCTATAATAATTATATTTCAAGAACTTTTTATTGATTAACTATAGTGAAACCCACCACCATATGCCTATGGTTTTTCCTGGTGATCGGGCCACTTGCTATTACACGTTAATACAGAAGAGACTCACTATGTTACACTTGGACAAGACATTCTTTTGTGCTAGAAATATACAATCGGTGCCAATTTCCATGGACAAATTGGGCCGATCTAAGAATATACCGTCAGCAATCGGTATGATTTGGTCGACGTTCTCGAATCCTACACTGTTGTCAATTTTCGCGTACAGTTCGATGTCCTTGCCCTTCTCTTGGCCTTTAAACGAAACGTTATGTTATATTTACCTATGAAATAACCAACATTAAGCATGTTCGGGACACTTACAGACGAAATTTTTGACATAAGTGAAATACGGTGCGTTTCTGACACCGGGAACCAAAATCACATCGACTTTGAGTTGGATCCCGATACGGACGTCTTCCTCGTCTTGTTCGGTTAGTGCCGTCATGCCGATTGGTATTCCCGGTATGTGCACAGTTTTTTCCGATCCCAAAAACTCTCCACGTTTGATTAAGCAATATACCTCGTTTGTTTCTAGAAAAAAAAAATAAAGTTTTCCTCAAATACCACCTCTTTGGTAATGGCTCAAAATGAGTTTCCCGAGACAAAGAGAAAAAAAACCCAGTAAATCAGTAAATGGAAATACGATTGCTATTAACTTATTAATTTGTGCCCAATTTTCAGTACGAAAATCTATAGACACATTACTTAATTAGGTACTTACCGACTCTTTCTACGGCTAATTCGATTTTTCCGTCGTCCAGATAGATCGGATCATTTTCTTTAAGCCGGAGAATTTGTTTAGTGTCCGTGTAAATTCGGTCTGCCGTACACTTGTCCTTATACTCAGGATCGTATGTCACATAAACATGACCATTGGTCTGTAGTTCTACCATTTGTTCCTGCAGATTGCCCTAAATAGAAATTAAAAAAAATAGCTGATACTGCAACTACTGATGGGCATACCACAGTTTTAGATGGGAAGTTGGAAAGGTAGGACACATGGTACGTTTAATTTATATTCATGCGCAATGATAAATTGATAAAAATACGTTTCTGAGCAAAGTTCGGTTAAAGTTAAACGTGTTTTGAAAAGCCTTAATTTTTATAATTTTCGTCAACATTTTAAATTAAAATACTAACAGATTAAGTTCAATTGTTTTTTTTCCCATAAAATACAACGTATAATGCTAATAGCCACGTGTTAATTATCCAAGCATTTTTGTTAAGCCTGAATTTTTTTAATATTCCATCTTTAAGGGTAAAATAGGGGACGCATATTTGTATGAAAATCTGCTATTTTCAAGTGAAATTCATAAAAATTAGTATTTGACATTTTGGTTGAAAATAAAAACACATGTATTAGGATTTGTTTAAATTTAATTCCAAATAGGGCAACATAGGAGTTGGAAGTTGACCCCAATTTTTTTCAAAAATGATAGCTTTTATGGGCATAAACTTAGTGTAACCGTCCTTACACATATGGATAAACCTCCCCTCACCTCAAAACTACCATTGACTAAAAAACTAAACAATTGTTATTGTAATTCGAATTACGGGAAACGGTTCCATAGGACGCATACGCGTAAATAGTATTGGAACCGATAAAACTCACACCATTCTAAAGTTTTAAAATGTTAAATTGGATGTCAAGTTCAATTCTATGTTATATTATGGTAATTCAGATTGAACGATTTTGGACAAAAATATTATAGTGACACCAAGAAGAGGAAAGGTTAGTAAAGTGGGTGATTTTGGACCCAAAATAAGATTCTTAAAGTGAGTTTCCGAGAAAGGTTGAAATAATTTCAATTGGAAAAATTAGGGGTAGGGTAAATAGTTAATGATTAATGTTCCATGAAACGTTGAAATGATTCCTGACGGTGAGGGGGTTGAAGGTTGGTGATTTTATGGACCAAAATGGGATGTTCCCGAGGAGGTCAAATGGTTCGCGATTGTACATTAATTTGGACTAAACAACTGTACGGCATATACACAATCACTAGACTACAGACATGTAAACTGTATACGGGTGACGTCGCGGACGAAGTCACAGGTAATATAGCATGTTTTTACACATACGGACGAAGCCGAGTATTTTAGCTAGTTACTATAACTGCTAGTTTATAAATGTTGAGTTTTAGCTTTTAGCACCCCGGCCTTTTTTGTTTTCAATTCATATTTCATGGGCCAAACAAATGTTCTATTTATCTTTGTGGAACAGTTTATTATTATAGGTACCTACTATTATTCTTAGTCACTTACTTTTTTGTTCAAAATTTTCCCTGTCGTGATGGACGTTCCTTTAAGACATAGTACTAGAGATAAAGAGTATGGAACCCTGTCGGTCTTAAAACTGTAATTAAAAACTCCTTGACGAATCTCGTAAACCATTGTCCTACTTTGATCGTAAGACAAATTGGTAAAATCAAATAAAACCATTGACACGCCTCTCTCGCAGAGTTCTTCTATTACATCTTTGGTTATGTTCGATCCTGCAGTAATAATAATTAAAACCATAAACAATTGATTAATTAAATATATAATATATATATATTTATATTTATACTTACGAACGCCACAAGCTAAAGTAGTCAAAGTATTTTTTGACAGGTTTGATTTCATGCTCAAATTTCTCATATGATCGAGATAGTTATTCTCAAAAGTCGCTTTCATTTGCATTTCATTTGTGTCACAGATTTCCTATTCATAGTAATTTTCTTTAAGTTATGAATAGTAAAATAATTTAATCAAATTTAGAAACATTACCAATGGGCACACATCACACGGTCTTTTCATCCAAGTCGAATTTACGGAATTCATTTTTTCAAATACTTTTTATAATAAAATCGTTAAGTTTTCGAAAATTTCAAAATTAGTTTTACAATAAATGTTTAAAATAAATAAAAAACTTTTCTAATAAACACGATTTGTGGATGCGTGGTTACAAATAATAAAAATAACATCCGAATATTATTGGGTCAATAGTGTCAATAGTGACAACAGTATATGAAACTATTTTTTTATAATTTTTCTCGGATTATCTGTTCATATATTATTATGATTTCACGATTCACCATGAGTGATAAAACCCAACGAATAAACAAGTTTTATGACATGTATATAATTTCCATTTTTTTCTATTTTAAAAAGAATAATCCACACAACTGAACTCCGCTTAGAATCGTTTTTCGTTAGCAATGATAAATGATTGCGTACAGATATTACATTAAATTCACCTCTATATCGCACCTTCTCAACTTCTCACCTGCAACAGTGGTCCACTCACGTCCGTCTCTGCGAAGACGCGAAGCATGTTCGTCTTTTTTTATTGGAAGGTTTTTATTCTACTTCGAATCTTGTCTGTTTTTCTGTCCACGCTATTTCTGGGGAACGGCTAAACGTAATAAACAAAATATATTTTGAATATAGATGAGCTCTAGTCGTGCATGGCGGTGAGCTTTTTCTAAAATATGATTGATTTGCCTCAAATGGCTACTGCGGTCGTCTCTGCAGCGATGATAATGTGGCCGCGGCGGCGCGGGGTTCGCATTATCTTCGGTGTTCTCGTCCGAATGGATAGGGGTAGTGGCATGCGTTCGAAAATATTATTATTCCCTTCCACGGCGACACGGCCAAAGGCGCTGACTAAGCTTGGGCCGTGCCCGAGAAAAATTAATTTATTAGGTTGAATACCTTTTAATACTGGATAATACAAAATAATAATTAATTCAATACACTGTCTTTAAACCAGCATTCATAATTATATCAATAAGGTACCTGATTAAATATCATACACTTCAAAAAAGTAAAGACAATAGTTTCTTTGTAATCTTCAATCGATACTCATAGACTGTAAATAAACTACTTGGATAATATTACAATCAAGTCAATATAATATTTGGTAACACAGTCGTAAAAGATAAGAACGAAATTGGCAGTGAAGTCGAAATGTATGAACCAAATTTTAATTTAAGGAAAAAAAAGTGATGGCAATTTTACAAAATTTAAAACCTGTATCTACTGTTGTCATGTGTCAACAAAATAGGAAACAAATAATGTTTACCTACAATTTTCCGGTAGTTTCCCGGCACGCCTTTTGCGTACGCCTATAGGCATGGCTGCATATTAGTTACGGACAGTGGTTTAGTAGAGGATATACTAGTGGCGGTTCTTGACAAATTCCAAGTGGGAGGAGGGAAATATTATTCACATTAAAAAAAATCATTAAAAATAGTAGTCATAAAAAAAAATAGTTTGTAAAATTAAAAAATTTATTTCATATAATATTATTCTTTTTCCTCTTCTTCGTCTTTTGGCTTAATCTACCCTATAAGAGTTTTTGTCGTCATCACAACTTCACGCCACTTCTCCCGATCATGGATTATATTTTTCCAATCATTTAATCCTATTATTTTTAGATCTTCCTCGACCACATCCATTTATCTATTCCTCAGATGTCCTCGTCGTCTCTTACCTATTGGTTTCCAAGACAGAACATTTTTGATTATTTATCGTCACTTCTACGCATAATGTGCCCGAAGCACTGGATTCTCTGGCTTCTTATGTAATAAAGTGTCTACACGTGTTCGAATCGCTCATTTTGCGTTCAGCTTAATATGCGATATTGCGAATTAATTAAAACATTAAATAGGTATTATTTCCATGTGTTGCCTGTCGTCTGTTTTTCATTTAATTCGGCCGGAAGAAGTACTCTATAAGTAATAAGCGACTATAACGAGTATGTTATACTAAACTATTAAACTCTGTAGTCTACACCGTGAATACCTAAATACCTGTACGGCTGAACAGCTGTACTTATATAATAAAAAACTTAGAGGCATGAGTTTATAGAATGAAAAAAACTATATTGAATTTAAACATATTAAATATTTAAATTTGAAACATGATTATAATTATGTGCATTCTAAATGCACATTTTAAATGACAAGTATAAAATATAATAGTTTTAGTATAGATATTATAACTAATTAAAAAAAATGTTAACATTCTAATACATAATAATTACTTGTTAAACACTTTTCAATCGTATATCCACCAAAAATATAAAGTATACTATAAAATATAAAAAGGTACTATATTTTTTTTATATACATAGTAGAGAGGGGCCCTCAGAATCTGGAGGCCCTGGGTTCGTGAACCGCGTGCACATGCGAAAATCAGCTCTTTAGTGCATCCAGATATTCAACAAATTGTGCTGGATTGTGAAATCTATCAATGAAAATGTACCTATCTAATTTGTTGCAGTAAAGACAAAACTAATTGTAGGGAAATAGCTGTTGTACTATTTGGTAAGAAATCATATTTTACCTACCAGCTACATTCGTTACTAAACTACACGTGTGTACAATAATAATACAATAGGTATAGACCATAGATAATAAATAATGGATAGGCCATTTCGTATAGTTTCAACCAATGCATCCCTTGCACCCCTTCCAAATTGATGCCACTGGATACGTCGTAGTTGACATTGCATTGTTGCATAAAGTAGAATTTTTATAGTTGTATTCATAGTTTATCTCAATCAGTTTGAAACCTTTTTAAAAGTATTTTCAATAATCGTTGGTCGAATTAATTAAGTACATTAATATTATATTATATTATTATCAATATAGGTAAATTTAGATAGGTACCATACGAAATCAACAGAGCAATTATGGATTACCTATTATCAGAAAATTAATGGGATGAACGCCAACCCTTTTATTTTCCACAATTTTTTTTTCTTCTTACGATTCGATTGTCTAAATCTAAAAGAACCGCAAGACGATCTGCCGTAATGAAAGGCACGATGAATACCGAAATGACGGTCACATAAAAATGTTCACATTTCAGAATTTAGATGTTAAATGACCCACAACGATAAAAAATAACGCGCTGCATTGTGCGAATCTTTGTACGCTAGTCGCTTATCGACGCTCTCCAACGTGCGCGCGGCCGAACGTTACAGAAATGATCGCGTGGGTTATTCCGGTCGGCCGTATCATCGTCGTACACGCACGATTAGCGCGACGTCGAATCACCTGATCAAAATCCCCGTCGCGTACGATTGGATCCAAACAAATAAAAACGTACACACAAATGCGACACAAAGTGACTTGAAAATTACGATCTACATTTCAAGTGATTTAATACTTATTTTATTCCAAACAGTTTCATTCCAGTGTCTCTTATTTAATAATATAGAATTATATAGAATTATATTTTGAGCGTTTTTAATTTGTACAATACAATCGCTGTTCGGGTCCGAACGATAAAATTATACGTCCGATAAGAAGTGCACGGCATCAAACCTAATCGCGCGTATCAGACGGGTGCGGGGCGGAAGGAGGACGGCGACACGGACGTTCGACGCGACAACGCACGGCGTCCGTCGTCGCCAGAACCGCACGTTATCATTGTTTCGGGAATACCGATAATTGCCGGCGCGGTAAAGTATTGGCCGAACCAGTTTTCCACCCCGGTCCCCATCCGCGACGACGACTGCGGCGAACGGACCGGCGGGCGGTGGCGGTCTTCCCGCGCGATACGCTCACCGCGGTGCCGGCCCGACACCCGATTCCGTTTCTTTTTGCGCGGGTCCGCCGAACGATGAACAACTCTGCTCCTCGGTGCCGGCCGTAATTTTTTCCACTACGCGACGGTTCGGTTTTGCGCTATACCAATTATTTCTGTACGGACAGTAACGCGTACGGACGGGCGTCCGACCCGACGGTATTAACGTCTTTTGGTCGCCGGCACGCCGAACTAAGTATGTAAGTACTCAATCACGCACGTGTCTCGGATGTTCGAGATACTCGCCCCAGCCGGGCGCGCACGTGGTTTTTTTTTCCGTCACGATTGTGTACCTACTTGCGCATTTATGCGACCGGCTTCGACGTTTGCGTTTCCGCATCTCTCGATGCGTACGTCGCCCGACATTTTGCCGGTGTAATTTTCGCGCGTAATTGTCCGNAGGTAACCCCGTAGCGGTCCTGTAAAACCGGCGCGAGGTTGCCCGTGATGTACCTGTAGGACGTTGTGTCCGCACATGTCATTCGGTTCGGTTACCTATCGGTAACGTAAATCTGACCGAATAGCCGAAAATCGGTATTTCGGCCGATGCACGTGTTTTTTTTTTCACTATGGTGCGACCGGCCTCGGCAATGTTTTTCCGTGTCTTTTGTTACGTACGTCGCTGGACATTTCGCGGGCGTACGTTTTGCACGTATCTGCCCGTGGCCCGCCGACGTGCGGCCCCGGCTCCTGCCCCCGGTCAGTATAGTCCACAAAATGGCGTACTTACCTTATTTAGAAAAAAAAAAAAGACCTGTATGGTAGGTTCGGCCATAGTTGCGTAATGATTTACATCGCATATTTAACAGTTGTATTTAGAAAAAAAAAATGAACAAATTATATGATGATGTGGTGCCGAAATGCAGGATGTGCAGGAGGTTGTCTGCGTAATGTTTTTATGCAGCGTTTTGTTAAAAAAAAAAAAACAAAAAATTACGAAAAATCGTTTGTCCCAAAAACAACGTACCTACCTTTCAAATAATTATATCATGCGGTAACGAATATAAAATATATAACTTTGAAAAATTATAAAAAAAAAAAACTATTGCCTCTAAAGCAATATAAATTACGTTAATAGAAAGCTCACGTACTCTGCTATGACTGAAAGTTTTAAAAATTATAATATTTGGTTAGATAAGACACGAAGCCTAGTACAGTGGGAAGTTTAAAATAATTGTATCATGCGTGCATAATACAATTATTGAACGTTAATATTTTATGTTTGGTTTAACCGAATGTTATTTTTACCGTAATATTTAATCGGCCTTAAGCAAAAACTCCCTAATACTTAATAAATAGAATTACATCAAATAGAATAAAATGATCCAATTTATAATATTATTATCAATATTTTATTTATAACTTGGAAATTTTACGTCAACGTCACGTAGCTTACTTCAGTTTTACAAAATTTCCAAATTTAATTGTTAATTTTAAACCTGTACGGAATTTGGACTCGACGGCCTTTAAAACATATAAATTGATACAGAAAATACAAATAATGTAAAACTTAATGAACTACCGCTACCACAGCCCCCTTAACTGACGAGGCAATTGAAAAACGAATGCGAAATTTGGGTTCAGCGTCCTCGAAACTGATAAACCACACCGTCATACGAGTTAAAACGTAAGGGTTATATAATTTAGGTAAGGTGAGTTACGGTTTAGACCGCCGTGTGTCGTTGACGTCAAATTGGTCGTTTACTGGGTGGAAGGGAGACGGCTAGTTGGGCGGAGTCCGTGATCATGACACAGTGGTCAGACACTAAAATATTGTTGGCGGCCGCCGAAGAACCAGTTCCCCCCCCTCCCCCCCCTCCGCACCGGTTGTCATGCCGTATTGCGCAGGCGCGACGAGCCGCCACACTCCGGCCTCCGCGCTCTGCGATGAGTGCCGGTGACGTCGACGCGGTGCAACCGCCGCTGATTCATTTGCTCGGGACCGTCAGTCTCTCAACAACTCGCGTCCCCGCGGCAGCTCAATTGTTTTCGTCATGTCATTCGGCGGATTGGTGTTTCGCGATACGAGACGAATTTTTCGTATCGATAACGTCGTACGGATGGCGGCATCCTGGCTGTAATTTGGCCTTTTGTTGCCAACACGCCGAAACCTGCAGTGAGTACTTACTATAATTAAATATTATATTTCGAACTGCTCCCTCCGGCTTTAGTGCGCACGTGGTTTCTATTTGCGTCACAATTGTACATTTGTGCATNTGTTTTTTGTAAAAAATTAAATAAATAACTTTGTACAAAAATAGTTTGGTTTTTTTTGGGTACGCCCTCGTATATATAATATGAATGATTGACGTATTTACCTGAGAGCGCACTACAGGCGGCTTATTGTCGGCACGGAGCCGCTTTTGTCGGCCTTTATGTTTCAACATAAAAACTAAAACAAATAATAAATTGCCGCATGCATTAAATCATTAAAATAATTTCCAAATTTTATTGTTAATTTTAAACCTATACGGAATTTGGACTCGACGGCCTTTAAAACATATAAATTGATTCATAGAATATAAATAATGTAAAACTTAATGAACTACCGCCACCACAGGCCCCCTAACTAACGAGTCAATTGAAAGACGAATGCGAAATTTGGGTTCAGCGTCCTCGAAACTGATAAACCACACCGTTATACGAGTTAAAATGTAAGGGTTATATAATTTAGGTGAGCTGAGTTACGGTTCAGACCGCCGTGCGTCGTCGACGTCAAATTGGTCGGGTGCTGGGTGGAAGGGAGACGGTGACTTTCGCGGAGTCCGTGATCATGACACAGTGGTCGGACACACTAAAATATGGTTGGCCGCAGCCGAAGAACCAGTTTTCCCCCTCCCCGTTCCGCGCCCGTTGTCATGCCGTATTGCGCAGGCGCGACGAGCCGCCACACTCTCCGGCCTCCCCGCCACGCGATGAGTGCCGGTGACGTCGACGCGGTGCAACCGCCGTTGATTCATTTGCTCGGGACCGTCAGTCTGTCAACAACTCGTGTCCTCGCGTCAGTTCAATTTTCGTCATGTCATTCGGCGGATTGGTGTTTCGCGATACGAGACGAATTCTTCGTATCGAAAACGTCGTACGGATGGCGGCGTCCTGGCGGTAATTTGGCCTTTTGTTGCCAGCACGCCGAAACCTGCAGTGAGTACTTACTATATAATATAATATTATATCTCGAACTGCTCGCTCCGGCCCGAGAGCGCACGTGGTTTCTATTTGCGTCACAATTGTATATTTGTGCATTTTAAGAGACCCGGCTCGACGTGTATTTTATGTTTCCTCTGTTCCTCGGTACCGGCCGTATTTTTTCCACTACGCGACGGTTCGATTTTGCGCGATACCAATTATTTCTGTATGGACAGTAACGCGTACGGACGGGCGGGCGTCCGACCCGACGGTATTAACGTCTTTTGGTCGCCGGCACGCCGACTAAGTAAGTAAGTAAGTAAGTACTCAATCACGCACGAGTCTCGGATGTTCGAGATACTCGTCCTAGCCGGGCGCGCACGTGGTTTTTTTTCCGTCACAATTGTGTACCTACTTGCGCATTTGTACGACCGGCTTCAACGTTTGCGTTTCCGCATCTCTCGATGCGTACGTCGCCCGACATTTTGCCGGTGTCGTTTTCGCGCGTAATTGTCCGCGGCCCGTCAACGAACGAAGCCCGGCCCCTCCCCCGGTCAGGTAACCCCGTAGCGGTCCTGTAAAACCGGCGTGAGGTTGCCCGTGATGTACCTGTAGGACGTTGTGTCCGCACATGTCATTCGGTTCGGTTACCTGTCCGTAACGGACGGTTACATAAATCTAACCGAATAGCCGAAAATCGGTATTCCGGCCGATGCACGTATCTTTTGTTACGTAGGTCGCCGAATATTTCGCGGGCGGACGTTTTTTGCGCGTATCTGCCCGTGGCCCGCCGACGTGCGGCCCCGGTCAGTATAGTCTACAAAATGGCGTACTTACCTTATTTAGAAAAAAAAAAAAACAACCTGTATGGTAGGTACGGCCACAGTTGCGTAATGATGTACTATTTATCAGTTGTATTTAGAAAAAGGAATGAACAAATTATATGATAATGTGGTGCCGAAATGCTGGATGTGCAGGAGGTTGTGTGCGTAATGTTAAAAAAAAAAATGACGAAAAAACGTTTCAAAAACGACGTACCTACCTAATCATACTTGTGTTATTTCTGTAAAACAAAAAAATATTAAAAAAAAAAAAAAATACAAATCATGTATTAGATAAGACCGCAGTTAATGATGTATCTAATTGATTTTTGAATTACAAAAAAAAATTTTTATGGTACAACCATGGTTTTACAATATGACTGTAACCTTATCACCGGTTGGTATCACGGATATTGGAATCCTGTTTCCTAGATATAATGGGATAGATATAATGGGATTCTTCCAATTTTTTTTCCATTTGAAAATTATCAATTTTCCTCTTGGCTCAGATTTGTCACGGATACTCTGTTTTGGTTTGGGATTTATAAAGTGAATTATTTTCAATAAAAAACACTAAACACTAGAATTTATCGTGTTTTTAATATATATTTTTCTTTTTCTTTTTTTTTATTTGCTAGTAAAAGAAAATGTGTACAAAATATAATGGATCAATTCATATGTAGTTACTAGGTTTGCTCTACACTGAGGTTAAACCTCTTATCGTAGAGCAAGAATACTTATCTAGATGTTATTTTAAACATTTTTTTAAAAAAAGAGAAAGACTAAAGTAACATATATAATAAGTAACAAAAAAACAATTTAAAATTAGAATATAATCTAAATGGCAAAATTAAAAAAAAAAAAAAAAAAAACCAAAAAAGAAATTCACAATATGATATTGATTATATTCTTTGTGTTACTTTTAATTCTCATATCATTGTTAGTACTAATATATTTTATAATAAATCATTTAAAATATTTAGAATTTTTAAAATAGGTAAGCGGTTTAATGAATGTTTTTAAATACAACTTAACATAAATAATAGACTAGAATTAACAATATTATTTTACAGATTATCATAAAACCAAGTTTTTAGTTTGAGTGTAAAATGCGAATAATTTGAACATTTACCTATTATATCTGCAATGTTCTCTAATGACCTTAGATCAACTTGATTGAATGTATTAGATGCTTTCTTGGTGTTCATAAATAAAATTTCGAAATATTTTTTTCTAAGATTATGGAGATTGTTTTTAATTGTAAAAGCTTTAGTTTTATAAATAAAACATATCGCTTGCTTATTGTAAAGTTTTTCTATTTCTAGTATTCGAAATAGTTTGAATAGCTCTTTTGAAGGGAAAGTTTTTGGTTTATTTAAGATAATTTTTATTATATTCTTTTGTGGCATAGTTAAATTATATTTTTATAATAGGGTGCACCTACCCTAAGCGATTATTCCGTATTGTACTAAAGATTGACCATTGCAAAGTATGTTATTCTAAGGTAGTTTTAGCTTAGTATTTTTTTAGCTGTTAGGAAAAAGTAAGTTAGTTGTCTCAATTTATTATATTTTCTATGTGAATATCCCATTTTAAATTTTGATCAATTATTATACCAAGGTATTTAATGGATGTGTGTTTAATGTATATTATATTCATAATTATATATCGTATATTATTATAATTAGAATAAAACAATGTCTTTAGTGCATTAGGTATATTATATTGTTATCCTATTTAAAATGTGCAGTCGTTGCGGTCTTTTATATTTTAACTTATAGTAAAAATACTATGTCACAATATTATACAGTCTTTACAATTTAATAACAAAACTTAAGGTATTAAACAAATCTTAAATTTTAAAATGTATTATAATCACTATTTTTTTTAAAAAAATTTGTTAACAAAATAATAACAATAAAAATATTTCAAAAAAAAAAAAATGTATTAAAGAATCATATATATATATATATATATATATATATATATGTGTTTATATAATGAAATATAAAAATGCACAACAAAATTACTTCATAACTTATCTTACCTTATGTGCAATCTTTGCTACTAATAGAATTTCGGTCTTATATCAAGTACGTTCATTTAGAAATGTCTGCTGGAACAATGTTCTCAACTAGATCGGTAGACGTCACAGATACTGGTAAACTAATCCACAAATTTCAACTATTTTTGACATCAATGGTAATAACTTTGAGATAATTTAATTTTTTTAAGTTTTATGTTCTCTCTTAAGGGAAAACTCAAGTATTTAAGTGGTTTTCCCGTTTCAAAAGTGGTGAAATGTCGATAGACGACCAAGCTCGCTCTGGACGTCCTTCGACGGCGCAAACCAACGGAAATGTAGAAAAAATTCACAAAATTATCCTGGAAGATCGNGAAGTAGTGGAGAGATCTGGTGTGAGATGGAGTTCAGTACAGAGAATTTTAGGTGAAGATTTATTTGGGGATGAGACGGGTGGCTGCAAAATTTGTTCCTCGACTGCTAACTGAGCAGCAAAAACAAGGCCGCGTGGAATCATGCTCTTCTTTGAAAGAAGAATTCCAAAATAACACAAACTTTTTTTCCAAGGTCATTACGGGTGACGAATCATGGTGCTATGAATATGATCCTGAAAACAAGCAACAATTGAGCCAATGGAAGTCTCCAGCATCGCCTCGCTCTAAAAAAGCTCGTCAAGTGAGGTCAAACATTAAGACAATGCTCATTTGTTATTTTGATATGAGGAGTCGTCCATTCGGAGTTTGTTCCACCTGGTCAGACAGTTAACCAGGCATTTTACCTAGAGGTGTTAAAAGATTAAAAAGACCTGATTTGTGGCAGTCAGGAGACTGGTTTTTTCATCACGACAATGCTCCTGCTCACACAACCCTTTCTGTACGGCGGTTTTTGACCAAAAATGATATGACCACTGTGTCCCATCCACCCTATTCACCCGACCTGTTTCCCTGCGTCTTTTTTTTATTCCCTAGAAAGAAAATGAACATGAAAGGAAAACGTTTCGTGGACATTGATAAAGTTAAAAAAAAAAAAACGACGGAGGCGTTGGCAGGCATCACAAAAGATGAGATTAAAAAGTGCTTAAAAAATTGGAACAAAAGATTGGCCAAGTGCATTAACTCCAACGGAGAGTACTTTGAAGGAGATTAAATGTTTTTTGTAAAAAATTAAATAAATAACTTTGTACAAAAATAGTTAGGTTTTTTTTGGGTACGCCCTCGTTATATACGTTATATATAGTATGAATGATTGACGTATTTACCTGAGAGCGCACTACAGGCGGCTAATTGTCGGCACGGAGCCGCTTTTGTCGGCCTTTATGTTTCAACATACAAACTGAAACAAATAATAAATTGCTGCATGCATTAAATCACTAAAATAATAGTAAATTATCTTGTTTAAGTGTCAACAGCGTCTGGTGCTTATTCTTGTACATTTTGCAAATTGCTGTGGGAAAAACAAATCATTATTAAAATTACTTAATCATGATAATAGATATCATTTTGAGTAAAATCACGGGTTAGCAAGCATCTTGAATAATATTTAAAATTAAGTTGTTGTTAAATAAAGTGTCCTTCACTTGAGACGTCCCGGTTCGGTCGGCCTTGTTTGAGAGAATCGTCCCGAGCGCCCAGCTGACAACCCGCCTAGGTACAAAGTCGCCAACCTAGGACCGATGTCCAAACATTTTTTGTTAGGAGGGATAAGGGTAAATTATATTCAATAAATAAACACATGTTTTCGTTACCCACTCTCGTTACAAACTGACGCCAGGACTCTACCTACGTTTTACTGATAAGCCGAACCAAAGCGCGTTTGAGTGAAACGTAAACTTTTCTGTATGCCTCGTGGTCGGCCGCGTTCCTCGTTCTCCGAAAGAGTTTTTTGGCTCGGCGGACACCCCTGCGGGCAGTGATCTCGACTGTCCACCAAGATACGGGTTTTGGGCCCACACCATTGGAGACTGGTAGCATCCGAGACGTCACATGCCCTAACGAGAACTCTTAAACCGCCGAAACACCGTACTCTCAACTTCGGCTCTGTCGACTGCATCATCGAGCGGGGAAAGGTTCGCCTCCAGGCAAGCCCTGGAAGGGGCGGGCCAATCAGCCCTACTTTAGACATATCGGCTAGTACGGCCGTGAACAGCACCGCGCGTCCCATGAACACCCCATGGCGGGGTGATCTCTTGGTGTTCGTAATCATCTTCCCCCACACAAACGGTCCAGTCCTCGATTTCTCGCGAATGAGTCATGAGCGTTACGTCAATAAGACTAGACCCCGAGTGGAACACGAAGGTTGCCGGAGAATACAGATGGTACATACAGGCGACCCTGTTTGTCTGTGTCTGCGGCACCCCACGAGGACGACTTCGAGTTTGAGTCAAGGCATAGGATGACCTGTTTACCCGTACTGTGCTCAAGCACAGGCAACCCTGGACGAAGCACGATCACTGTGACGCCCGAGCCAAGATCACGGACCTCAGCGCGGGATGTATGACAGTTGTGAAAGCGTGTGTCACACGGTCGTATTCGCTGACCTGCGATCGGGACCACTAAGTAGAGCGTTTTCGCCTACTTAACGCAGCGAAAACTACTAGAGTGGTTGGTCTCGTACAGTCGGTCGATGTGTAGTCGGTGCGGCGCGGTCGGGATACACCATCCCAACGACTCCAGTCTTGCGTATTTATTTGCGCCGGAGTTCGACTCAGACTCCGACCCGGGTGACTCCATCGCATTTGGCCATTTACGACCTAGAGTCAACACCACGCATTCTAATGCGTCATCCTTATCGGACAGAATGAATAGCCCGTCACCCTGCCCTGAAAAGCTTAGTACGTCGGTGACCGTCCGGGAGACGGAGAGCGGCGCTCCAGACCCGACACTTGGAGACGTCATTGAGACCGCCATAATCCCCGTCTACGCATTCCGAGCGCCAAGTTACTTTTTCTACTCCGATTTTCGAGGTAGTCAATAGAATTTTTCATGTCGGTCATATTATTAGTCATAATGGTCGAAATATCTGTCTGCTTCATGGGTTGGGGAGATGGACCACGTCAACGGACCTAACTGGAGATCGGAACATAGTTCCGCTCAGAGCACGTATTGTCTCGTGCGGACTGGAGGTCCGGGGCTTCCCGTAGCCTACCAGGATCCACTTGGACTCTAATGAGTTTCAAAACACCCTATCCCGTGATATCTGGGAGGGAATCGTAAACGACAAAGGTTGTCGGGAGATTCAGTAAAATCGCGTTCTTTAACTAGCGACTACATCGCTTATAAGGCGAGCAGGTCCTAGATGAATGTACAGTGTCCATTATTTCACGTTGATCGGGAAACGGTTTTTTCTTCTAATCCATAAATTATAATCTAATAAATTCAATATGTACGACATATGATATAGTATACTTTACTGCACAAATGCATTAGTGTGATATTTAGAAATATAATTTCATCCAATATTACGAGGGTTGTCCTAAAAGTAATGCACAGCGCGCTCAAGCTGTCTTGCAATGTGATATTATCAGCTGATTTTAGTATCAGTTAGTAGCGTGAAGTCTAACGAACACGTGCGTTTTCAGTTTTAGTTGTTTTAGTAAAGTATGATGATGTGTGAGAGCGATAACGAAAGTGAGAACAATTCGTCGGCTCACATTTCTGGTTTTAAATCTTTTCTAAGAAATATTTTGAAAATGTACTGTATTATGCAATAANGCTTATCTCGAGTGGCCTTACTAAAAAAAAATTGTTATTTGTCAACTCATATTTTCTTCTTCTGGTACTATGAGGACCGTAGGTTACTTTCAAGCCGATTTTCCGTCGAATTTTCAATTTTATTTAAAGTTATTTCATTTTATGAAAGAGGAACTCGAGAAAATCGGCAATAAACACACAGCTATAATTCTTTTATATGCTTAACAGTTATATAATTGGTACCCGTTTTTTAAATAAAACTCCGATTCGTGAATCCTTCGCTTTTCTCACTCGGCTTTATTCAAGAAATTTGCTATTTGTCAACTAATATTTCCCCCCGCTAGTTACTGTAGCGACTGAGATTAATTTGCATTTAGCATTGTTGTATTTTTTATCTATTGAAGGATACGGTAATACTTTATAATATAAAGGTAAAATAAATCAAAAAGTATTAAAACAAATTGTTGTCGTATGACATTTCTGGTTTTAAATCTTTTCTAAGAAATATTTTGAAAGTGTACTGTATTATGCAATAAAATATTAAAAAACAAAATAAATTTGCATAAATAAATTTTGTTTTTTCGATGACAACGTTAATTGTAGTGTCATGTGTTTAACGTTTTGACTATAGTGACGGTACCTAGTCATAATTTCCAACGTTACTGGCGACTACATCGCTTATAAGGCGAGCAGGTCCTAGATGAATGTACAGTGTCCATTATTTCACGTTGATCGGGAAACAGTTTTTTCTTCTAATCCATAAATTATAATCTAATAAATTCAATATGTAGGACATATGATATAGTATACTTTACTGCACAAATGCATTGGTGTGATATTTAGAAATATAATTTCATCCAATATTACGAGGGTTGTCCCAAAAGTAATGCACAGCCCGCTCAAGCTGTCTTGCAATGTGATATTATCCGCTGATTTTAGTATCAGTTTGTAGCTTGAAGTCTAACGAACACGTGCGTTTTCAGTTTTAGTTGTTTTAGTAAAGTATGATGATGAGTGAGAGCGATAACGAAAGTGAGAACAATTCGTCGGTTCACATTTCTGTTTTTGAGCAACGCGCATACATTAAAATCGAAACGATTCGTGGTAAAACAGTGCCTGAAATTCATGCCTCGTATGAGGACATTGTATTTGTATTTATCGATTCCTTTTCTAACCAATTTATAATATATTAAATTGGCCTTGAATATGGGCTTCAACCTTTAACCCGAACGTCCTTGAAGTTTTTTCATACGGCCGAGTATTGTTAAACAGCGCATCGCTTAGGCATAGCGGCACGTCAATGCGGGAATTACGGATCGGAAGATCCGTGATCTTAAAAACCGCTGTTTTAGAAGCGCGAATCCGGTCGAAGGTGGCCTTGTCTGCCGCATCGATAGGTTTAATAGAATTCTTCAAATCGAAGTTGACTATCCTAGATGCCTAAATTTAAAAATCCTTTTACGGAATCCAATTATTTGGAAGTAACTACTGGATTTGCAAACTTCTTCAAGTTCTGGGTATTCCACACTTCCTACTGTTTCATCATGTTTATTCTGCTCAAATTATTAAAAATTGTTTGAAAAACATGCGTTGTTTCGTTTTTTGATNGGTTTTTTTTAGAAGTGGTTAATAGATTTCTTTAAATCGAAGTTGATTTTCCATGTTGCCTTAATCTAAACATCCTTTATGGATATCCAATTATTTAAGAGTATTTCCTCAACCTAACGTCTTTATTTTAATCTGGTCAAATAATTATGTGCAAAATTTAGTTTCTTGCCACTAGAATCAATTTTGACCACAGGGTTTTAAATTATTCGCTTATCTCGAGTGGCCTTACTAAAAAAAAATTGTTATTTGTCAACTCATATTTTCTTCTTCTGGTACTATGAGGACAGTAGGTTATTTTCAAGCCGATTTTCCGTCGAATTTTCAATTTTATTTAAAGTTATCTCATTTTATGAAATAGAAACTCGAGAAAATCGGCAATAAACACACAGCTATAATTCTTGTATATGCTTAACAGTTATAATTTGAACCCGTTTTTTAAATAAAACTCCGATTCGTGAATCCTTGGCTTTTCTCACTCGGCTTTATTCAAGAAATTTGCCATTTGTCAACTAATATTTCCCCCCGCTAGTTACTGTAGCGACTGAGATTACTTTGCATTTAGCATTGTTGTATTTTTTATCTATTGAAGGATACGGTAATACTTTATAATATAAGGGTAAAATAAATCAAAAAGTATTAAAACAAATTTTTGTCGTATGACATTTCTGGTTTTAAATCTTTTCTAAGAAATATTTTGAAAGTGTACTGTATTATGCAATAAAATATTAAAAAACAAAATAAATTTGCATAAATAAATTTTGTTTTTTCGATGACAACGTTAATTGTAGTGTCATGTGTTTAACGTTTTGACTATAGTGACGGTACCTAGTCATAATTTCCAACGTTACTGGCGACTACATCGCTTATAAGGCGAGCAGGTCGTAGATGAATGTACAGTGTCCATTATTTCACGTTGATCGGGAAACGGTTTTTTCTTCTAATCCATAAATTATAATCTAATAAATTCAATATGTACGACATATGATATAGTATACTTTACTGCACAAATGCATTAGTGTGATATTTAGAAATATAATTTCATCCAATATTACGAGGGTTGTCCTAAAAGTAATGCACAGCGCGCTCAAGCTGTCTTGCAATGTGATATTATCAGCTGATTTTAGTATTAGTTAGTAGCGTGAAGTCTAACGAACACGTGCGTTTTCAGTTTTAGTTGTTTTAGTAAAGTATGATGATGTGTGAGAGCGATAACGAAAGTGAGAACAATTCGTCGGCTCACATTTCTGGTTTTAAATCTTTTCTAAGAAATATTTTGAAAATGTACTGTATTATGCAATAAAATATTAAAAAACAAAATAAATTTGCATAAATAAATTATGTTTTTTCGATGACAAGGTTAATTGTAGTGTTATGTGTTTAACGTTCTGACTATAGTGACGGTACCTAGTCATAATTTCCAACGTTACTGGATTTGCAAACTTTTTCAAGTTCTGGGTATTCCACACTTCCTACTGTTTCATCATGATTATTCTGCTCAAATTATCAAAAATTTTTTGAAAAACATGCGTTGTTTCGTTTTTTGATCTGTTTTTTTTTAGAAGTGGTTAATAGATTTCTTTAAATCGAAGTTGATTTTCCATGTTGCCTTAATCTAAACATCCTTTATGGATATCCAATTATTTAAGAGTATTTCCTCAACCTAACGTCTTTATTTTAATCTGGTCAAATAATTATGTGCAAAATTTAGTTTCTTGCCACTAGAATCAATTTTGACCACAGGGTTAAATTATTCGCTTATCTCGNATAGTGACGGTACCTAGTCATAATTTCCAACGTTACTGGCGACTACATCGCTTATAAGGCGAGCAGGTCGTAGATGAATGTACAGTGTCCATTATTTCACGTTGATCGGGAAACGGTTTTTTCTTCTAATCCATAAATTATAATCTAATAAATTCAATATGTACGACATATGATATAGTATACTTTACTGCACAAATGCATTAGTGTGATATTTAGAAATATAATTTCATCCAATATTACGAGGGTTGTCCTAAAAGTAATGCACAGCGCGCTCAAGCTGTCTTGCAATGTGATATTATCAGCTGATTTTAGTATTAGTTAGTAGCGTGAAGTCTAACGAACACGTGCGTTTTCAGTTTTAGTTGTTTTAGTAAAGTATGATGATGTGTGAGAGCGATAACGAAAGTGAGAACAATTCGTCGGCTCACATTTCTGGTTTTAAATCTTTTCTAAGAAATATTTTGAAAATGTACTGTATTATGCAATAAAATATTAAAAAACAAAATAAATTTGCATAAATAAATTATGTTTTTTCGATGACAAGGTTAATTGTAGTGTTATGTGTTTAACGTTCTGACTATAGTGACGGTACCTAGTCATAATTTCCAACGTTACTGGATTTGCAAACTTTTTCAAGTTCTGGGTATTCCACACTTCCTACTGTTTCATCATGATTATTCTGCTCAAATTATCAAAAATTTTTTGAAAAACATGCGTTGTTTCGTTTTTTGATCTGTTTTTTTTTAGAAGTGGTTAATAGATTTCTTTAAATCGAAGTTGATTTTCCATGTTGCCTTAATCTAAACATCCTTTATGGATATCCAATTATTTAAGAGTATTTCCTCAACCTAACGTCTTTATTTTAATCTGGTCAAATAATTATGTGCAAAATTTAGTTTCTTGCCACTAGAATCAATTTTGACCACAGGGTTAAATTATTCGCTTATCTCGAGTGGCCTTACTAAAAAAAAATTGTTATTTGTCAACTCATATTTTCTTCTTCTGGTACTATGAGGACCGTAGGTTACTTTCAAGCCGATTTTCCGTCGAATTTTCAATTTTATTTAAAGTTATCTCATTTTATGAAAGAGGAACTCGAGAAAATCGGCAATAAACACACAGCTATAATTCTTTTATATGCTTAACAGTTATATAATTGGTACCCGTTTTTTAAATAAAACTCCGATTCGTGAATCCTTCGCTTTTCTCACTCGGCTTTATTCAAGAAATTTGCCATTTGTCAACTAATATTTCCCCCCGCTAGTTACTGTAGCGACTGAGATTAATTTGCATTTAGCATTGTTGTATTTTTTATCTATTGAAGGATACGGTAATACTTTATAATATAAAGGTAAAATAAATCAAAAAGTATTAAAACAAATTGTTGTCGTATGACATTTCTGGTTTTAAATCTTTTCTAAGAAATATTTTGAAAGTGTACTGTATTATGCAATAAAATATTAAAAAACAAAATAAATTTGCATAAATAAATTATGTTTTTTCGATGACAAGGTTAATTGTGGTGTTATGTGTTTAACGTTTTGACTATAGTGACGGTACCTAGTCATAATTTCCAACGTTACTGGCGACTACATCGCTTATAAGGCGAGCAGGTCGTAGATGAATGTACAGTGTCCATTATTTCACGTTGATCGGGAAACGGTTTTTTCTTCTAATCCATAAATTATAATCTAATAAATTCAATATGTACGACATATGATATAGTATACTTTACTGCACAAATGCATTAGTGTGATATTTAGAAATATAATTTCATCCAATATTACGAGGGTTGTCCTAAAAGTAATGCACAGCGCGCTCAAGCTGTCTTGCAATGTGATATTATCAGCTGATTTTAGTATTAGTTAGTAGCGTGAAGTCTAACGAACACGTGCGTTTTCAGTTTTAGTTGTTTTAGTAAAGTATGATGATGTGTGAGAGCGATAACGAAAGTGAGAACAATTCGTCGGCTCACATTTCTGGTTTTAAATCTTTTCTAAGAAATATTTTGAAAGTGTACTGTATTATGCAATAAAATATTAAAAAACAAAATAAATTTGCATAAATAAATTTTGTTTTTTCGATGACAACGTTAATTGTAGTGTCATGTGTTTAACGTTTTGACTATAGTGACGGTACCTAGTCATAATTTCCAACGTTACTGGATTTGCAAACTTTTTCAAGTTCTGGGTATTCCACACTTCCTACTGTTTCATCATGATTATTCTGCTCAAATTATCAAAAATTTTTTGAAAAACATGCGTTGTTTCGTTTTTTGATCTGTTATTTTTTAGAAGTGGTTAATAGATTTCTTTAAATCGAAGTTGATTTTCCATGTTGCCTTAATCTAAACATCCTTTATGGATATCCAATTATTTAAGAGTATTTCCTCAACCTAACGTCTTTATTTTAATCTGGTCAAATAATTATGTGCAAAATTTAGTTTCTTGCCACTAGAATCAATTTTGACCACAGGGTTAAATTATTCGCTTATCTCGAGTGGCCTTACTAAAAAAAAATTGTTATTTGTCAACTCATATTTTCTTCTTCTGGTACTATGAGGACCGNCGTGATATCTGGGAGGGAATCGTAAACGACAAAGGTTGTCGGGAGATTCAGTAAAATCGCGTTCTTTAACTAGCGACTACATCGCTTATAAGGCGAGCAGGTCGTAGATGAATGTACAGTGTCCATTATTTCACGTTGATCGGGAAACGGTTTTTTCTTCTAATCCATAAATTATAATCTAATAAATTCAATATGTACGACATATGATATAGTATACTTTACTGCACAAATGCATTAGTGTGATATTTAGAAATATAATTTCATCCAATATTACGAGGGTTGTCCTAAAAGTAATGCACAGCGCGCTCAAGCTGTCTTGCAATGTGATATTATCAGCTGATTTTAGTATTAGTTAGTAGCGTGAAGTCTAACGAACACGTGCGTTTTCAGTTTTAGTTGTTTTAGTAAAGTATGATGATGTGTGAGAGCGATAACGAAAGTGAGAACAATTCGTCGGCTCACATTTCTGGTTTTAAATCTTTTCTAAGAAATATTTTGAAAATGTACTGTATTATGCAATAAAATATTAAAAAACAAAATAAATTTGCATAAATAAATTTTGTTTTTTCGATGACAACGGTAATTGTAGTGTCATGTGTTTAACGTTTTGACTATAGTGACGGTACCTAGTCATAATTTCCAACGTTACTGGCGACTACATCGCTTATAAGGCGAGCAGGTCGTAGATGAATGTACAGTGTCCATTATTTCACGTTGATCGGGAAACGGTTTTTTCTTCTAATCCATAAATTATAATCTAATAAATTCAATATGTACGACATATGATATAGTATACTTTACTGCACAAATGCATTAGTGTGATATTTAGAAATATAATTTCATCCAATATTACGAGGGTTGTCCTAAAAGTAATGCACAGCGCGCTCAAGCTGTCTTGCAATGTGATATTATCAGCTGATTTTAGTATTAGTTAGTAGCGTGAAGTCTAACGAACACGTGCGTTTTCAGTTTTAGTTGTTTTAGTAAAGTATGATGATGTGTGAGAGCGATAACGAAAGTGAGAACAATTCGTCGGCTCACATTTCTGGTTTTAAATCTTTTCTAAGAAATATTTTGAAAATGTACTGTATTATGCAATAAAATATTAAAAAACAAAATAAATTTGCATAAATAAATTATGTTTTTTCGATGACAAGGTTAATTGTAGTGTTATGTGTTTAACGTTCTGACTATAGTGACGGTACCTAGTCATAATTTCCAACGTTACTGGATTTGCAAACTTTTTCAAGTTCTGGGTATTCCACACTTCCTACTGTTTCATCATGATTATTCTGCTCAAATTATCAAAAATTTTTTGAAAAACATGCGTTGTTTCGTTTTTTGATCTGTTTTTTTTTAGAAGTGGTTAATAGATTTCTTTAAATCGAAGTTGATTTTCCATGTTGCCTTAATCTAAACATCCTTTATGGATATCCAATTATTTAAGAGTATTTCCTCAACCTAACGTCTTTATTTTAATCTGGTCAAATAATTATGTGCAAAATTTAGTTTCTTGCCACTAGAATCAATTTTGACCACAGGGTTAAATTATTCGCTTATCTCGAGTGGCCTTACTAAAAAAAAATTGTTATTTGTCAACTCATATTTTCTTCTTCTGGTACTATGAGGACCGTAGGTTATTTTCAAGCCGATTTTCCGTCGAATTTTCAATTTTATTTAAAGTTATCTCATTTTATGAAAGAGGAACTCGAGAAAATCGGCAATAAACACACAGCTATAATTCTTTTATATGCTTAACAGTTATATAATTGGTACCCGTTTTTTAAATAAAACTCCGATTCGTGAATCCTTCGCTTTTCTCACTCGGCTTTATTCAAGAAATTTGCTATTTGTCAACTAATATTTCCCCCCGCTAGTTACTGTAGCGACTGAGATTAATTTGCATTTAGCATTGTTGTATTTTTTATCTATTGAAGGATACGGTAATACTTTATAATATAAAGGTAAAATAAATCAAAAAGTATTAAAACAAATTGTTGTCGTATGACATTTCTGGTTTTAAATCTTTTCTAAGAAATATTTTGAAAGTGTACTGTATTATGCAATAAAATATTAAAAAACAAAATAAATTTGCATAAATAAATTATGTTTTTTCGATGACAAGGTTAATTGTAGTGTTATGTGTTTAACGTTCTGACTATAGTGACGGTACCTAGTCATAATT